CCCGACAAGTCAGCGGAGGGAGCCTAACGAACAATAAATACTCTTTAAAAAATTTAAAAGATGAGAAAAATACAGAAAATGGATGAAAAGGGGAAAACTTCGCGATGGACGCGATGAAATTGGGAATAATATAACGATCTAAATGAATATGGATGAAAGGGTTGAGGAATAGAAAAGCAAAGCGAAAAAGAAGGAAGTACCAACCACCTTATGGATGCTTGTGGGACGGATAATTTTTAATATTGTGCTGCATTGTTCGAAAAATTCAAATTTTGGCGGCTTTAGCAGGATCGCCGAATGATTTGCGATGGCCAAGTGGATTGGCTCTAATATTGGTCGTTTCGGATATTGGTGGGAGGAGAGGGGTGGTGTTAGGTCCGGAAATTGCTGAGTGAGAAATAGCCTGAGCGGATATTTCATTAGGAAATGCCGGGTCATTTCCGTTAGTTCATTTGGTGACTTCTAATAGCTCTCATCATTACTGGTTAGGCTGACTCCAACGGCTTCAAGGGTAAGATGCTTCCAGGCGGCGGCGTCTGATGCCATCGTCGACAGTAATAGAAGCTATTCGTTTTTCCATCGTCTAAGTCCATATAATGCTGGTCCACCTATACGTTCAAAATTTTTTCTGACCGTATCATTCTGGGTCATTTGGCGGCTAATCTATTCAGTTAATTGCGATTTTATATTACGACAGAACGAGGTAGAGAGTCATTTAAAAGTGGAAATACAGTCATGAACTTGGATTCTTTAATGGATTTATGGCCACCAAAGGCAGACGCTGAAAGCAGGCTAACATGATGCCATTTTATTGATGTTTATTCCTTTTAGACGGAGGGTTCATCTTCATTTTATTTTTAGGGATTATACTTTAAGATCATTAGCAAAGGATCATTTCCACTTAATGGGCAGTTAATAAGTACTGCAAATATTATATTTCATCAACGAGTCTCTTGAATAGAAAACAGCGTGTCGTTTAAAGCATTTACTACGATAAGTTATAAAGGTCATGGAAAAGGTCAATATTGTTATTGTTTTCGTGGAGCATTTCATGGAAATAAACGTATTTATCGCGATGCTACATTTGCGATAGGCACGAAGAACTAGTTGCCTATCGTCCATAGTCTATCAGATGGTAAGCAAAAATTTTATTTATTGTTGAGAATTGATTCCATCTTTATGTTTCATTTATTTCCGCTAAATTGTAAATATTGAGTGGATTTTCTTTCGTTTTTACACTTAAATCTTGAATTTTTCGAGAGGTTTTCGTCTATTTCACTTTTTCTTTGTTATTTTTCTTTTTGTTTTCTTATTGAATTTAATAAAATCTAATTACAACAATCAAAGAATTATTTTCAAATTTTTTTACTTATAGAACTTACTGTATTTTTATTGTATTTTTACTTATAGAACTTAGGTTCGATATACATTTTGTTCGTTTGTTTATTTTTTATTTCCGCGAAAGGAATTGTATTTTCTTCAATTCCTTCTTTATCTTACAACGTAAAAAAAATAAAAAAATACTATCGATCGATGGTAAATTTGTCTTAAAATTCTTCGAGTTTACTCTTATTTTTCACAATTAATTTAAGCAATTTTTGCACTTTTAAAATTTATTAAATGTTTCTAACACTTTTTTTGTAACAATTTTTACTATTAAATATCTTTTTATTCATTAAATGCAAAATAAAACCTTTTCAAAATAAATTTTTTCAAGAAAATATTGGGAAAGAATTGCGGCAAACTGCTTATTTTTTCATCATCGCTCAGCAGTGACGAAATAAAACGATAAAGTGATGTGAAGAACGTGTAAGATTTAGATTTTTGTCTTATTTTTGCTTACTTTTTTGTTTTTATTATTAAGGCTTTTTGAATTTTCGAATTTTTTTCCACATCATCAATCTTTGGTTGTTTACTTTTATTTTTAATTTTTAATTTTCTGGTTCTATTTTTAATTATATTTTATGAAATTTGAAGTTAATTTTACTAAGTTAATTTGTGAAGTTAATTTTTAAAGTCATTTTTACTATTAATTATTTTTAATATTTTTTTAATAATATTCAAAGCAAGACTTTTTGCTTTTTGCTTTATTTATTTAAGGTGTACTTACTTTAAAAAATTTGTATTAAAATGATCTTACGAGAAAAATAAATGAATAAAAACTTTTTTCATCCCTTGGGTGGTCATGTTCAACCTCGTTTCCTCTACCAGAAGTTGAAGGCTCAGCGCAGTACTTTAGCTGTATCTGCGCTCTCCTGGATAGAGATCTCTGATGTTGTAATCTGTTGAAGCCATTTTTCTAGTTTAGGAGTCATAGTTCCAAGTGGTCCAATTATCATTGGAATTACTTTTGCCTTTCCACATCTTCTCTAGTTCCTCTTTCAGCTCTTGGTATCTTTCAAATTTCTCATATTCGTTTTTCTTGACGTTCCTGTCGCTTTATATTGCTACATCTGTTACCAGTGCTGATTTCTTGTTTAATGCCACATCTGATTGATCGACCAGCATTTGTTTGGATAGAAAACTCCCCCAAGATCTTTGCCTTATTATTCTATACAGTTTTCTGAGAAATCTTATTTAGTCTTAAAATGGTCTAAGCCATATACCGAGCACATATTCCTGTAGATGATGCGCTACTTGCTTATGCCTTTCATTGTATGTTGTTCCTGCTTGCATTTTATATTCTGCCACTATGCGTTGGACTGGAGCGTTTTTGCATAGTCTGAATCTAAAGTCCTATCTAATGTGGTAGATCCTTGTTTTGATGGATCTTGTGCTTAGTGCTCATGTGCTGTAATCATTGCCTCAGTGTTGCCTCAGTGTTGCCTCAGTGTTGCCTCAGCGTTCTCCGACCACTGGTAGGATTGCGCAGTATCAGTTACAGTCGATGGTGCATTCCACGGAAGGCCTTGCTTTGCCATAGTATTTCCTTTGCTTGATCGTTTTCCAGTGTCTGTACTTGCTATTTCTTAGCAATTCATCCTTTAATACCATCTTGCTTATATGTTTCGAAATGTTTCGAATTTAATTCAAGACAGTGGCTTTCATGCACACCAACCCCACCTTTTTTCCGACTAGAGTCTTTTGAGGTGGAAATTTCCATGCATAGTGAGGAATTTTCTGGTCTTTATATTGGCAACCTCCATTTTTCCATCTTACTATGCTAGCTGCGTACCTGATGATTACAAGGCGTACATATTTACGGCATGGATTTTGTTCTTCCCATTCAGCTGGCTTTAAGATTTGTCCTTTGATGATGCTTAGCTGTCTTCCTTGCCTTCTCATCATGGTTTCGGTAGTTGTGGGATACCAAGATTTTCGTAGATATAAGATATTTGCTAGCTTGTATGGGCACTATATGTCATAATGGCAGGTCCACTCCATTAGTCACTTTTTTTCTCTTTACTACAAGCTGGCCACATTTGTCTAATACAAATAAATGACATCCCTGTGTCTTCGCTGTAGATTCGAGTTAAATGGATGAACGAGTCAATGTCTTGTTCACTTTTGCATGTAATTTGATGTCTTCCATGTAGAGAAGGTGGATGATGGTTCTGCCCTTATAAATGTATATATTTTATAAACATACATAATGTTTGTCATTGAAGTTTCAAGGTCATTTTTTTCCGAAGCACAAGTTTTTCTAGTTATTTATTTTTTTGGTTTTTTTCAAATACGATCAATCGTAAATTTGGTATATTTTTAATTTTTAATTTATTCGTGATTTACTCGTTTTTTTCGATGTCAGCTGATAAATTTTCCAAATTTTTCTTGAAATTATCTTTACGGTAGCGAAAAGTTCGGAAGCGAAAAATTCGGAAAATGATTAGAAAATCAGTCGTTTAGAAGGAAAGAAAGAAAAAATCGATTGCTTTTTTCATTTCTCTTTTTCAGAGACTCTTTATGCGACAAATTCCTCCCATTTCTCAGGCAAATTTTTTGCAGAGATTTATAATTCTCCTAAATTTTTTTGCATCTCGCCATTTTTAATCTTATTGACATCAATAAGCACAAAGATAAAGTTGTTTCACCGTGATATATACTTGTGGTTTTTTTTATAAGTCCTCACCATTACTGGTTAAACGTTCCACTGGCTTGTCACATTGGGCAATATGCCATGGAGTCCCTTGGCGATAGAAATATAGGCGAGTCGTCAGCATCATCCGAATTTGTGTACAGGTTTACTCCTGCGGGGAATCGAACCTCAGGTCAGCATCCGCGCTATCAATTGGCAACAACCCACTGAACTGTTCTATCCCCTATATACTTGTGGATGAAAGTAGTCAGCAGTAATCAAAGAATGGAAATCAGTGGTTTTGCCAAAAAATATTAGAATAAAATTCAATAAACAATTATTGAATTATTGAAGAATAAATGAATTCGAGAAAAAATGAATAGTATCGATACATGGAATTATTAGTTCATTTTTGTTTGAATAGCTTCATAATTTGATTGGTTATTCGATATATTTAATCAGTAACTAAACTCTGTGTTCTCCGATGTGCTCGATGTTAATAATTTTTTTCTCAGTTTTTGAAATTTTTATGTAATTTTCTCTGTTCATTTCGATGCTTTTTCCTTTTGCAAACTATATTACCGGTAACCATATTTGGTTTTTTATTTTCATTGAAAAACATTTATATTTTATGGTCATCAAAGTTTATTTTAAAATTTTTATTTTCCTGTTTTAAAATTTTAACCATTTATTTACGAATTAATCTTATAATTGAAGTTATTTATTTATTTTTATTTCCAATTTGTTAATTCCTAATATAATTAGTAATTTCTCGATTTTTATCAGTCTTCTATCGTTTGAAATTTGTTCATGAGCACATATATTCGATTTTTTTTTTCAGGAAAATAAAATGATTTGGTTTAAGGAATATTATGGTGTCATAAAAACAAAATCCGTCCCTGTAGTCATAATTATTGGATTGCGGCGTTTTTTTCGTTTGCAAACATATGTTTAAAAACAATTAAATAAACTTTTTAGGAGAAAAATGCGTTCTACGAAGTCTATCAAAAGAGGTGGAAATCGAAAAATGACGAGAAATGCTTGTGCTTGCCGCCGCAAAGTATTTCAGAAACGAATGGAACAAATGAAAAATTTGTTTGTTTTTAAATTTCTTTTGCATTCTTGAATAATTTAGCCTATACATAAATTTTCGCAAAAATTTACTCCATTTTTTCATAATTTTGTAAAAAACAAAAAATTTTATTAAAATATTTCCCATTCTTTTTTCGACATTTTTTAAATTTTTTTAATTCAGTCTTTAGCATTTTTTTTTGGTTTTTTTTCAAATTTTAGTAAAATTTTAAAGAAAATGGAAAATCAAGTAATTTTTTAAATGGATCTTTGATTTCAAAGAACAAAGAAGATGTCTAAACAAATAGGTATTTTGTTTTTTATAAAGAAATAGTGGCAAAATTTTTTATAATTGATGTTAATTGAATGAAAATTAAGAGATGCGGAAGGATTTACGATTTAACGATTATTTAATAAGTGGTTGGATTTAGGTACAAAGTGCATCAAAATTTTAGAATGTCAAAAAGTTTATCTCTTAATTCTTAATTTATAATGAAATCGGTATTTTTCATTAATTATTTCCTAATTATAGGCAACGAAATACTGTTTTCACTGGAGCCCAAGTTAAAATGTATGCATTTTGATTTTTTTAAAATCATTTTTTCATTCCATTCCATATTTCTCATTGATAAATCTTGTCGAAAAATTGAAAGATAATAATATTATAGCTTGGCTGTGCCGCAACCTATTCCGAAGAAGCTAAAAGAACCTAAGCAGGTAGATTCGTGTTATTTCTTTTTTAATCATCTTTAGTCAATAATTAAAAAATTTGACACAAAAATTTTTAGAGAACTGTTGAAGAAATTGCTGAACGCCGGCGATTTCGAGAGCAGAAAAATCTCGAAAAAAGATTTTTAAAACAAAAACCATCAACATCCGAAGTACCGAAATTACTAATATCCATGAAAAATATAGTCTGTTTATTTTTATTTTTTATATCTTTGATTTTTTTTGATGGCTAAATAATTTTATAGGTATTGGTAATACCAATCTAATGAATATTTTCGACTTTTAAGTCTATTTCGATTGGAAAGTAATTTAATTTATCAAATGAATAATTTTAATATGATAGATTTTTTTGTTTTTCTCGTATTTTGGTTTTCATATTTCACCTCACTTAATTTCTCAAAAAAAAATTGCTTGATCAGAATCAAATGTTTAGAAGGAGAAAAAAGTTATAACAGCGGTTGCGAAAGTGAAAGAACCAAAAAAAGAGGCTAAGCGAGTCCTTCAGAATAAACCGATAAATGTTCCTCCTTCTAAAGTATGCTTTTCCTTTAAAGTATGCTTATGTTTTTTTTGTCGAGGATTTCAATTTTTGTAAAGATATGATAATTTTTAATAAAAATAATAAAAATGATATATGTAAATATATATTTAATATTGTTTGTTACTGTGTAGAATTTAATTAAAATAATTTCAGAAAAGCAAAATAACTGACGAAAAGAATAAGGCAAAACAAGGAGTTGATAAAAGTATTTCTGACGAGGAAATCGAAAAACCTTCCAAGGTTTTTTATCAGTAATTGTTGATAAGATTTTTCAGTAAATAAGATTTTTTATTTTTTTTATTGCATTGAAGCTTATGTATTAAGAACAAGATATCAAAGAATATAGAAAAAACGGTTGCAAAGAAAAAAGCATCTAAAACAATATCAAACAAGGACGATACCTCAGGACCTATTCCTAATGCTAAAGTACTGCCAAAGGTGATTATGGTTTGAGAATTTTCATGCTTTTCATTTATTTAAAGATTTTATTAATTCAAATATTTTTAAAGATTTTGCAGATTGAAGGCTCTGGCTCATATAGAGAAAAGAATAACGATCCAAAAGTACGGAAGCAAGAAAAAGTTTCACATTTGAAAAAAGTCGTTAGTTTCGTTAAAATCGCTCATCTTTCTTTGCATTTGTTTGTTTTTGCTTTTTCTATTCTTTATTTAAATAGTTCTCTGAAGAAAAATTCATTGTTGTTCGATAGTAAGCGGTATATTTTTATCATTTTGGGAATATGAATTATCTTTCAATATGTATTTTTATTTTTATTCTTTTTAATGTATTCTTAAAATTAAAATTTTAGACATTTTCGATACCTGTTATTATTAATCTAAGCTCATCGCCCTGCTTGGCTTTTCAATAAATAAATCGATATTTATATGAAGGATAAAGCTTAATAAATGATTTGTTGGTTTTAGGTGCCATTAAGCAAGAAAGAGGAAGTAAACTTGCAGAACGGTAATGACATGAATTTTGATTCGTCTAAATCACCAATTAAAGAAATCATTTCGGATAAAGACGAAGGAATAAGAACTGAGGTGAGAGATTTAAAAAATATTAAAATATCGGACAAATTTCTTTGTTCAATCTTCTCAAATTTATTTGAAATCATCTTTTATTCTAAACACGAAAGAATATGAGCAGTGCAAAGGGCTATTTTTTTTCTAAAATGGGTCTTGAAAATCGAAAAAAGATTTTGCCGAATATGATGAAGATATCCCACAAGTAAGTGAGAATAACACCTTATCTGGAGCAAATAAATTAATCGAATCAGACAATGGCGATGAAGAAAGAGATAAAACGACATGCTGTATCGATCCTAATGGTACGCAATCTGCGCTAACTGATTTCTTTAATTGCAATTTTAGAGACAACTCATAATTGTGGGGAATGTTTATTATAGAAAGGAAATCCTATTTATAATGCGATATTGATTTTAGATTTTTTTAATGATTTCAACTTCAATAAAGGTGTTGTAAGATTGTTCATTAATTTAAAGGCAGAAGAAAAGCATTGAGGTTAAGAATTTAAAACAATATTAGAAAGAAGTAGGATTATATGGAGAGTTTTTTTATAGAATGGGAATGCACTAAGCTACCTCATAAATTTGCGGCTGGGCGTATACAAATGAAAGATACAATAATTCTCGGCATTTCTGATGAATTTATTGGTGAATCATTGGAGAAACGATCTGAATTAAGAGAAAGCTATACAAAAAGTGATAATGAAAGTTCAGATCAGACAAAGTTCTAATTCAGATCAGACAAATGGATTTCATTACGAATTTTATGAGGAGAAAGAACAGTTTGGCGGAAATTTTTTGGGGAAAAATCTTGAAACGAATGAAATGAAATGTTTGAAGATCACAATAGATCATTCGAATTTAACAAAAGCACATTTAATAAAATTTAAGATCTATATGCAGAATGATGGATCAAAAGGTAGGTGTAATATATCTGAGTCAAGTAGCGAAATGAAAAAAAAAGAATTTCAATGTATTGGTGTTGGAATTCAAGAGTCCTTCAACATATCGTTTGAAACTGATGAAAACAGTCCGCAAGGAAGAAATGTAGTGGGAAATATGCCCGAACTTATTGACCGTGAAATTACAAATGCAAATCATGAAATTGATGGAAATGAGGAGCAAGTGAGTGGAAATGGACGAATCAAGAAAGAAAATGGAAATCCAATAGAAATTTATACAGGAAGTGACGATCTAAATAAAATTCAACATGGGATTAATGAAGAAATTAAAAGAAGAGAAATTGAAGAAAAGAAGATGTACCAAAAATTTTTGAACCAAGAAACAATACAGCTAAAAAGGGCAATCAGTTCCAACCAAGATTATTAAATTAAAAAAGAGAATGAAGATATTAACCAAAAGAATAAAAAATTTTTGAACCAAGAAATAATACAGCTAAAAAGAGCAATCAGTTCCAACCAAGATGATGAAATTAAAAAAGAGAATGAAGAAATCAACCAAATGAATGAACGAGGTGATATGATTGAACAATTTGAAAGGGAATTAAGTGGAAGAAGTGAAACGATGGAAAGAGAAGCGAAGGGTTTAAAAACGATTTACAGGCTGTTATTGAAGTTGAATGCACTGCGAATAAAAAACATGGTAGTTTTGCGAAAGCTGGTAATGTATCATCATCACTGGAGAGAGGTAACCTAACAGATATATCAGTAACAAAGGTATTTTTCTGAAGGTTATTGGCGTCGAAGTATAATGCAGTTAATACTCTACTGCAATTAACGTAAATAGGTTTATATGATTTATCAGTTGTTTAATATTGTATAATCGACGATAATACTTATTCTTAAACTAATATTTCTATAAAATCAGTTTTTTCATATCTTTTTTTCTTCGAATTATTAACAAATTATTTTCAATTTTCTATCTGGAAAAAATTTGGCTGGTTTCAAACAGGAAAAAGCATTAGTTGAAAAAATTGGATCCCTGGTTTTTTGGAAATCCAAATTTGCTTGATCTTTTTCAAATCTCCAGTGATTTTTTTAAAATTTAGATGAAATCTTGATTTCAGATTGCAATTTCATTTACAAGAATTATAAAATCAAAGGAATAATTTTTTCTTAAGTTTAAATTAAATCACACAAAAAAGATTGGAAAAATTGTAACTTTTATTCCACTAAAATTGTATTTGAAAATGCCAATAATTGTTGCTTTTTTAGGTTTGCTTTCAAAATGCTTGAAAAATAATGCTTTAAATGTAAATTATTGATTTTCTTCAAAGCTGATGAAATTTTATTTGGGTTTCAGGATAGAAAGATTTTTCAATTGAATCATGGTACAAATATTGGCCAGGTCAGTTCATTAGAATGTTCTTTCTTTATGAAATCTATGTTTCGTCTCTTTCTTCAGAATTCTAGTTTTCCCTTTTCGCAAAGTTTGGTTGATTCCAGTGATTATTAGAGGCCATCCACTCTTCATTATCATTATGGTAAACGTGGCATCAAAGGTGGAAATACAGTTGGTCCTTAACTATTATATTTCAATTTTGGTGACGTGTGTAGATGAATTCCATTACAATGAAATCGGTAATTGGCAAAAAATATGGCATCGGAATCCAATGCACCAGTGGAAAACGCCTCATTTGTCGAAGAGCTTGAATTCTTTGTTACTAATTATTTGAGGTTCGCAACAAGAAAAGTAAGAAGTAGAACGCTGGCCGCAGAGTTTTACAATATTAATAAGAAATAAAGGTCTCGCGTGGCAAAAAATTTAAATCTATACAGAAAAAATATAGTGGAGTAGATTCCCAAAAGGAATCTTTGTAAAGGTAGCATATTGGAAAGGGAATCGCCGTGTTCCTAACGAAAATTCGTAGTGCTATAAATCCTTCTTATGAACATGGTGCATCGGCCGGGAATTGAACCCGGGCCGCCATCGTGGCAGGCGAGCATTTTACCACTGAACCACCGATGCTTTTGGCGTCGGAGAAAACATCTAGTCACGTGGAACTCTATGGATAGTCAATATTCTAATCAGGTTGACTTATATATCGGTCGGTCACCGCTGGAAGAATTCTGTACTTGATAGTCGTTCTTATCGGGGCGCTGATACTGGTAACCGTCATGGATCAGATCATTTTATAGTTCGAGCCATAATTCGTACAAAACTGACAAGTTGAACTGACAACTGACAAGTTAAAAAACTAATATCCCAAGGTCTTTCAACTATCTCAAATTAAAAAATCTGGAAACAATAAGGACAAACCGTATTATTTAAAACCGTATTATTACCGTATAAAAACATCTCAATTGAAATCAACATCAACGACATAGGCTTGTGATAAGCATAAGTGATAAGTGATAAGGCTATGATGACATAGTGGAATATATCACCTAACAGTCTTGTAGTATATCTTTTATTTTGATATTGTCTTTTTATTTTGATACTATTTATATGGGGTTAAAAATTGTCTTTCACATTATTTGATTTCATTTTCTATGGAATTGATAATAATTTGCGATCAAAATTCTAGGATAATGGTAAAATTGCGCAGTTGAATTATGATGTGAATATTATCAAGGTTCGTTGAAATTGCTCGAGTTAATTTAATGGAAGATTTTGAACATTTCATTTCTAGAGAGTTAAGACTTTTTTTATATATTTCTGATTGCTTAAAAAATTCAGCTTTAATCCATTTTGAATGAAATTATTTTTAATTCTAGGAGAGCGGAAAGACTCCTCAGTTAAATTACAGTGCAGTTATTGTTGACCAAGTTAGTTGAATTACGGTGTAGTTATTGTTGGAATTTTTTTGCGGGGAACTTCCCTTATGATGTAGCATCTCTATTCATTCTAATTCTGTGATATCTATAATATCTATCTTTCAGATTATTTTTTTCTCTTTGCTGAACTATTTTTATATTTCTTCTTGATCTCTAGTAATTATAATATTAATGAGAACCGTTGCAGGTGAAGGCAAAGCATGCAACACATGTCAACGAAGTCAAGGGTGTTTCGAAAGGTAATAAGTCTTTCCAGTATTCTCATATTTTGATATTCATATTTGAGTTTCTATAGATTTAGATTACTTTTAAATCTTCATAGTTTAATATGCATATATAAGATAATGTCACCCTTAAATACACCAAATACACCAGTTTAAAATTTTTCTTCCAGGAAAAACTACGGATGGCGATTTGGAAATGTTAGGAGAACATGGATTAAAGAATGATAAAACTTCTGATAAATCGCAATCACATCATGCTGATGACACGGCGGTAAACGTTTGCCTTTGTTCTCCTTTGTCTCTTTCGAAAAATTTTCCATCTCTCAAGAAAATTTGCATATAGTAGATATTCTGTTAACTTTTATTTTGTACCTATAAATCTAGTGGTTTTTTTTTCTGCTAGTTTCTGCTAGAGTTGAACCAAAACAAGAGATATCCGAAGTTCGAGTTATTGAATTTTGGTAATATTGTTTCATCAAGGTTCAGGTTTAATTAAATTTTTTTTCCATCTTGTCGAACAGACTTGGAATATTCGTTGTCTTAATCAATCTTTTTAGCAACAGTTTTTTAAATTTCGATATGTTCATATAAAGATGAATATTTTAGCACCACATTTCGAATTTCAAAATTGTAGGTAGCGAACACCGTAACTTCACAGCAGGAAAAAAAGAGTTATAAGAAATTTCAACCGGTGTTATTAGCATTTCAAAAAGATCGTCCACCACCTCTCGTTATCGAAAGGCCTAAACGCGAATATAGATTATTACCACGAGATATTGAATATTGTACGTATATGATGGAAACATACGGAGAAGATTATGAGGTCGGATTCCAGACCATGAGCAAATTTTTTTTATTCATCTGATTACAATAAATTTCATAAAAATATATTAAAAAGTCTAAAAAATAAGAGCTTAAAATTTAAAAATTTTGAAAATTCCCGAAGTCCACATTTTTTTACAAAATTTGAATTGCGGAGTTTATCTAAAAAAATTAGTAAAATTTTCCAGTCACTTCCAGCAAAATTTAATCTTAAATGTATCAAAGATTCTGAATTTCAGCATTTTATAATTCTCGTCTTATGGTTCTCTTTCATTATAGAATATGATAAAGGATAAAAAAAATGTCTTCTTGGATACTGCGAAATCGATTCAGCGAAAAATTCGAATTTTCCGTGAAAGTCCATATTACGCAGATTATTTAAAAATTAAAAAAGATCAGCAATGAATTTAACAAATTTGTCGTTAATCCTTGAAAAAAAAGCACTTTTTTCTAGTTTTCTAGTTTGATTAGTTTGCAGAATAATCGGAAGCGATCTTATACATCAGCGAGCTGCTTCTCAAGCTGTTCCTATTTTCCTATTATTTTCATATATCCAGTTGTCTATACACCCTTCTTTTATGATTTAGTTTCTCATTATCTTTGCCATCAGTCAAAGTCAGATTCTTATTTCATGCATCAGTATAATATTTTTCTTGGTCTTTTTTCTAGTTTTGAAAACTTTTTGATTTTTTCAAAGTCAAATTTATTTTAACAGGAAAATTCGAGTCTTTTTAGAGCACTTTTTCCTTTTTTCATGACATTTATTGTAGATTTATAACTGTGGACTTTTTCTATGGATTCCTTTTCTGTTGTTCTGTTATCATGGTAATAAAAATTTTTGAAAATTCCCGGAAAACGTTTATAATAGCAAGATAAATACGTTTTACGCACAAAGTTTCATCATTTTTGATGAAAGGTTCCAAGTCAACAATATCAGTTTAGAGCAGGTTTTTTTTATCCAGTCAGTCCAGTCAGTGACAATTTTTTTGTAAGTAAAGGAAACGGTTTTTTGAGGTTTTCACAGTTTCTTCGCTTAAAGAATGGTTTACTTGAAACAAAAGGGGGGTATACTTTTTTATAAATCGAGAAGTTTAAAGAGGTCGAGTTAAAACGTCTTTCTGGGTTTCAAATTAAAATTCTCCCATTCGGAAATTGCATCCATTTCGATTGGATTGATTACAGTTGCCTCTTCCAAAAGAAAATCTATATTTACCGTGGCAAAAAATATGCGAGTGTCGGGATGTTCACAAAAAATACATGAAGCAGGGACGATATTTTCTCGACATACCTGAAAATTTGGATGAATTAGGTTCCGATTAAGTTTATCTGATTAAATCTGATAAAAGAAAGCTAGTGGAAAAAATATTAATTCCCTTAAATTTTTGGTCACTCTAAAGAAAAAAAATCATCAGCTGTTAAAATGAAATAAATAAGAAATTCATCCATGCGTTCGAAAAATCGAGAATCCATATATCCAGAAATTAATCATCATTAAATAAAAGTTAGTTAAATAAATAAGTTAGTTAAAGTTAGTAAAAGTTGTGATAATGTAAATCTGCATTTTTTCTAAGTGTCAAAGGCTTAAGTATTAAAAAATTAAAACCTATTTTATTACTTTCAATTCCACTCGCAAAATGAAATAATGTAACAATAAATACTTGCCGCAACGACATGTCGATCATCAATAAAAGACTCTTCGAAAGTCCATTGATCTTGTAATTTTCCATCGAATAACACTGTAGTTGAATTTATGAAACATCTCTGGCGATATCGTTCGGTTTGATTAACACGAAAATCTAGTCGTCGTAAGTCGGATAATAATCCATCACCAGTTGCCTTTAATATTTAGGTTCACAGATCATCGAGTCATAAGAGATTAATAATAATAATAATTACACAAAATAATTATAATTTCTATGATTTAAATTTTGATTACTACTAATGAATTTATAATTTCATAGAAATTTCCTATTTATTTCCTATTTCCTATTTATTCTTTTTTTTTCACGAATATAGAACATAATTTTTCAAAATTCCTAGGGGAATTTTGAAGTTGGAAACAATGAAAACCGAAACGTTACTTTATTATTGCTCAAGTTACTCAAGTTTAAATTGTTCAAAATTGATATTAGAATTGCTACGCATCTAACCGAACGATCCGCATCTGCTAAGATTTTATAAACTGTTTCTACGACATCTAAAATGACCTTCAGAATTGCTTCCTTTAAGCACCAATATCGGTAGAAATATGCCATTTTAGTCTGTTCTGTCGGTTGTGCTCGCATCATCCTTAGCTCCTCAGCACTTGCAGATTTTGCCATTGAGTTAATGTAATCATCGGCAGATTTGCTACCACGCTCAGTATCCAAACGCATACAATCTACTCCCACCTATAAATTAAATAATACCTTAATTCGAATAAAAATTTGATCGATTTGATCAACTGATGAACATTATTCACGGGAACATTATACCTTTGAAGTACAGCTACTTGCAAACGCAACATAGTCACCTTGATGTGAAACATTGATACCAAATTTAACACCTTCCGGTTTTATTACATATGGTTTACCTTTTTCGGTTCGGCCAAATTCTATACCACTCCATTTGACGTTTGCAAGTCTACGAGTTGCCTTAATATAGCATAAAATTTATTACCAGTTAATATGATATGATAGAGGAGTTTAAATTCGCAATCTTTTGAGGCAGAGATACCAACATAATAACTGAAATTTAGTGAAAAGCTTCACGAAGATGGACCTCCGACAAACAAGCCACACCCACCCGATATTTAGAAAGGATATGGACAGTGAACGCTTGGCTTCATCGTTCCGACCATCCTCAAACCTTGGAATTACTTTACCATTTTGAGCTATCATTGAAATTTACGATTAAATCAGAAAGAGTGAATGGTTTTATCGAAAAAAGAACGGAAACGACTGAATACCTGTCGAAGAAATAAACGACCTAATAACGCAGTTAACGAATCGTCTTTATAACGAAACCTCGATATTTTGTCATTTTCTTCCTGAAATAAAAAAGATTTCGCCGTAAATCTCAAAACGTAAGCAAATCTCCATATACCCATAAGAAACATAAAAAATCTAATCTAAATAAATCTAAAAATTACTTGAGTTACACATTGAACTGCTTTACGAAATTTTGCCTCAAAATAATCACACGATAAGGTTTTATTGACACTTATTGCAAGCCGATGACATTTACATTCATTTGCTCGTTCCATTACCTTAAATTGCAGCATAATTCAATTATTCGCTTCTTTTTGAACTGCAAATTAAGAAAAAGATCAAATTATACGAAAGAAAAAAAAAAGCATTGGGATCTGAAAATTAATTTGGTAGTTTACAGACCACTGTTTAGATAAAATATGAAATGAGGCAATATTTCAGAAAACTTTCCAGTAGAAAATTTTTTCAGCAAATTCTTAATTTTTCGCAAATTTGACTAAACGTTATGATGGATGCTTATCGCTTTTTGGCTCAAATTTTTCATTATAAAGTTATTCGCTAAAGCAGATAACCGATAACCGATAAACTGCACAACATAATTGTAAATATTTATTTTATCAATAATAAATCCAAACTCTTCTTTTTCTTTTTCTAATACGTTACTGGTAAAGTTGGCTTACTGGCTACGTTTCCAAGCTGCACGATCTAATGTCATCTTCGACAGTAATAGAAACCATTTTCCATCGTTTAAGTTCATATATTGCTGGCCCATCTATACTTTCAAAATCTTTCCTAACCGTATCAGTTCAGGTCATGATTGGCCCACCTCGCTTTCCATCCATCACAGATTTTCGAAATATGTGTCAACTCTTGTGATAAGCGACGAAGAACGTATCCTCATCACCGAAGGCGACGCTCTATGGTGGTACTGTTAATGCAAGTGACACTTGAACGAAGGCGGATGCGAGATTCTACCCGGCGAATCCGTAAAATGAACCTTAGATATGAGTGGTCAAAGGCATATAACCTCTTAATATTCTCTCACTGGTGTGTCTCCCAGCCATATAGCAATAAAAAATAAACTCGGACTTTTGTTTTTATGATGATTTCAAGATGGCTCCATAAAAATTTCATTTTATAAAATCGGCCACTTCCTCAATGAATTTGCCTGGCCAGCAATGAATTCACATAAAATGAGGTTTCTTGTATCACTTATCTTTATTTCATCAGTTTCTTGCAAAAAAGACGAAAAAAACTTTCGTTTTATTTACATTGACCCTGAGTCCGATTCTCAGTGCAGTTGCTGATATGTTGTTTAGTGTTATTTGCATTTAATCATAACAAAGCAGAACGGACTACATCATTAGTATATTCAAGATTTATGATACAATGTTCTAGATTGATTTGTATATCTCTTGAATGCCAACAAGTAATGACCATTTTCTATCGCATATTTGAAAACTATAGGAAAAAAGTAAAAGTCGTAGCCTTGACGGATACCAGTTCTTATTTCGAAAAATTCTGTTTGTTCTCTACATATACAGAAGTGCGCCGATGTATGCACATAAAGTGCTTTTATGAGTTGAATGATCTTCTATGGAACATCGTCATCCTCCAAAGCACCGATCTATCAATCGAATCGAAGGCAGCCGCAAAGTCGATGAAACACATAACGATGAGTTGCAGATATTTGAAGCGATGTTCGAACAAGCTCCTTAACTTGAATATCTGGTCAGCAGAATCGCGTTTCAGTCTGAATCCAGCTTGATTAGTAATCCTGTTGTAAATCTATTGAGTAAAAGGGAAATAAAAATTTTCGTTAAGACATCTAATAGGCTCGATAGTTGTCGCAGTATATCTGTCACCTTTCTTGAAAAATTGCAAGCGGAATCCAAATTCTATTTTCTAATAAAAAAAAATGAATGGAAAAAAAAATGAATGAATGAATGGAATAAGATATAATCTGCTGAAAATCAGAAAGTTTACTGCGGCACAGATCCCTTCGAAATTCCAATGAAAGTTAAGAACCTCCCATCAAAATTATAGGTTAATTTAATATGATGGAAACTATGGATCCCTACTAGAAAGTAAATGCATACATAAATTACGATTCATAATAAATTCATAACAATATGTGATATTTTTTGTAATTGTAACATTATTACAAACACCTCAGCAAATTCATATATTCGTTGAGAAAATGGTTTACACTCTATTTCTAGTTAGGCTCGCTGAATTAGTAAGACGAGGAATTTTGAGGAGGTTATTTAGGAACAGAAGTGGAAGTCGCCATCATCACCCTGGTTTTTCCTTAATGGACTTTCAGCTGAGTCATACTCAAGACGATAGACTGTCCTATATTTGTGGATATTCAAAAATTAATGATTCCCAAGAAACCATAATTTAAGAATCACTGAAATTGACAATAAACATATGCGCAAAACTCGAAAAGGTGCTGACTTTGACAGCCATAATGAGCTAACTTTTAGCAGAGAAACGAAAAATCCGTTTTATTTGTAGAAGGAAAGAAATTCTAAAGGCGCACATTATAAGATTAATTTTTGATAAGGAAACGTGTTATTCGAACTCTATTTGAATTATTAACATTTCAATATCAAATATTTTATCGTTAAAAGATTTGATTGATTGAGTGAATTAAAACGCCGTTTTTATAACTTACAAAAATTTATATTTAATAATGATGAATTCAGAGAATTAAAAATTTATAACTTAAAATATTTTAAAATAATTTAAAAAAACTTTTTAAATTATAGACTGAAAATCAATAAGCAGAATATGTTGACTGATAAAAAACAAATTATTTCTTATCGCCCGACCCATATCACTAAAAAAAACTTCATGCGAGCTCGACGGTTTATTTGTTTATAATATATATCTATAATATGTGTATAATAATTGCCCAATTTTGTTTATAAAAATAAAAAACAATTAAGAGTGAATAAACAGTGAATGAAAGAGTGAATAAAGGAAAAAATATTTATTGCTTCTAATAAAGCAAAATTATTCGACTTACTGCCAGAAATTGACTGCAATTTGACGTCATTTCTTCTCATTTTATTCGCAGATCATTTATGAAAATTTATCGATTGATCGATATATTTCCATCTAGGATTCTTAAAAAATAGTTCTATTCCATTACGATCTATGTTTTCAATATGTTACTAATAAACAACAAAACGCCACCAAAAAGGAATAAATTGACCACTTCCCGTCCAACTTAAACTATGAAGAATCTCAGGATTTCAGGTGCTATGCACGTCATTTTTTTAAACTGGTATAGATCCATTCGTTCTTCTTTTTTTGTTACCATTAGCACCAACTATAATTTATGCTACAAATAATGAAATATAGCTGAAACAACTGAAATGCATTGAATTTCAAACTTTAAAAATTTTATTGAATCAACATTTTGACCAATAAAAGTTTCATTGAATCAACATTTTGACCAAAATGTTTTTAGCCAAATACTTAAATAAAATAAAAAAACAATCCATGTATCAAAAGATACAAAAATGACAAACTGAAAAAAGCACAAGAAAGAAGATTTAGGAGAGCAATAACAATAATGACAACAAAGCAAGAATCAATGATTTTAATGGATTGAAAAAAAATGAATAATATAATTTATTTACTCCTCCTATGAATTTTTTGCCCTTTATGTCCAAAAATTTTTCTAATAGAAATGTGATATAAATGAGATATAAATAAAAATAATCAAAAACAAATTAAGTACTTAATCACTTTACCCCTCTTCATCATCGTTATCTTCACCTTCATCATCATCATCTTCTTCTTCATCGTCATCATCATCATCACCATCATCATCATCACCATCATCCTCCTCCTCATCATCATCATCACCATCATCATCGTCATCGTCATCTTCTTCGCTATCTTCTTCATTATGATCTTCGACAACTTTTTTAACGCTTTTCTTTTGAGATTTAATATCCTAAAGATGTCGGTTATATATGCTGCATTCATTGAAAAAAAATCCATGCTCGCTCTGATACGTGTAATAAAATTTTTATACACCCGCTTTTATATTTTTTAATGTTCTTAATGTTACCGTTATTTTTAATGTTACTTATGACACCAGAAAAATAGCTCAATCTATGTGACACAAAAAACTTACTTCAATTATTCCTTCATCCGAAGATTTCCCCTCTACTGAATCGGACTCAGCATTTTTCAACGTTGCTGAAAGCGCATGGTTATCACTTGATTTCGCAGCTTTAGAGCCAACAACACTTTTGTTTTGTGATTTCTTATTTTTGGACAGTTTTACTTTCGATTTTTCAGCTTCAGTTAACTGCTTCTTCGATGGTAAAATATCTAAAATAAATCTAATTTAACTGCATTAATGAATTAAATAAATCAAATAAAAAGGGTTTCTAACTATTTTCATTATTTTTGAAATATTTAATAATCCAGAAAAACTTGCTCTAATCACCTTTTTTTATTCTGGCATAAAATACGTCAACAGGTTGGCCACCAATTTTTAAAGATTTCCCTTTATCAAAAGCAGCTTTTGCGTCGGCTTCATTAGCAAATGTCACAAAACAAAATCTGAAAATAAAGTGAATACAAATGAAACTTTTTTAAAATGAAGAAAATCAATCGAACTACAAAAAAGTGAAAATATAAAGAAATCTATAGAAAATTACAATCTATGAGCAGATTTTCCTGCTTTTGGGAATACAACGCCCGTGGCTGAACGAAAAATCAATTGCATTTGTTCTTTCGTTGTATTAGGTGGAAAACCACTTATATATAATTCGAGTGGATTAATTGGCAATTGCTGTGGTATTCGCACTGTTTCTTTCTTCATTTTTGATTTTACGCCACAAAAATCGACTTTGATTGGCGTTCCCTTCAATGTTTGTTTCGATATTGCATCATATGCTTTGTCACAATGTGTTTCATCAGCAAAAATAAGCCAACCAAAACTAAAAAAAAAATAATAAACTCAAATTAAAACAATTCCAATTAATAATCTTGATATTATATTGATAACAGTGATTAATACTTTTGGCTGGACATGTGACGAACTGCAATGATATCGGGATGCAAACTTTTTAAATCTTGTGCCTTCGTTTTCTTAGGAATGCCAGCAACAAATAGCGAACATTTATCTCTTGCTTCTTTACGCCGTTGCTCTTCGGATAAGATATCCTTAACATATATTAAATTAAAAAACAATGTTCTTCAAAAGTATTCATCAAATATGTTCATCAAAATCTATTAAAAAGAAGTTTTCGAGTTATATTCATAACTACATAACTCTGAACTATCACCTTGGGCTGTTTATCTGCTGTCGTACCAAATGAATCATTAGCTGGTCTCTTTAAAATACTCTGTTGCTGTTGGTTTTCTGACGCTTTCTCCTTTCGATCAATCTAAATGTATCGCAAACTACAGTTTATATAAATACTTTCTTGCCTTAATGGATAAATAAAGTGTGAAATGAATAAAATGAGATGTTAAGAGAAAGATGTATAAAAAAAATGAATAGCTAAATTAAAAATTTTTTGTACCTTTGCCTTTTTATTAAGATTGGTTACTGCTGATTCGTCAAGAGCTTTTCTTTTAATTCCCAACTGAGAAACACTTTTTGCATCATTCTTCGATTGCTTTGCAGCAATTTTTGCGTCATTCTTTGATTGCTTTACGACTTTTGCCTTCTTTTCAAGTTGAAAAAAAATTTTTTCTTTTGAAACCAAATAAAACGACAATTTTAAAAATGAAGAATAAAATATCCGCATTACCCAATAAAAATTTAAAACAGCTAAAACAACTTTAATAAACTAAATTAACAGCTCTAATTTAAAATTTATAATAAATTTATAATTTATAATAAACATCATTATATTTATAACAAATTTATAATAAATAATAAGCAGTGTAAAATCACCATTTTGTTCACTAAATTTTTTTGATAAATTTCCAAATTTACTTTACTGCATATTAACTGCTTTCGAAATTTAGTCGCTTCCCGGAAAAACCAGTGGATCGAAAGTTAGGAAACCAGAAAAAAAACTGAGAAATTTCTACTAAGAATAGAATGAAATGATGTAAAATTAAATGAAATATATTCTATATGATTATTCTGAAAATTAAATTAATGTTTTTTAAAGTTTTTTAAACTAAAGTTTTTTTCAAATCAAAGTTTTAAAATCAAATCAAAATTTTTTAAAGTTTTCAAAATATACATACTTCCTCTTGATCATCAGAATCTTCTTCATATTCTTCAAATTCATCATCGTAAGAACCTTCTTCTTCATTGTCTGATTCTTCTTTTAAAGCTTTCTCATTATCTGAACTTCTTTTGCCCTTTAAACCTAGGTTCATTTTCATAGACTGCATCTCCATTCTTTTCACTGGATGAGGAGTAACTGGCGTTTTCGACTAAACCAAAAAAAAAAAATTAAGATATATTAAGATATATTTATATTAAGATTTACATTAAGATTAAAATACTCAATACTTGAAATAAGAAGAGAAATATATTACGATTAGAAAGAAAATATTCACATATTTAAATATTTAAAGATCAATAAAAGATTTTAAAAAACCTTATTAACAGACGATGATATAGGTGGACTTGTGATGTGAACCTTCTTATTAGAACTGTCAGTTCCCGGAGTTTTCAATGCACTTTTAATAGCGGGTGTCTTTTTCACAAGTGAACCTTTCACTGGACTTCTAACTGCAAGAGAAAACTAATTTTCGTTTTTTTAAAGATCAACGGACCAAAAAATAATTCTTTAATTTAATTCTTTTAAAATAAATAAATAATCTGAAACAAAAAATATCCCACCTGTTTCATTTTCAGCCTCTTCTTCATCTTCATCTTCAAGACTATCACTTTCATTACTTTCATCATCTTCTTCGTCATTATCTCCATCGTCATTATCATTCCCACCTTTTAGTTTTCTGGGATTTTGAACATCTCAAAAAAATTTTTTTCTAAGTAAGAAATATATTTTTTAAGTATATAAGAAAATATATAAAAATATTTTAACCTTTAAATCGTTTCAAATCGCTTCGGCTCAGACGAAGTATTTCTTCATACAAATTCTGATAAAAGTGAAGATAAAAGACATCACAGCCAAACACTTACTAATAATGATAACGCTTAATAATGCTTTAAAAAAATTTAAAAATTACCTTTCTTTTTCTGTGAAATTTCTTCTTCGTTCTCATCATTCTTTAAAAAAATTAATATAACAAAAAATAAACATAAGAACAGAGGTCTTTTAATAAATCTTGGAATTTTAAAATGACAATAAAACGCGAAGATAGGCTTCATCCTTCCTAACAGTACCAATTTCTGGCTGGTTCCATTGATAACCAGACTAGCATCCTTTCATTTGGTAGTTGAGGATGGTCTACCTCTTGCTACCTGGATATTATTTCCAATTGAAAGTTTAATCTTATCCAACAAAGGGAACCATATGCTGGATTGTAATAACAGGAATATAACAACCGACCAACTCTTTTTTATATTACTAAATGGATTAGAAATTAAATAGGTAAAAATCATTTAAAATCTTAGATAACCTCATTCATACTCTCCTCCTCACTTTCATCCATATCTTCATCCTCATCATTGTCCTCCTTAACTTTTAATCTACGGTTCGAACCATTCAAAATACTTCCTAAAATGATTCCTTCTTTGTAACTGAAAATTATAAAATGTTGAGGATAAAATTATATTAAATCATCGATAATATTCAAAAATAAACCTTCATTCAATTCTTGATCCATTTCCTGTAAAAAAAATAAATTAAAATAAATCCAAATATATATCTTAATTTAAAAAATTGCTGGCGACTAGGAAATTTTATTTTTCTACTTATTTTCTACTTATTTTCGATTATAATTTGGTTTTTTTAGTAAGAAAAAACAAGAAACTATAAATAGATTTTCGATAAATTAAATCTCAAAATATCACTTCATTTTTTTTCTTCATTATCTTTTTGGATTGCTTCGCAAGATCGGGCGTTTTTGCTTGTTGCAGCATTTTACCCTTGTTAAATTTCGATTTTTGTGGATGAATATCTAGAAATATCTAGAAATCATTTATTTTATCAGATCCGAGATAAAATGACCAAAATTGCTTTCTAACTGTGTTATGCAAAAAAAATTTTTTACGTTTTTTGGATGAAAACTTAAATGGTAAAAATAATTAATCTATTGTGAAAAAGAAACTCAAAAACAAAAGAAAAAAACAAGAAAATAATACCTATTTCTAACCGATCATCCGACTCATCTTCTTCGGTCATTTCCTACAAATCACGAAATTCTTCATAACATATTAATCTCATTTAAAAGAAAAATAAATATAATGGTATTTTGATGAAAAAAATGATTTTATATATGAAATGATTTTCATAAAGTATATACAATCACCTCATCTTCTACTTCTTCTTCTTGTCTATTTTTTTGTAACGGCTTCTTCGGTGTGGTTGGCACTGACTGGGATTTCTTTTTAGTTTTATCATTTTTGATCTTATTAATGTCCTGTAATCAACAAAGCATTATTATTATTCATAGAAACCATTCTGTCCAAATTTATTATGTACTCAATAATTTATTTATCGGCTTGTGTGCAAAATATCACCTAGAAAATTCCACCCCACTAATATCACACTCGATGTCTTAAAGCCTTTTTTTTAAACAACCCACAATTCTTTTTACGTTCTCTCGAAATCCTTGTATATTATCTTGTCTTTTATAAATATTGCACATGAAAACTTCCTTATGCTCCATAATACTCTTCCAAATCTCCACAAGACAGGTTGTAAACTGCAGTAAATACTGAATTCGCTTAACGTCCCTGTCTTCTCATCAGTCTACAATCTCTTTTACTCCTATCCCATCATATCCCTCCATATGTAACTCTATTTATCTGTTTCTACAAGAATTAAAATCCCTCAAAATCCGTTACATTCTATAAACTTTTTCAGACTATTATATGCGCTTTTCGCTTATACTTCTTACACTTCTGAATCTTTTTCAAAAAATTTTTATCATACCCTCTCAGGCCACGTAATTTCTCCAATATCTTGTCATATTCTCCTATAATCCTTTAAACCTTCGTCATAATCCCTTAAATTTTACTATTTTAGCTCTTAACCAATTATGCGTGTGAATACATGTAATATATGATTGACCCCGCATAATTCTATTTTTTCAGCTAAATTTAGTAAAAAAACTTTTCTTTGATTCTTATTTTTAAAATCATCTCTATAGTTCCAAGTATTTCCTTAAGATTTCTAGTTACACCTCAAGTCTCAAGCACCATCTTTATCCTTTTTTGGCATCTAATCCACCCTCGCGATATAAAACTATAAATTAAACTCTCTAAGTATTATAATTTTAAATAAATTTAGAAATCCAAACTCCCTGTTTTCATTTTTTTTTCCGCTCGTCATTACGGAAGAATTTTTTCTACTATTCCTATCTTTGTTCACATCGACTTAAAATTCACCTGAACAACTTTATTCTGCTTCTCTATATTTTTCGGTGTTGTTGGTACCGACTGTGGCTTTTTTTTAGCAAATTTATTACCAGAAACTGGGGCATTATCACCTAAAATACTTTTATAAATACCATTTCTTCTAAAAATGAATTGACCGTTTTATTGAAATATATATGAAATATTGGAGGAAATTAGATAATATAATATCTTAATCACGTACTTCACAGCTAATAGTATGGATATAACTAAAGTAACCTTCATCATCTGATTCGTCGAATTTTAAACGTTTCTTATCACCAGATTCATTGGACTGATCGAAATACCGTTTACTTTCAAATGACCGTCGACTTTGCCCTTAAAAAAACTGAAGATTCCCTTTTATGTTTTTTTACAATATGTCCTTCGCGCACAATACAAAAACGAAATTAGTCACCGATCTTATGAAATTTAATCTTCATTACTAACATTTTTGCCAAAATATTTACATCCATATTACATATTTTTATTATTATTATATATATATATATTTCAACACGAGTCAATATGGCATTAAACCTTAGTTGACACAATTACACAAAAGATTACCACGGCCGCGTTCGAAACCGCCTCCTCGCCTAAAGTCACCTCTTTTTTTGCCACCTTTGAACGGTGATTTAGCAATACCTCCACCGCGAGTACCAAATTTATCACCTGCACGCTCATCTCCGCGACCACCTCCACCACGATGACCACCCCGAAAACCCCTTGGTGAAGAACCTTAAATTGAAAAAATTTATTAACATAATCAAATATAAAAAGCAACATTTTAATAAACTCACAGCTCAAAAAACTTCTTTAATATTTCCATAATATTTCTATCTTTCTGTTCATAAGGCATAATGCAACAGTTGATTTCAAGAGAAAGTATTGTATTTTATATTTATTATATTTGTGATACATCATTGCTGGTTAGGCTCGTTCCGCTAATTTATCCGACCAGACATTTCGCAATGAAGCTACTTGGCGACAGAAATATAAATGATTTTCCAGCATCATCCGGATTTTTGAAGGATAGGATAGGACCCGGATTTTTGAAGGATATCTTTTGCCAGAGAAAAATCTCAGCATCAGTGCTTCGAACGAATTGAGCAAAAGCTCAAAAAGCCTTTCTATCTCTTCTCGTTTTCGCCATCCGCCGACACGAAGTTCGACGAAGCATAATGCATCTGCCTCATTCAATCTCAATCTTAATGATCTTTCGCCAGAAAATAATGAAAAATCTACCAATTTCTAAATAAATAAGTATATCGTAAAATTACCTCCTCGACTTTTTGTCATTTGAATTTTCATTTTAGTGACAAACTAAGAATAATCTATAAAACTTGGAAAAAGCAGAATATCTCTGAAATAAAAACAAATTTTTTTTCATGAAATTTCCTTTTTTCCCCTCATTTTTCAAAAAAAAAGAAAAAAGTGCATAAAATTCCGCATCTTTCGGAAATGTATAACAATACGTTCATATTTCATTATTCCATAATGCCATAATTAACTAAATAAGCTATATAACCAATTCCCAATTATAAAAATTGCGGATATTTTTGCATTTAAACTGTATTTGAACTTCTACACCCACATCACTAAAGCATAACAATATATCGAGTTCGTCTAAGCGAGTAATCTTATTAGCAACTCGGTTCTTGCCCTTTCGCGAAACCAAACACTTTTTGCCATTATATTAATGGAGACTTTTCGGTGAATGAAGGGGTCGACGCCTTTGTCTTTAAGTGACTGAGGCGATTTAAATAAGTAAGTGATTATCGTCCACCACTCTCTTTTAAAAGCACTCATTTGACTGGCTTAGACTTCTAGCCTGTCGAGTTATATATATTGCTAGGGAGCCAGAAAGAATATAGAAATGCAAGTGAACCGTGAATTCTCTAATGGACCAGGCCTGATGGATGCAGAGGCCAAAGTGTGCTATTCGAAATGGCAGCGCACGCGGCGGCCACTCGACTATCATGCAGTAAATACGAATTAGCAAAGCAACCACGTTGAAATAAAACGATATAGTATAATGACATAAAATTTCGGTGCTTCTGGGGAATTAAACGAATTAAACAATTAGAACTTGATGAGACCCGTGTTCTCACAAATTCAAAAATGACAAAGATGGAACTACCCAACTAATTATTTAGGCGCCACTTGTAAGGGACAAAATCTGACCAACAACGACCGATAGCAAATAAAATGACTTTCATAATTTTAGATTTTTTGCCAAAATGCAATTCTTTAAAGGCCTTACGTAATCAAATTAAACTCAAAATTTCTGTTATCAAAACTTGCTTTTCTCCAAAAAACAAAATTTGCAAAACTTTATAAATTTTAAAAATTCGCGCAAGTGAAATTTAAATTAGCATCCATTTCAGCAAAAAAGTTCCCCTATATTCTAAGCACTTGCAAAAAAGGCATAAACTCGCCGAAGTGCCACCACACTCCAAAATTCTAATCCCCCTCCCCCGACTTACCAATGAACCAACATTAACGCCGAACCCCAACTAGCTAGAAACTCAGTACATTTAGGTAAACCAACCCATACGCTAAAAACCATTTTCAAAAATATACCGATACGCTATTGCCTGCAATACTATTTATCGGCCAAATGCACTGCTTGGTAAACTAGCATTCTGCCACCATAATGAAATCGTCTGCATTGTTCCATGTGTCTTGATTTATCTCTCGGGTTGGTTCTTTAAAGGCACTGATCGGAGGAGATAGTTGCATGGGCTATAAAGTTGAGAAGGGAAAGAAGGGGAGGGCTGTCTGCCACGTTGCTTTACTTCGATGACAAACCAACTGGGCGCCGTAATTGCCAAAGTGAATTGACGCACCAACGCAAATACGAACGTAAATCGATGATTTTAACAATTTAATGGTGCGAAGTTCGAAGAACATGGATCAATAGCGTATTTGGCGATATTTCACGTATTAAAGCAAATAACTGCACAAATTTTTCTCATATTTCTATGATTATTACTGAATTACTGAGATTTATGCAATAAAACAGCGAAAAATACGACTAATCTTTAATTGATAAGTGAAATTTATGGAGAGGAAAAATGTCGTATAATTAGGAAAAAATTGTTCTTTAATAATTAATCTGTTTTGTCTAATTTAATGCAAACAGTTAATTTAGGTCTTGAAAAATCGCTATTTATGAACAGGTTGGCCGCACTAATAATTCGGTGTAATTCTGTCCGCCCACAGGACATTTGGTGAGATGCGCTGAAGACGCAGAAATAATTAGCGAAGCAGGAGGATGAGAAAAATTTTAAAAAGAGTCAACCAATTATTTGAGCTGCAAACCTGCAGACACTGCGACTCTATCTCCAGGCGCTCAGTAGACCCAGTCGAGGAAGCCTGATTTGGAACATTAGGAAATCTGCCTGGTCCCCGGAACCACTTCCACCTTTAATGACGCTTCTGTTCTATTCCATTACTCCTCTCAAAAAAACAGATCGACGACATCTCGTGTTACACATTTCCTACAACCCTCTCCGGACCCTTCCTTTCCACGACAAATTTTCTTTCCTTCTACGAATTTTAAAAATCAGCTTCAGCTTATAATTGCTAAATGGTTTGAAAGAATTATTAGAATTTTAATTGAAGATTTTTGTTACGTTGTTTGCGTATGTATCGGTTTTCCTTAAAATACTTTAAGTACCATTTTTCGTTTTTTGGAATTCTTTGGATTAAAGATTTTTCATCTTTAGAAATATTTTTTCTAATTCATTTCTTGAAGTCACAAATTTGTTTTACGAATCGTATTAGTTAGTATTCGTTATATGTTAAGCGATATATATGCATAAGGCAGTTTGCACTCGTTTTGGAAAGATTCACTCAGCCTTAGCATTTTCAGCATTCTTTGTCTTCCAGTGGGGAGGTTTTTGCAGGTTTTTCAGCATTCTTTGTCTTCCAGTGGATTGGATCATTGGACAGCGTTTCTTTTGCAATATTAGCCTTTAGTAAAATCTCGTTGAATTTCCTTCAACAAAGAGTAAATAATGAGTTGAATTGGTTGAATTTTTTTCGGAATTATCTAGAAAAGAAGAGAAATTATTGAATTACTTCAAGCTGGCTCTCGCCTTATGGATTTCACCAAATTTTTTTCAGTACAAGAAGAAGCCAATTAATAAGCCAGTAATGGCCTTTCGATCATTTAATATGTCAGTTTTTTTCAGTTTAAATGCTTCTTTTTAGACATTAATGTTTTTTTCACATTTTTCTTGATTATATTTATATTGTAAATGCATTCGTTAGTGGTATATAATCTTTTTGCTGTGAAATCGTGCACCATTTCGCTTTCTTTGACCACTAAAATTAAGGCAAAATTTCTTTGTCAGGGAATTACCCACGGATAGGGATAAAAAGATGTCTGGTTGCCGTGCAGATTTCATTTTTAATGGTTCATTTGTTTCAATGAAACAACGAGGAATAAACTTATAAATTTACGTTTTGTTGTCATCGGATGGCATATCAGTAATCTGAGGATTCAAATTTTCAATTTTTCATTTAATATTAAATTTAAAATTTATAAATTTAAAAAACCTTTAGAAATTTTTAAAAGCGATATATATTTTATTATCTTTGCAGTGCTAATTAAGCAAGTATTTATAAGCAAAGAAGAATTTCATCGACGAACTGCCACTGCTGGAAATTCTGTTTTCATTATATAATGTTATTTTAAATAGTTAGAAATATTGGTTTTGTAAATAATGATTTTTTTCCCAATTTTATCAATTTCTGTTTTCTGTTTTTTACGATGTTAAATGCAATAAAATTCAGTTTAATCCACAACTTTATGTATGAATTTAATATTTAGGAGAAACTGGAGTCCAGTTTACCAAAGTTGAAAAAACGAAAGCAGTTTTGCACAAAAACGATGGATTTAGAAAATGTTATGGATCATATCGAGAAGGTTCATATTTGTTGTTCTTGAAATTTTTTCTTGAATTGTTAGATATTTTGTGTATGACTTAAACAAACCTAAATTTTCGCTAATGAATTTCTTAAAATTTGAAGGTATAAAAGAAAAAAATTTTTATACCTTGGTTGTTCAAAATTATAAATATTAAATGAAATATATTTGAAAAAAAATAATAAAGTAGTAGTATTATATTTTGAATTTAATTTTTGTTAGAATTAATATCTTTTGTTTAAATTTTTTCCTTGTGAAAATGAATGTTTTTTCAGTGATGATGAATGAGACCAACTTGTTTTTATTTGTAATTTTCATGGTGTGATTTGTTGTAGGATGAAGGGAAAAGGGATAAGAAAATTGCTACTGATTATTCTAATTCAATCGACTTACAAGTGAAAGATATGATAACTGAATCAATTAATGCATTAACGAAAATTGGCGATGCTTTTTATTGTAAAGCTGTAGGTGAAGAAATTCAGTTTGGAGGAAGGTTTCCTTTTGTTTCAGTTTAGCATAAATTCCATTTTCTTGCTGGAAATTTATATTTTTCGTTATTCATTTCAGTGGCAAATCGAATGATGGTACTTTGGATAGCAGTGGATCAGATATTTCACAGCAAATGAACATTCCAACGGAATCGTCATATATATTATTTTTTCAAGTATATAAGTAGTTATTTGGTTTCAAGCATTAAATTCAAAAATTTTATTTCTTTTAATAATTTTAGATTGAATTCAGGTACTTTTCCCATTTTTGATTGCTGGTTTTGGTATGGTAATTGCAGGGATCATTCTTGATACAGTTCAGCATTGGCAACTTTTTATCCAGGTTTTTCTTAAAATTTGTGTCATAAATCTTTTTTAATATTATAACATTATTCGCTGGATAAAAATTTGATAATTAATTAAAAACAATTTTTGCAGGTTCCTGAAACTTTTATTCTTGTTCCAGCTTTACTAGGTTTGAAGGGGAATCTGGAAATGACTTTAGCATCGCGTCTATCAACATTAGTAAATTATTTTGTTCTTTTTTATGTCCTTGTATGGATAATTTTATTGGAGAATGTTAATATAAGCAATATACAGGCAAATACAGGGCATTTCGATTCTGTAAACGGCAGTTGGGCTATTATCACGAGCAATTTGGCCTTAATTCAAGTGCAGGCAATTGTTGTTGCCTTTTTGGCGTCTGGATTCGCTGCAATTCTTGCTTGGATACCTAAAGGACAAGTGAACTTTTGCCACTTCATTTTATTTTCTCTCATGCTTTTGATTTTATTTTTTAATCAATATTATATTTTATTTTATATTTTATATTTATTACTATTATTTTATATCGAAACAGGTTGAAGTATTAAATATGAAATATCAAAAGAATGTGCTTGAATTCTGTCAAATTCAGTATTTTTTGAAATCTGAAATGAAATCTGGTTACGAATTGTAGAAGAAAATTACTTATTTTTAATCTTCGAATGAAAATGAGCTTACATTAATTTAAATGAAATGCGTATTTTTATTTTGCATAAAATTCGCAAATTTTTTTTTGAAATTTTAATGAAGCAGAAAAATCCATTGTATTTTAATCATTGCAAGGTTTATGGAAAACAATTTAATTTTCGCCTTCATAAAAATATTTTTTTGAATTTTTTTCGCTTGACAATGTCGAAGAAGAAAAAAAAAAAATGGTAAAATTGGGAAAAAATTATTTAGATTGATTGGGCTCATGTTTCTCTACTTTGTGCCAGTAGTTTAACGACCGCTTCTGTTGCATCGTTGTTATTGAGTTTGTTAATGATTGTTATTGTATTATTATCACGTAAAGCTAATATAAATCCGGATAATGTTACTACACCTATTGCTGCATCATTAGGAGATTTAACTACTTTGGCCGTTTTGTCAATATTTGGTATATTTTAAATTCTTGTTGATTTTTGATTTATCAAGTGCAGTTCATTACCTTTTGTAGTTAACAGATTGAATTTATTTTTTAGGGTCATTGTTTCTTAATGCCCACATAACTGAATCATGGCTTAATGTGATAGTTATTGCATTATTTCTTCTTATCGCTCCGTTATGGGCTCTTATAGCTCGTCATGACCGTAGCACGACAGATGTACTGGAAAATGGTTGGTCACCAATTATTTTTAGTATGCTAATTAGTTGTACTGGTGGTTTCATTCTTGAAGCAGCTATTAAAAAATTCCAGAAAATCGCTTTGTTTCAACCAGTAATGAATGGTAATTTTAATTTTCTCCTAATAACCTTTGAAAAGTCATCTAAAATTTTCTTTTGAATTCTCTTTCTTCGAATTTTTTTAAACTGAAAGATTAAAAAAAATTTGAAATTTTTCGTAAATTCATAACTTTTCGTAAATTCGTAAATTCATGTTCAATTTTAATTGGTATTAAACTTCATTTTCAGGAGTTGGAGGTAATTTGGCTGCTGTTCAGGCTAGTCGAGCTAGTACTTTTTATCATCAAACTAGCCAGCTCGGATATTTACCATTTGGATGGCAATTAAGAAGATTTACAAGTTTTAAAAGATCCTTTTTCTCGTCAGGTTGGTTTTTTCTATATGAATCATTATTTTTATTAATTCTTATCAGTATTTTCCTTCTAACAACTCTCGCCATTACTGATAGAGGCTCCACTGGCTATAAGACGTTTCCAAGCTGCTCCATCTTATACCATCGCTGATAACGATGGAAGCCATTCCTTTTTCCATCATCTAAGTCTATATATCGATGGTCCATCTTTATTTGGACTAAAATTATTAAAACCTATGTGCAAAACTAAACTAAGGATTCATGATTTCTTTATTCGTACTATTAATTACTGGAATAAATTACCGGTGTGACTTGTGAGTCATCTTTAGCTATCTTTAAAAAAAGATTAGAAAATATCATTTATGATATTATTTAAAAGGTTCACATCAGGCAGATAATGTGGTTACTTCGAATTGTTCTATATTAAATTATTTTGTGATTCCTCTTTATTTTCTCTTTAAATTGTTAATTTTTTTCTTTTCTTATTAATTTTTTCAATTATTCTTTATTTCAACTATTATTATTAGCATATGGCGTTTGTCGTCCTACTTGGCTGGTTTTCAGTAAATATTCAAAATCATTCCTATTTGTATGAATCCAGATTTTGACCCTCCTAGCTTTTGATACCATCTATAACAGGATAACAAGTAATGCATTATGCTGTTTGGTGCGTGATGAAGAACGTGCCTTAAACCAGTGAAGGCAACTATAGCTATATGATAATACTGTTAATGCAAATGATAGGTAAAGTTGAGTGAAGATGGATGCAATCATGTGAGATTTTATTCCTTGGACGGGCTTAGTAAAATATATCTTAGACATGAGTGGTCAGAGGCAGATTGCTTTCAATATCTTCCACTCTTATTAGCGATATAGCAAAATCGAGCGAATTGCAGCTGTATGGACGCGATCTTTCGTCTTTATGGTGATTTCGCGACGGCTCCATAAAGATTTCGTTAACCAGAAGAATTTTAGCTACTGTTATCCCTAATTTATTTCGCCTGACCTTTTGGGATCGGAGTGGATCCAAGATATTTAAAATCGGAGACTTGCTCAACCTGCAATGAATTGATAAAACTGTTTTATCAGCATCTTTTCTTTTCATCTTATATATAAGGGTTACACCAGCATATTCAAGGTCTGTAATGCTCTGGATTGCTTTGTCCACCTCTTGATTGCCGATGAATGATTAATGCAAATTCTTATTACTCTTATTCAACTTATCACACTTTTGAAAATTGTAGTGAAAAGGACGCACCCTTGGCGGACACCAGTTTTTACTTCGAAAGAATCTGTCAATTTCTCATATATACAGATCTGTTCCGATGCACGTAATTGATAAAATGAATCGAATGATCTTCTCTGGTACATCGTCACATTCCATTTTCCTTTCCAAAGTCTTGCTCTACTCATTAAAAACAGTTGCGAAATTGTTGAAACTCCTGATGGGCCGAGTTACTTTGTGAATATTTTCTTGTTATCGCCTAATCGAGTCGTAATCTTCATTTTCAAGGCCATATCACTCCCAGTAGCGATTTCCGTCGTGCTGCTGCTATTATTCTTCGAAGCATTCGCTAACCAAGATTTCTTGACATTCTTGCTTTAGCAAATTTTTTTGGATAGTTGCTTCCGATAACCCAACTAGCGCACTTTCTGTTAGTATATTCTAGCATGGAAATGGTTGGCTTTCGAAGAATTCCTTTAGCCAGAATCACTATTCATTTACCGTTCCAGAAAAGTTAATATTTATATCACTGAGGCATTTCAGTAATTGGGTTTGAGATGCTCATTGTCCTTGAATCTTTTAATCTGAAAGATCTTGGGAGTTTCTTGCGAGTAATCAATTTTATGCAGATCTTGGTTCGAACTCTAACATAATCAGATCCATAAACGTTGCCCACAATTGGAAATCTTATCTAGTACGGAACTAGTATGGAGAACTCTTCCAATGGTAACTGACTAATTTATGATCAATTTGGTTGAAGTGTTGGTTATTCGAGAAGTTCTATGTGATAAGATATTTTCTACGATACTGGAAGCATGTATTAATAACAAGAAGTTCATCAAAAATACGAAGAGGGCTCCATTCTCTATTGGTTCACCGAACTCCTATGCAACATTTGTCAAATCGTCTCTTCCCAATTATAACCATGTCATGTTTCGATAGCGATGTTATTAGCAATCGAATTCCCACATAGAACTTATTACAGTCATCTACTAGCAAAGTTGGGACATATAACTATTATAGAATTTTTTTGTAAAGCGGGTATAGGCATATGATCGTTCATCGGTTTACACTCAGTCAAAGCGGAGTGGGCCTTTTTAGAACCGTATGACAACCATTACACCATTTTGTCCCAAGTTATCTAAGGTACTACAGTGGTAAATCCAGTACCTCAGATTCTGGTTTAGCAATTACTGAACACCTCAAGTGAGGAAGAGGTATTTCCAATAGACGACATTTGCACTATATCGAGGAAGAATGTGGATAGTTATCGTTTGACTTGCAACATCCATAAGCGTTCCATACCACTAGCACTGAGCTGGGGATATCATACGCGTCGGAGGACATGGGCGCTGTGTCAGGGAAATCAGACCGTTTTAACATAGAATCACTTAGGAATAGAGCTGCAAGTGGGTCTCAAGCAGCTACCTGAATTTTTTTATCATGGCAGATTTTTGCCTGTCGAAAACGATGAGATAAAAATTTGAAAAGGAAAGAAAAAGATAGAAAAATTTAAAATTAAGTTAAAATTAAATAAATTAAATTAAATGTAAACAAAATGACTTATCGTGCTTAAATGTTGAAACTTCAAGTGTCGAAATTTCAAGCTAGAAATTTAAAGAAATATACAGAAAATATAGATAATATTAATATTTATCAAAATAGAATGTGTATTGTTAGAATGTTAAGTGGATTGTTGCTCTGGAGCGCAGATGCTGAGGTCTACTCCCCGCAAGAGCAAATCTTTCTAAAAATCCAGATGATGCTAGTGATTCACCTGTATTTCTATCGCCGAGGGACTTCCTGGTATATTTGTCTATTGCGATAAGCCAGTGGAGCAAGTCCAGTGATGTTGAGGGCTCTTAAAAAAAAATTAACTTTTTTATTTATCTTATTTTTCTTAATGCAAAACGGTTCATGGACCCAGCCATCGATAGGTAATCGATAGATCCAAAAGTTGTGATTTATTCTAATTTATTTTTCTTTTTTTCATTCTTTGTTTCAAAATTTAAAAAAAAACTTAGTTTAATTATTTGTAGCAAATTTTCAAGTTAAAGAATGGTAGAGCTGAACAGAAAGGTCTGCTCAAGAAATAAAATTTTTTGTTGTCAGTTTATTAAATTTTTTTCCTTTTATCCGTTTTGTTTTATTTATTTTGTCTTTTTTGGCATTTCATTTGTTTTTCACTTCGCATGTTATATTAGCCTCAAATTTTTAGATTGCGATTCGCGCTCAGCTCGAGTCCTTTTATTGCTGGTTGTACCGGGTCACATGATATTTAATTGGCTTCTTCAATCTCTTCATGGTGGTGATAAATCTTCATTTACTCCACTTTTTACAAGTTTATATTTGTTAGCAGCATTAATCCAGGTTAATTTTGCTTCATATATGGTTACAAATCGATCTTGTTCAATAATCGTATTTGCATTGTGCATTGACAAATGATATTTCATTATTAAAAGTGTTGCAGGTTATAGTTCTGTTATTTATTTGCCAGTGGTTGGTGTCATTTTTATGGGTATGTCAAATCGATCCAGATAATGCAGCTATCCCTTATTTAACAGCTTTGGGCGATCTTTCTGGTACTTTTCTCTTATTTGTTGCCTTCCTTATAATTAACTGGTTTATAAAATATCATATACATTAAATTTTATATTACGACGAAATGATTTTCCATAATATAATACCTTAATTTTAAAATTATTTGTAATTTCTTAATGTTGATGTTCATAATTTTTCAGACTCTCTTCACTCTTTCTGTTGTATCTTTTTATTTACTTTTTTATTTTTTTATAATTTGTCTTATAATCTAATTTTTAAGTCTAATATGTTTCATAATTTACTTTATTATAATTTCATTATGTATCGAAGATATTTTTGCGGGTCAATTTCGAGAGCTTAAACTATATTTCCACATCACATTTTAACCCTTTTTTTTCATCATTGAGGTATATATTTATCATTTTTTTCTGGTTTTATTCGCATCATTTTTTAGATTTTATTATATATTTTTGTTATTTTTATTTACAATTTTTTCTTCAGTGTTTTTTCTACGTTGTAGTTAAAATCTATCAAGGTATGGAAGGTTTTAAAGCTTTTTTTAAGAAAGTGCCTTATAATATTTAGTAAACTTAAGTAAGATAGAAATGACGTTATCAGAAATGTATTATTTATCAGCAATAACGGCTTACCAGTTTTTAAGGTTTTTTGATAATTTGCAAATATTTTTTCGAAAAGAACAGTATTCGCTTCAATTTAATTAAATTCTTCCGTGAAATGTTTTTTTTTATAATTTAGATATCAGATATCAGATCATATCAGATCATGCATATCTGATATTAAGAGGACGTCAATATAAATTGCTTAAAGTAACTTTCTAATTCTAAAAACTAGGCAATAGAATTAGTTTTCAGCCTTTAAAAGTTTTTGTTTGTTTTGTATTTGTTGTAAAAAAAATTATTTTCCTATAGCAATAAATTTTACTAATAATTAAGCGATAAAATGCTCATTTTGAAACATTTTCATACTTTATTTGATTCTAAAAAACTGCTTTAAAATTGGTATTAAATAGGAAAAAATAAATAGTTGAGCAGAAAATAAAAAGGCTGACAACCGTAAGAATTTTATTATTTTAAAAAATCAAAGTTTTCTACTTTTTCATTGCAAATAAAATTATTTTTGTTAATGGGGTAGTCAAATAGCCTTTAATAACAATAAAATCACTAAATTAAGTAATGAAATTTTATAAAAGTCGGTGTTCAATATTTTTTTATGGATTTAATAGGTTTGGTTCTTTGTAAATGAATTCACCATTCTTCATTCTTCTTTTTAACTCTTTCCATAATAATTCACGTTGCTAAATTATTACTATTAAATTATTTATTAATTTTATTACTAAATTAATCATTATTATTAAATTTTTAAGATTCAAAATTTTTAAAAATGAAAATAAAGGAGTATTATAAAATTAAAAATGGGTGTAAGAAATGTATTTAGCAATGAAATAATAACGAGAACGAATTAAATCTTAACCTTTTTGGTATTTTGAGTCACCGCGGTGTTTTCTTGTGCTCGACGAGATAAATATGGTAAAACGCCTTCAACTGGTCCGTAAGGTACATATTTGTATATCGAATAGCCTGCTTGTCCTAATGGAAATGATATCTAAACACATATGCGATAAATAAGCTAAAATTTCATCAAGTATAACTCGTGATATGCTGTGAGTTGTTATAAGATTGAGCACTTGCCTGATCGCACATACCGTACAACTGTGCAAAGCAAACAACTCTTTGGGATGGAGCGATATTTTTTGTCTTCATTAGCTGAACAGCACCGCGTATTGAATTTTCGTTATGTGATGCAACCATAACTGAAACCCATCCTCGGCCTCGTGCTTCGTGTTCTTGAATAATCCTTCGTAATACTTTCTCGTACATTTGCGATGTCGCCTATAATTTTGGAAGTTTTAAGTTTTTTAATTAGTTCTAGCAGTGACGCCTGCTCCACCGTTTTTCTTGTCTCCCAATACCTGGCCTATCATTCCTTCGATCTAAGCACGTCTGGTCCGTTTCCTTGGGTCAAATTCATTTGCTGTCGTTATGCACCATTCAACAAATGAAATTGATTTTCGAATTTTTTCGAATTCGTAACATTCTCATATTTTTCTTTTTTCACAGTATATGTAAAGAGTAACCTCAGCATCCGAATTAATTGGGTCATCATAACCTAAAGCTTGTGCTCTTTTCCTTTCTTGTTCCATATAAGCACCTCGAACCAATTTGCACCCAAAATGGAATTTATCACGTCTCGCTATATCCATATCTAATTCAACGTCATTTAAACAATTCTTAAGATATGTTTGATAAGTTTGAAATATATGTCCTTCTTTCGTATTATATCTACAAATATCATAATATTATAATCATTTTAGAAGAATGAATTTCTACAAATGCCAGCGATTTTCTTCTTCTAACGGCTCTCACCATTACTGGATAGGCTGGCTTCGCTGGTTACAAAGGTAAGAGTCTCCAGGCTGTTCGGTTCGACCATCATTAATAGTAATAGAAGCGTCTTATGGAATTATTTTCTTTTGCCATTCCTTTTTGCATCGCAAAATAAATCCATATATTTAAATCGAAAATTGTCTAGATCCATATATCGATGGTTCCCCTATATATTCAAAATCTTTCCTGACTGTGTCAGTCCAGATCTTGATTGGCCGTCCTCGCTTTTAACAACCATCACAAGGTTCGGCAATTAGCGAAATATGTATCAACCCCTGTGGTGGACTATGGAGAATGTGCCCTAACTAGCGATCTTCACGATGGTGGTGTTAATGGAAGTGGAAGGTGGATGTGACCATGCGAGATTTTATTCGTTCGGTTAAACCCGTGTCTATTTAACAAAAGGGAAGTGAAAATTTTTCCGGAGGTAACCAGTAGGATGATTTCTCGATAATTGCCTCAGCAGTCCTGTCACCTTAATTAGGAATTGGAAACAAAATTGTTTTGCTCCAGTCTTATGGTATTATTTCTTTTGCCATACCAGAGATTACATTTGTTGAAGGTGAGTTATGAGTGATGATGGACAAAATTTGAAGAATTCGGCCCGAAGACCATTTTCTTCTGGAGTTTTATTGGCCTTAAGTTTATGGATTACAGAGATTATTTCTTCTTATGTTGGCGGTTCACAGACAGTTGCAAACGTAAGGCTCTGCGGACGAATCTGTTATATTCGGGATAACAGATAACGTGGTTAAGTTTGGCCTCAAAAAATTCTTTCCATCCTCTGAAACAATTCTTAACAGCTTTAATAGGTACCCTATTAATATTCCGTATCATTTCACTGACCCCTTCTCGAGTTTAGTTACTTTATTAAAAAGGCGAAATAGTTTCCTATTATCGCCTAATCTAGCCGCCATCTCCATTTTCAAAGCTATGTCGCTCCAATAGTGATTTCTGTCCCGCCGTGCTGCTGTCATTGCAATTCTTTGAATCATTGACGTTCATTTCAGTGAGGTGTTTCAATAATACGGTTTGAAATGTCCTTATTATTCCGAGATTTTTTAATTTGAGATAGTTGAAAAATCTTGGGATATTTGCTACTTACTACTTGTCAGTTTTATACGAATCTTGGCCCGAATCATAAAATGATCTAATCTATGGAGATTACTACCACAAACTCTTCCAGCGGTGACTAACCGTGACAATATATAATCAATCTGATTGGAATATTGGTTGTCCGGAGAATTCCATGACTAGATATTTCCTATGATGCTGGAATCATGTATTTGTAAAAAAGAGTTCATGCTCTTTAGTAAAACGTTGTCCATTGGCGCAGCGGACCCCGATGCCATATTTGCTAATTATCGAGTTCATCGAAACGGTATCATAACCTACGCGTGAATTTCAGTCTTCCCTGAGTATGACCATGTCCACCTCTCGGTAGGGATCTTATTAACAGTTTAAGTTCCGAAGAAAACTTCCGAAGAACAATAGAACTTATATCCTTATTGCGGTCGCATATTGGAGCATATACACTTATGACCGAAATATTGCAGAGCTTTCCGTTGAAAAGAGCGTAGGCCATATGGTCATTTACTGGCTTCCATTCAATCAGAGCGGATCGAGTCTTTTCAGACATAACAATCGCTACGCCATTTCGCCTCTAATTATTCGAGACACCACAGTATAGCCAGTATCTTTGCTGGGAAACAAGGTTAATAATTACTCGAGAGCCGACATGAGGAAGAAGGACTTCCGACAAACAAGCGACATCCACGCATGTACCACCGGGTCAGAAGTAGTCGGAAGACGGGGACGTCGCGTAAAAGAGAACTAACCCCTTCACCATAGAGTCACTTGAGGATAGAAATAGAGGTGGGTCTCCAGCAGCCACCAGGATTTAACATCATAACTGGTTTACTCTTGTCAGAGACAGAAAATAGAGATAATTAAATTTAAAGAAAGCGAAAGCGAAATTTAATGACAATTTAAAAAAATAAAATTTTAAGAAAAAAAACTTATTCACAGGCGATCAACTGAAGAGAATTAACAAATATAGAAAATATAGAGAAAGGTAATTTTAAAAAAAACTATTCAGTCTGATTCACTTTTAATTTTGTGCCCTCTGGCGAATTAGCCTTGCTCTAACACAGTGCAACAGGACTAACAAATAAAGTTGAGTGCTTTTGAAGAAAAAGAAGTAAAAGAAGTAAATTTCTTAATAAGAGAAGACTTCCTTATTCTTCCTCAACGACTAAAATATTCTATTTTTTTAGGCAAATTACTTTCGCATCATTGCTAATGTTATTTTTGCAATAGCAGGTTGAAAATAAGTTTGTTCAGCATCAATAGTAATTCGAATCCCTTTTCTTCGTGCATATTCGGCAAGACGAACTATTCGTTCGACCATATTTTCGAACTATAATTCTCGAATGTTATTTTTTAGTTTTTATTTTTCAAAATGAATATTTTTTTGAGAAAACTTCTTAAACATAACATAATTCCATAAAAATTTTCTTAAAATAACTAAGTTTTGAAAAATTAGAATTTTAAAGCATTGAAAAATTAGAGAGAAATTTTTTTCCTAAAAACACTACTTTATTTATTTTTCTTCTTCTAACGCCTCTTATACTGGTAATACTGGACTTCACTGGCTGCAAGGATAAGACCTTTCCAAGCTGCGCAATGCCATCGTCAACACTAATAGAAGCCACTCTTTTTTCCATTGTCTAAGTCCATAATTGCTGGTCCATCGATACGTTCAAAATTTTTACTGGCTGTGTCAGTCCAGGGCTTGATTTGCTCACCTTAGTTTTGACGCCACCCATCACAGGATCTAGCAAGTAACGAAATATATATCGACTCTTGTGATGGGCGACGAAGAACAGCGAAGGCGACTCTCTGTGATGGTACTATTAATGCAAGGGCTATTTGAACAAATGGATGCGATCATGTGCAAATGTATTCACTCGGCGAACCCGTAAAGTACCTTAGATAAGTGGTCAAAGGCAGATAACCCCTTTATATCGCCCACTCTCACTGGTCATGTCTCGCAGCCATATAGCAAGATCGAACGAATCGCGGCTATATTAACATGGATTTAGTTTTTATGATGACCTCGCGACGGTCCCATAAAAATTTCGTCAACGGAAAGAATGCATTTCTAACTGCTGTTATCCAGTTGTATTTTCATGGCCATTAGAGTGGATCCAAGATATTTGAAATTTTTTAGCTCCTTGATTTAACAAAATATCATCGCTAAATCGCCAGTCATTATGAAAGATACCTCATTCTCCTCAGTGTCAGATAAGTTACTTAAAAGCGGTTCCATTTTATGCGATTTTATGTTGAAAACCTGAAATTTTTCAACACTTATTATTTTTAACTAAAATTTCATTATTAATTTATAATCTTACAACAATATGCAATTTTTTCTTTAAAAATTTGCATGAATAATTTTAAGAACAAGTTGATTAGTGGAGAATGGACGCAAATTTTTGTTATGTAAGAGGAATTTAGTTAAATTCGTTAATCCTACAGATAGCTCCTTATCAGATATATCAGACGTATATTATCAGATATATTATTGTGACGTTGTTTGTTGCCTACAACAATATTCAGCATAAAGTTAGTTTGTATTAAAGCAATAATCAACCTGAAATATTTGTCGAAGCATTTTTGGCTGGTCGAGCAATTTTCCCCAATTGTAAAAGTCAACAAATTCACCTCGCACAAAATCAGCTTTTTTCAACCATTCTTCTAGCATAGCGTCATTCGTTTTAATTCCATAATCCTTCAATTGTATGTAAGAGAAATAAGAAAATATTCCTTTAATTATGGTAAATAAATATGCAAAGTTTTGTACCAAAAAATATTAGAATATAAATATAAATGAAAATCAAAAGCGAACGAAGCAAAGCAACGCAAATTCACCTTAAGTTTCTTTAAAAGATCATTCGCACTTATACGGCATAAAACCAAATTTTCCCACGTAGATCCAGTGATCGCACGAAAGAACTCTTTCGTCTGAACAATTGTTTCGGATAACTTTAACAGAATTTGTGGTCTATAAGTAAAGAAAATAAGAATGAATCGCGAGTGCAACGATTAGAATAAACGAAGATGCGAGTGATTTCAAGACATTCGATTTATACAAATTAGCAATGCCGGCAACCCATCTGTCTTTTGCTGCCATGTGACAATCCGCCGAGTGAACCTTATCAGAATGCTGAGCGCTAACTAATTTTACTTACCTTCCTAATGCAGTTAATTTAACAGCAATAAATCCGTGTTCACCTGCAACTTTATCAATTGTTTCACAAAAAATATCGCAGTTCTTATCACACTCGCCTTCACCTTCGTAGAAATAAGTCCTATAAATATTTAAATATTGACTGTTGGTAGAAAAAAATTTAATTAAATAGCAGTAAAATTACCGGAATTCTTCCCTTTACTGAATTTCAGCAAATATTAACTAAAGAAGTCAGCTAATATAACTAAAATAATCATCAAATAAAATAAACCAAAATATAGTTAACTCTGAACATCGAACTCGCTGTTATTAAGTCGAATACACTACATATAATTAAAACCTCGCACTGAAAACATCTTTGCGTCGATCTGCAAAATCTTTGTCAACACTGTAGCGAAGTCGTGTTTGCTCGACAATTTTATTACCAACAACATTTGCCACTGACTGCAAAATTTATAAAATATTTCAAAATTTTTAAAAAATTTGTTAATGTGTGGACGAAAATCGTAAATAATGAGGAACAAAACTTTACATTCTATTCTTTTCATTTTCCTGTTGCAGGTGAATAAATAATAATTGTTTGAAAAATTTTTATAATTTCGATTATTCACTTCCGATAGTAATCGAGAAAAAGGGAACTAAATTATCATCTAAAATTGTTGAAAAATGTTGCATGAAATTTGCATTTTACGCTTAAATTTTTCTTTTTCGAAATTTTATCATTTGATTGATTTAAACTTTAAAAAAATAATAAAAATTTTTTAAAAATGAAAAATTGATAATTTGCTGCTGACAAAAACACTAAAATCAAATGGAAATTAACAAAAAACTGGTATCGTTGAGTTAATAATTTTCCTTAGCTTTTGAATTTTAAAGACCAGAAAACAGAGAACGAAAAGTTTAATAACTCATTTCATTGTAATGTGGCTATGAACAAAATTAAAGGATTAAATTGAAAATTAAAAATTTAATAATATTTCTGAAATAAAATTCAGAAATATTATTAAATTTTCAAATTCAGAAATATTATTAAAATTCAAATCTCCCATCCCCCAAGTTCCTTCAACTATCTCAAACTAAAAAATTCGAGGACAGTGAGCGCATTTCAAACTGAATTATTGAAGCATCTCAATGATACAATGATATCAATGATTTTTCTGGAACGGCAAATGAATACTGGTCCAAACTAAAGGAATGTCTCCGAATATCAGCCACTTCCACGCTAGGACATAGTAGTAGGAAGTGCGCTAGTTGGGTATCGGAAGCAACTGTCCAATTGTGTGAAAAAGTTGCCAAAGCATTAATGTCAGGTGATACTGACTACCTTCTTCGAAGATTTGCAACAAAAGCAGCAAGGCGGGACAGAAATCTCTGTTGGAGTGACATGGCCTCAAGAATGGAGGCGGCGACTCGATTAGGCGACAATAGGAAACTATTCTGCCTTCTTCATAAAGCAACTCGAGGAACGATCAGTGAAATGGTAAGAGACATCAATGACGTACTAATTAAAAGTATGATCGCCTCATAAGATGGAAAGAATTCTTTGAGGCCAAACTTAACCATGAAGCGCCATCTGTTGCCTCTGATATAGCTGACACGTTTGCCGAAGCATACGTTTGCAATTGCGAGCCTCCAACAGAAGAAGAAATAATTTCAGTTATCCATAAGCTTAAGACCAACAAAACTCCAGGAGAAGATGGTTTTTGGGTTGAGCTTTTCAAATGCTGTCCATCGTCCTTCATAACGCACCTTCAACAAATGTACTCTTTAGTATGGAAAAAAGAAATATTACCTGATGATTGGAGCAAAGAAATTTTGTTCCCAATTCTCAAGAAAGGTGATAGGACATACTGCGACAATTATCGAGGAATCAGCCTACTAGACGTCTCAATAAAAATTTTTGCTTCTCTGCTACTCAACAGACTTATGGAAGTACGGGAGAGCAGGATGTGCCCAATCAAGCTGGTTTCAGACCAGGGCGGTTGTGCTGACCAGATATTCACGTTAAGAAAGATATTGGAACATCGCTTCAGATATTTGCAACCCGCTATCACGTGTTTCATTGACTTTGCAGCTGTATTTAATTCAATTGATAGAGCGGCGCTTTGGAAGATGATGGGACGTGATGGTTCCAGGGAAAATCATTAGACTCATAAAGGCATTTTATGAGCGCACGTCGGTGCAAGTCTGTGTATATAGGGAGCCGACAGATTTCTTCGAAATGAAAACAGGTGTCCGTTAGGTCTGCGTCCTTTCCCCCACAATATTCAACTATACGATAAACTGGATAATGGACACTGCTTGTCGGCACTCAAGAGGTGTCCGAATTACTCCAGAGCATCCTATCACAGATCTTGAATACGCTGATGATGTAGTCCTTTTTGCTGATAGTTATAACGAAAGTAATACTAAATAACGTGTCAGAAACTGCAGCAAGAATCGGACTCAGGATTAATGTAAATAAAACGAAAGCCTTTTCGTCTCATGTGCAAGAAGTTGATAAAATGCCTCTTTTTGTAAATTTATTGCAGGTTGAGGAATTGCCCGATTTTTAATACATCTTGGGTCCACTCTAATATCAAATGGACAGGCAAAAGATGATATTACAACTCGGATCACGGCAGCTAAAAATGCGTTCTTCTTCCGGTTGACGAAACTTTATGGAATCGTGAAATCACCATAAAAACGAAAGTCCGCATATATATAGCCGTGATCCGTTCGATCTTGCTATATGATTCTGAGACATGGCCAATGAGAGTGGAGGATATTAAGAACCTATCTGCCTTTGACCATTTTTGTCTAAAGTACATTTTGCCTGTCTATCGAGCGGATATTTGCATTAATAATTATCACCGAGCGTTGCCTTCGCTGGTTAGGGCCTCCGTCGTCCACCACAGGGGTTGACGCATATTTCGTTATTTGCTGTGTGATGGTTGGCGTCAAAAGCGAGGTGGGCCAATTAAGACCTGGACTAATACGGTGAGAAAAGATTTTGAACGTGTAGGTAGACCAGCAATATATGGACTTAGGCGATGGAAAAAGGAATGGCTTCCATTACTGTCTGGCATCAAACCGGGCGGCTTGGAAGCGTCTTACCCTTGTAGCCGTTGGAGGCAGTCTAATCTAACTAGTAATGGTGAAAGCTATTAGAAGAAGAAGAAGAAATAAAATTTAAATATTAATTATTTAAGAATATTTTAGTCAGTTTTTTGGAGAACTAAATTGTTGGAAATTTTATGCACCTCTCGGATTTTTAGGAAGTGAAAAATGGTTGTAAAAGGGACCTCGGTTTGCGAATTTATTCTTGTGACATTTTCCACGTTTTCCACATCGGTTTGTTTCAAATCTGCTTCAACGCTATAATCTAATATTGCTTTTACACCAAATGTTCTCATTCTTGCAAGTATCGGTGTTACCTAATAAATAAGAAAAATGAATTTGTAATTAAAGAAATTTATTAATTGGAAAATATTTTATTGGCTGATTGGTTAATTGATGAGATAAATTATTTTCTTTCTATATAAAATGTAGAAAAATTACGAAAAAGAACTCTAAAAATAAAAAAAGAGAGTTTATAAGGAAGAATAAAAGAATGAACTTCATTCATCGTTTCACCAGCCACAAATTGTCCAAAAGCAGTTAATTTAAGAATCTTGTTGAAAAGTTTTTTTCCGAATATTTTTCTCATCATTAGAAAAATTTTGTCATTGTATCTAACCAAAAATTCATTTGAAATCAACCGAAGCACAAACAATGACCGAATTATTTCGAAATTCGTTTTACTCTGAAATAATGGACTTGAACATTTTGAAGATGCGCTGTACTCCTTAGCAGCTGTTACATATCCTGTTAACAGTCTCCTAAACTTTCCTTTAATGTCATTTCTGCTTTAAATTTTTATAAAATTTCATTAAGAAAACTCGACTTTATGTTGCATTCAGAATAGGAAAATGATCAGAATATTTGGCAACCATTTTTAAATTTGTAAAATTTTTAGTCGATTATTCGTTACCTTGTAAGCTTCGCGCGTATTTTCGAATGAAAGATCTAACTTCCGGTAGCATTTTTCAATCTCATTCTCTGCTGGCGATGGTGATGCGGATGGGGATGGTGATAACAACTGTGATGATAATGGCGATGATGATGATATTGACGAAGAAAATTTGCTCTGTTTGAATGTCGCTAATGGAAGCACTCTGCAGCTGTATTAATTATCCATTAAAGAATATTATGAATATTTCGAGATTAATTTATAATGCTGCTAAAAGTTTTAAAAGACTGAGGCATACAAATTAAAATCAAAGCGATTCATTATCATTTAGTCTGTCCAAAAAGTATCCACAAAATGAATAAGAAGCTTACATTAATCTTTATTATATAATTGTAGATATAATTCCTATAATCTCTTATGGCTATTATAAATAAATTAATCAAAAAAAGCAGAAAAGATTCAAAATTATTAAAAGAAAACGAAAATAAATGACAGAGAAAATGAAACTCTAAGGGCGATTTTGATATTGTTGCATGCCACACCAGCGATCGAACGACTAATGAGCTCGGTAGTACCATAAATAAAACTGAAATATATAAAAGAAAAGAAATTAGATCTTCAGTGACCGAAATTATTAAAATTACGGATTATTTATCGTTTCTTTCCAGAGATTTTTATCTTTTATCGTTGCTTATGCGATAAAGCTTTATCCAAAAAAAACACTTTCTAGAAAATTGTTCAGTCTGACCGATTCACCAAAAAAATATTTTCAGTTGATTATCACCATAATTAATTGCCTAAACCGATCTTTTGATTATTGATTATATGACTTTAAAGGCATCAGAAATTTCTTACACTGTGCGAGAAGTACCGTATGGTTCTTTTCTCAATCGATAAATTATCGATAAATTATTTGACTATGTTAATTAAAAGTAAAATGAGTGATTTATTTAATTTCCAGTAGTTGATTATGTGTTTAGTGGATACATGATGATTTATTAGTGATTATAGGACCACTTATAGAGTATTACACGGATTTTTGAAAGACATATCTGTCGACTGCGAGGAACGTAACATCGACGCTCCGAAACGAGAAGTTTATAAGAAATTGTCATTTATAACTAATAATAATAGGTGATTTTATTCGAAGCACTTGGTACTCATAAATGAGCCAAAAATCTCTTAGGTTTTTATAGCTTATTGAAGAAAAGAACGAAAGAAAAGAACCAAGAAGCCAGAGAAAAAAAATTATACACTTGTTAGCATTTCTGTTGGCATAGTTAACAAAAATTTACAAAAAAAACAGGTTTAATGGGAATCAAAAATCAAAATTAATTTTATAATAAGAATTGAATTTTGTTTTGTATAAATGAAATATAAAATAGTACCTATCAATTTTGTTTTCTTCGCAAGGAATCGGTAAGAATATACATTCAAAAAATATTATGATCAATCATATTTTACATTTATTCATATTAATTCATTTTAATAAAAAACATTAAAAAGTTGAAAAAAGTAAAGATTGGTACTTTTATTTATCTAAGCTTTCTAAAATCCTTAGTTTCTAAGTCGATGGAACTAGTGACAAAATAACTGCCACCGAGAATTGAGCTTTGGTTCGAGTCAGGCTGCTGCATTGTCGTACAATGAAGAAAACAAAGGAAAGCAGAATGGCTCAATGAATTGTGCTAAGCTAAAATTGTGAGGTTCTACTCCATGTAAATTTTCCAAATATCTTGATGATGCTGGCGACTAAGCTGTGGTTCTATCACTAAGGAATTTCCTGGCATATTTGTGCAGTCCAAAAAGGCAGAGGAAGGAGTATATATAATAATATATATATTTTTTAAAGAATCCTCACCATTACTGGTTAAACTCGGTCTATGGCTTGTCGCATTGGACAAATATAATCAGGGAGTCCCTTGGTCCTTTGGTGATAGAAATACAGGTGAGTCGCCAGCATCACCCTGATTTTTGTACAAGTTTGCTCCTATGAGGAATAAAAATCTCAGCATCAGCTCTCCGGATTAAAAAAGAACCCACTGAGCCATTCTATCTTGACATTGTGTATATATATATTCAATTTCAATTCGAATTCAAATTATGTCATTCGCTCTTTTTTGTTTGTTTAACGCGTCTTATTTTCCAAGGCTGAAGGACTGACTACAAACGTTTGGTCTGATGACCCTTACAAATGCTTTCCATTTGCGCTGGGGCAATGGTCCTTCATTTTCGACTAGCTTCTTTTTCTAACAGTTTTCACCATTATTGACTCAGCTTACTGCAAGATAAAACAGAAGTTTGTTCTTCAAATCGTTCTACTCGATGCCTCGCTGAGATTGAAATAGACCACTTATAGGAAAATTGGAAGGTCTGATGGTAAGAAATATGGAAACCATCTTATTATAGATGAATTGCAAATTTCGTTATATTCGATGAGAAAAATGAAACAATTACAACCAGAAATTGTGGGCTTATTGATCCACATCCGATGAAAGGAGACATTGTTGTTGATATGGAAAACGCCGATAACACAACCAAAAAACTGAAAAGAAAACCGAGAAATCAATTGCTTATGCAGAGATCAGTCCAGAGGAAACAAGCGAAACAAAATGTAAGGCTTCAATATGTTTTTGACACTTTGCAACGAAGATTCCAACAACAAATTAGCTTAGTGTATCAAAGGAGTTGTCAAAATCGAAACAACTTATTATCACTAATAGAATGACTATCACATAGTAATCCAACGTTAGCGGCCAAATTGTTATTACTGAGAAATGATGTAAAAGTTAAAAGAATTGATGGGAAATTACTATTAGCTTCTTGCAAATTCAAAAAATCTCAAATTAAAGGTTATCGAGTTCAAGGAAGGAATAATAAGTAAGTTTGAAATTGAAAGAGTTAATACAGAATTGGAAATACTAGGCCATAGCCAAGAAATAAAATAATTAATCCTGCGTCTCGGCAACGGAAAGGTGAAGCTCTCTGGCAAGAAATGAGTCAATGAGACAAGAAGAAGAATTTGCAGAACAATTGGAACACGAAACCAGTATGACCACAGAATCAAAACAAGAAGAACTTGCAGAACTAATTAAACATTGGAATATACTATATTCATAGTGTCAATTGTATTGATTGTTATTAAGGTGAAATTCGAATTAATTATTAATTATTATTATTAATTAATTATTATTAATTATTTGTTCGTTTAGTAGTGAGAATTCAAGTCAACAGAAAATTGTTACTATTCCTTTAAAAGTACTACGGACTGATCTAATTAAAGGAGAAAAAAATTTATCTACCAAATAAACCATTTTTTGTTATAAATAAATAAAAAATAAACTCACCTGAAGTTCCTGATTTCTCAGTCGGGGGTGTCGCAAAAAGCGAACAAAAAAAAACATAAACATACAAATTAAATTCACCAAATAAATGCTATGAATCAACATTCGAATCTCAAATTCCATTTCCTCTTTATACCAAAAAAAACTATTTTACAATAAAAAATCTCACTGTTATCCAAACATAAACAAATAACTATAGCTTTTGTTATAAAGATCTGTTAATTATGCGCGTCATGCTATTCATACAAAATGTTTTTTTGGTTAATGGAAACAATATATATATATATGCGTATAGTATAGAAATTTTATATTTTTGGTACCTTTAGGTATTTTTGGTGTCTTTCGGTATTTTTTGGTATTGGGTATTTTGAGTTTGGGCCTTGTTTATGTTTAGATATATACTTTGAATCTGCTTTATGCATACATTCCTTAGTTATGTATGAGAAATTCGGCTCCCCCTTTTTCTTTTTTGTCTTATTTCATTTGTTTTTTAATTCTTCACTTGAACTTATTGTTTATAATTTTATATTATAATAAAGATGAGAAATTTTTAGCCTGCTTGGGCACAAAATGACGAGCCATTAGACTTACAATGGTGAACCACATCCCTTTCGTTTGAAACTTGTTTTTGTCAGTCTAATCTCATATACTAAATCGCGCCAATCCCTTCCCAACAGCCTCACTCCTCCACAACAAAAATAATTTATTGGTGCCACGGGCCAGGAACATGACCGCAACTATAAAGCACAGAGGGCAAAGGAGAAACTGGAGCATTTTCTCAAAGAAGTCAAAGGAATGGATCTGACGACGGAGGATCAAATGCTGACCAGAGAAGAAATCCGTCAACTGCTCCCCTTTGATTATTTAAAGCTATGCAAAATTGCGATGTTGTTGCAGAAGTAATTGTCTGGTCAGATAATGATAATGATAATGATAATCTAAGAAATGCTTTAGTGTATACTGTCCGATTGACATTACTGCACATAGCCTATATCCGCACGTGAGTTCGAGTATATATGTTAGCCTTGACTGATGTAAAGGTTTGATTTAAGATTTCTTCACAGTTCCACTTCTCAGGAATATTGAAATGGTATACCAGATATCCATTTGCAATTTTTTGTCGTTGTTGCTTGTTTTAATATTATGGAAATCGTCGTTATTAGTAATAAAGTTTTTATCATAGAATTTCGTATTCCCGTTGGAGTTCTATGCTGTCTTGTAGCACATCTATTTCGTCGTGAAGTAAATTCCTCTTGTCCAGTGCTTTGTTTTGGTTGATTTATGGGGTTCTCCAATGTTAATTTTGTCCTTCGTGTTTTCTTCGAGTTGGATTTCCAATGGATATAGCATATTTATAGGTCGATTCATTAATCTTCCCCGTGGTAATTTTATTAGAGCACCTCTTACTTTATTATCTCTTTATTGAATTTCTTTTTTTGCTAATTTCTATGTGCCGCGGGGAGCATTTGATTCCTTTACTATTACAATTTCTCCTTCAATAGGAACTCTAGTCTCTACACTTCTAGAAGATTTATATTCTATATTTCCCAAAATGTATCTGGAGTTTTCGTGATATTTATACAATATTTGATAAGTTTTTCTTGATTATTTAAGCTGTGAAGGGTATAATCATTTTGATCCTCGATATTATTAGTAGGTATCGTTAGACATACATCTGGTATAGTAAAGTCGATAGGTCTTAGGATTGCGGAATAGTCAAAGTTTGCATAAGTTAGTGGGTGAATATTAAGTATGTTTTCTATTTCCACTATTAAGGTCATAAATTCCTTTTTTTTTAACAATTTCCTTCCTATAACCTTTCTTAATGTTCTTTTCGTTAGACCGATCATTCGCTCGTAAACTCCTCCTCTCCAAGGCGACTTAGGAATTATATTTCTCCGTTTCATTCCATGTCTAGCTAGTCGGTCAGTTGCGTTTCTCGTTCCATTAAGATTTGGAAAACTAACTGAAATTGACTCGCATTGTCACTTATATTATCTCTGGATAAACGCGACGTGAGACAATTCTTCTGAAATTATTCAAGAAGCTTTCTGCAGATAAATTATCTGCTGATTCTAAGTGCACTGCTCTTCTGGTAAAACATATAAAGGACAACCCATCTTTTAGTTATTCCTGCTTCTGTTTAAATGTTTCCATTAGTCCAAGCCAAGTGCGAATGTTCGAGATCGTTTTACTCGAATTGCTGGATAATTAGGCATAGTTGGCAGTTTAAATGGCTTTGCCTTCCATCGTTTACATCCCATGCATTTCAAAACTCTTTTAACTTCTTCTTTGGGTATCCAAAACCTTTTTCTTAAACTTGAGATCGTATGAGCTGTTCCAGCATGAAATATTTCTTCATGTTGTCGTTGTATAAAGATTTCGGCTATGCGATTATGTCTAAGAAGATATATGGGATGCAATCCCTGTTCGTCTAATTTTGAATTTTCTAAGCGGCTTTTAGATTTCAATACTCCTTCTTCATAGTTTAGATTCCATTAAATTTTTTGTTCTTCCTTCAGATCCTTCGGATCTTAATCCTTCAGATTAGGCTCTAATTAATATATTCATAGCTAGTTCATAATAGTCGTCATTTAGTCGATTCTTCCCTGATGAAGTATTTAACCAAGGAATTCTTTGCTTTTATTAGATTTATTAGATTTAAGAATTTCAAAGCCCATACCATCGCTCTTATAAATCTCGTCCATTTGCTGAATCTTGTTGCATCTATTAGTTTAAAGGTCTTGTTGAATAGTAATATGCGCAACGATTTTCTGATTTTGTTCTTCGCTTTCCCTTTTATTCTTCATCGATACTGTATTTCCCAATGTGGCCATTCTGACTCTTCCTTTGTTAACCAATCTGCTCCATTCCACCATAGTTCAAATCCTGTGAGTTGAAGCGGAGAGAGTCCTCTGGTAGCCACATCTGCTGGATTGTATTCACTCGGAATATGAATATGAGCGAAATGAGACTTTACTTTACTTAGCTCTCAACAATTCTCTTTAACTCGATTTTGGATGAATTTGGGTATGAATTAGTAGGCGAGAATGATTTTCTATCCAGTGTAATACACATTTGGAATCTGACCAAAAGGTGATATCAATATCTTCTAGTTCCATCTGTTTAATAACATATTAAGTACGAGCATGGCTAAATAATTCTAATCTTGGAATAGTCATATCTTTGATGGGAACAATCCGTGACTTGACGGAAATCAATGCTTTCTTATCCTGAATAACGTATATTAAAGCAGCATATGCAGTTGAAGAAGCGTTTGAGAAAACATGAATTCTTTTAAATTGTGATGGATCAATTGCGAAACATGGTATTTCTTTTACATATAACATATAATGGCCAATCGCATATAAGATCTTCCCCTATTTTCTGGTCTTTCTTACTTATTGATTGGTCCCAACTTACTTTCCCTTTCCAAAGATTTTGAAAAAATAGTTTGATCGGCATTGTACTTGGAATTAGGAATCCTAAGGAATCATATTGAGAAGCTATCCTCCTTTTTGTTGGCTCTTTCAAGGTTTTAAGGCTATTTGAATAATGTCCCTATCGGGGTTCCAATTAATACCAAGAATTTTTTTAAACTCACTTGTCTCTGCTCGATCCTGTTCAGGAATCTTGGAATTAAATTCTTTGTCATTTAATAAGAATTCCCTAATATTCATAGAGACGTTGTAAAAGATAGTTCATTTCTTGTTATTTGTGCAGAGCTTCATCGGTATCCCTGGTTGACACTATAATGTTGCCGACATAGAGATTTTTTCTGATCTCGATGCCGAGCTCATTACCATAATTTTCGAAGTGGTAATTAAGTGTAGCCGATAACAAAAATGGTGCATATATAACTCCGAACAGTATTATGACGAGCTTTGCACTGGAAACAAATACGTTTTCTTTTTTTGCAGTTGATTGCCGTATGTCTTGGTTGAAGACAGTTCAGACAAGTGTTGCTTTCTTTTAGTCGTTGCATTCTTTGTTCTAGACTAGATAAGCTTGGCATTCATTATCCCAATGATTCTTATTGCAAAAAATACAAGGTCTTCGAGTTTAACTAACATTCTTCGTATTAGCCTTTGTTTGGTATTTATTTGTTTGCGGAGTCGTTACAGTTAGAGCTGAAGTTTCTTCTGGAAAATATCGTGGATTAATTTTACCTTTAGCCACCTTTTGCTGCTTCATAAGAGATCGGCTTCTTGTTACCTCTTCATTTCTTTGAATCAGTTTCGCTAAGAATTGTCTAGATACTGGCCATATTTCTTGTTCCTCCCGTTGTTGATATGCTCTATCCAGAATCCAAGCAGGCAGTTTATTTTGATAATTTCAACATTGGAATGTTCAAGGTTTTCGCCCATTGCTTCAAGTTGTCGAACCATTCTTTCTATAGTTTCTACCGTTACTTTCATTCTCGGTTATCCTTCTTGATCGAATATAATTCGCTGTAGAGCAATTTTTTAATGATATGTGATTGTCCAATTTTTTTAGTAAGGACCCTTCGTATCATATCATAATTTTCTGGGACTATATCATAGCCCCTGATGGCCATTAAGGTATTTACCTTCAGACATGCAATTAAATTATTTAATTTCTGGATTTCTGGTATGTTTTGTAAAGGAACTGCAGCCTCAAAACTACTCCAGAATCCTCTCCATAATTTCGGATTACCACTGAAGGTAGGCAGTGGTAATTAGGGTAAGCTTAATTTTGGATAACAGATTATTTGAGTTGGTTGTCCCTTTATTTCGCCTTGTTTAAGGCGTTGAAGTACTGATTCTGAGTCATTCATATACATAGTTAGAAGTTATCTGCCTTTGACCACTCTTGTCTAAGGTACATATTACGGGTTCGCCGAGTGGATAAAATCTCATTACATCGCATCCACCTTCGTTCAAATACCACTTGCATAAATAATGTTATCACAGAGCGCCGCCTTCCCTGGTTAGGACACATTCTCCGTCGTCCACCACAGGAGTTGACGCATATTTCGTTATTTGTTAAACCGTGTGACGGTTGGCGTCAAAAGCTAGGTGGGCCAATCAAGACCTGGACTGATACGGTGAGAAAAGATTTTGAACATATAGGTGAACCAGCAATATATGGACTTAGACGATAGAAAAAGGATGGCTTCCATTACTGTCGACGATGGCATCAGACCGCGCCGCTTGGAAGCGTCTTACCCTTGTAGCCGTTGGAGCCAGCCTAACCAGTAATGGTGAGAGCTGTTAGAAGAAGATATACATAGTTATGGTTATGATAATTTCCCTACCTTCGTTTATTAAGCATAAAATACCTTTTTTATCTTTGACCATTTGATCTCTTCTTGTTGCTGGAGCTTGCTGGATATATTGGATCCAATTAGTATTAAAGTATTGTTTACATGAAGCTTGAGACACTTTTTTTCTTCAATAATTCTTTTTCGAGCCTTGTGCAGTTGACAGATTTCTTCTCTGGTTAGCATTTGATCCTGCGGCGTCAAATCCATTTCTTTGACTTCTTTGAGAAGAGCCTCCAGTTTCTCCTTTGCCGGCTGTGCTTTATAGTTGCGGTCATGTTCCCGGCTGGTGGCACCAATAAATTATTTTTGTTGTGGAGGAGTGAGGCTGTTGGGAAGGGATTGGCGCGATTTAGTATATGAGATTAGACTGACAAAAACAAGTTTCAAACGAAAGGGATGTGGTTCACCATTGTAAGTCTAATGGCTCGTCATTTTGTGCCCAAGCAGGCTAAAAATTTCTCATCTTTATTATAATATAAAATTATAAACAATAAGTTCAAGTGAAGAATTAAAAAACAAATGAAATAAGACAAAAAAGAAAAAGGAGGAGCCGAATTTCTCATACATAACTAAGGAATGTATGCATAAAACAGATTCAAAGTATATATCTAAACATAAACAAGGCCCAAACTCAAAATACCCAATACCAAAAAATACCAAAAGACACCAAAAATACCTAAAGGTACCAAAAATATAAAATTTCTATACTATACGCATATATATATATATTGTTTCCATTAACCAAAAAACAATTTGTGTGAATAGCATAAATTTTTTTGGTATAAAGTTTTTTTTGGTATAAAAAGGAAATGGAATTTTAGATTAGATTACTGATTCACAGCATTTATTTGGTGAATTTAATTTGTATGTTTTTTTCTGTGTTCGCTTTTTGCGACATCTTATATTTATATTTAACAATCCTCTATATATATTTAACATTTAAAAGTCCACAAAAAAAATTTTTTTCTCATTCCCATGGGTGATCATGGTCATCCTCAATCTCGGAGCCTCTATCAGAAGCCTAGGGGATTGAGGGTTCTGTGCAGTATCTTAACTGTTTCTGATAATGCGTTCTCCTGGATAGAAATCTCTGATGTTGTTCCTGGAATCTGCTGAAGCTACTTTTCCAGTTTAGAGACCTCATTTCCAATTATCACTGGAATTATTTTGACCTTTACTTTCCACATCTTCTCTAGTTCCTCTTTCAGCCTTTGGTATTTTTCTAAATTCTTATATTCCTTCTTCTTGAATTAGTGGCTTTCACACGTAGCACCACCTTCCTTCTTTCCGGCTCGTATATAGTCTTTGAATGTTGGACTTGGGATGGAAATTTCTAGGCGATTGTGAAGAATTTTCTGGTCTTTACATCAGCAGTCTCCATGTCTTCTTTTGTCCATCTTACTATGCCAGCTGTTACCTGGCAGAGCATATACATATTTATGGCATGGATTTTGTTCTTCCAGTTGAGCTGACTATTCATGATTATTCATCTTCTCCTTTGGTAATACTTAAATGCAGTCTTGCATGGTGAAGCAGTCTTTTTTGCCTCATCATCTGGCCGATACCATGATACTTATAGCTAGCCTGTATGTCAGCTATATGCATGTCCATGGTGGCAGGTCCACCACATTAGCCATTACTTCTTTTTGTTTCTTTACTACCATTTGGCCACATTCCTTCAATCTGAATAGCATACCAGTGTCCTCGCTGTAGAATCATATTAGATGAATAAACGAGTCAATATCTCGTTCGCCTTGATGTCATCTACGTAGAGAAGATGGCTACCTGATGGTAATCCCGCTCTTGAATTTGTATCCATATCCATTTTTGGTGATTATTTAACTGAGAAAGTTTTAGACCTATGCAATAAGGGACACAATGCATTGCCTTGTTATATACTGCACTTGATAGCATACTACTTGTATAAGCTGCTTCGAGTTAATTTATTAATCTCAATGAGTTCTCAGTGAGCATCTTTAGGTCCTGTTGATTTTGTGTAGAGCCAGATATTCATAGATCCATGTGTGGGTATGGAGTTGTAAGCTTCCCTCTAGTCAATACAAGCTATACACAGATTGGTCTATCGGAACTTTGAATCTTGAGTGACTACCTTATTTCTAAGCTGATGTTTGGAGCCTCTGGTGTTCTCGATGCCTTTTTGAATTGTACTCATGTACTGGCTAATATAGTCATGAAGCTTGATGGCTATGATGCCTGAACAGGTCTATTTTGAATCTTGAGCGACTGTCTTATTTCTAAGTGACTGGTGTTTGGAGCATTTGCTATTATATGTTTCGCCCATATATTCTTCCAGTATAGTTTCTGTAATTTCCTCTTTCTTACGTTGAAGCATTGAGCTACCAACTGTTTTTCAGTTATTATTAAACGTGGGTCTTTTTTCTATCCACAGTGTCTTCATATGACAACATTGATTAGGTCTACTATTATACTAGCATTCCATCAGTTCCAGATCATCTTGTAAAATTTATCCCAATAGCCCATCTAACACCAGACTGCCTTGGTCCCCATAACAACTGGCACTGTTCCAGTAGCCCATCAGATAACTCTGGTCCCTCAGCCTGTGACTCGGACCTTGTTAATCCGGGCGACATCCGAGCAGGCATGACTCTAATATACGACACCCTCATATTGAGGCAGATAAGCGAGTTTTGTCCAAAAACCGCACCGGAAGTGTAGAAGCTTTTGGCTGCGATTCCAGCCAAAACGCTGTTTTTGTTCTATATCGATCCCCCCTCTCCAACCACTGCATTAAACCGGTTAATTTATATATATATATAAATTTATTTTTTTACTTATCTTTTCAGCTTATTTCTCTTTAAATTTTCTATTTTATTTTATTTTTCTCTCGCAATTTTATTTGCTTTGTCTCTGTAGCAGTAAGCCTATCATGATTTCAAAAATCCGAGTGGCTGCATGGGAACCATTTGTAACTCTATCCCCAAATAATTCTTATAATTCAAACATGATGAAAGGATCTGGCCTTGATTTGCATGATGCCTCCATCCCGGTGGTATATGCGATGAATATGATGAATATGCAATATGGGAATAGTAAAAGGCTTATAAATAAGGTGTATTTGCGAACCAGGGTAATTACTGAGAATCTATCAAGGAATACCGAGGTGTTAGCCATAGCAATGTGGAATATCGGGACGCTTACGGACCTTGTTAATCCAGGAGATGTCCGAGAAGGCGTGACATATTGAGTTTTTTTTATTCCATATCGACTGCCTTTTACCAATGAATTTAACCGGTTCAATAAAAAAAAAACTTCTCTCACCCCCATCATTATCATCCTCAACCTCTACCAGTGGATTCTTAGCTGTTCCTAACTGGAGTCTTTTATATATATATATATATATATGGAGAATAATAAGACGGAGATCCTGTGAGACTTTTCCATCTAGACAGACAAATAAGTACTGGCCAACCAATCTCCCATGCCTCTGGTAGGGGATGATCATACCCACCTATGTGGAGTGAGAAAAAAGTTTATATATATAATATGTACATGTCGCTAAGCTGCCTATACGTTCGAATTTTTTTTTTGACTCTTTCAGTGTAGGTCTTGCTTGTCCTCTTCTTTGACACCATCCAGCAAGTAGCGAGGGCGAGGTATGTCATTCCCCGCAAATAACATAGCCTAACCAGTGTAGAACATAACGAACGCCCTATCACAATATTATTAATGCAAATTCCATTGACGAGAGGATGAACGTGTGAGGTTTTATCCACTCGACGAGCCTGTAAAACGTGCCTTAGACGTAAGTCGTCAAATGATATTTCGCAGCTATGGAAGAAGATGGTGCAGCGAAATAGATGCAGATTTCGATGACAATTTCACAGCGATAGAAGTTTCAGAAAGAGTCCCCTTCTAGTTGCCGCTATACTTTTCATATGGCGATTTGTTGTGAGAGCAATAACGTACTTTTCTGCACAATCCTCGCTAACGATTTCGAATTCCTCGTTCCACGAGAAGCGTCGCTAGGCTTCTAATTAATTGCAAATTATCAGACCACTCATCGATTCCGATGAATTCTAGTTTTCATTATTATGGCGAATATTTTTCGCAGGTAGGAATTTTCTATGAAATTCTGAAATTCAACAAATTGGAAATATTTAAAATTTATGGCTTCTTCTCCACAAATGATTAGTCAATTGTAAAGTAATAATTAATAAAAAAAATAAAAAAATTTTGAAAAATGAATTTTTTTTTTTATTAAAAGTTGTTGAAAATTTTCTTTATTTCCCATAATAAAATACACAGTATTTTCCAACTAATCTAACGTTCATTCATTCATTCATTCATTCATTCATTCATTCATTCATTCATTCATTCATTCATTCATTCTCTCTCACTGTTCAATGTTCAGCATTGCACATTACAATTACATTAACATTGCTCTATTTTCCCCCGTAATAAATATTATTGTTCAACAATCTTTATCGATTCTTATTGATTGATTTGACTTTTATCAACTTTTCTTTTACGAAATTTTATATAATTTATTAAAAATTCAATTTTCTTATAAAAACGACAAAAAGTATCGAAAATTTCATAGTTTTGCTCGTTTTTTTCTTATCGAATTTTTCTTTTTTACTGAAATTTTTTTTGGAAAAATTTCTAATTAGAAAGTCTTTTTGCCTTTGATAAAAAATTATTTATAAGAATTTATAAAAAATGAATTTTTATTGCAGAAGGAAATGGATCGATCGAAATTTGGCTTAGATCTGGGATTTCATGATTTGGTGCCGCGAGTGCCGATGACCGACGAAGAGGTTTTTAATTTTTATGCCTTTTTCTTAAATTCCTACGATGCCTGTTTCTTTCATTCAAAAGGTCGAAGGCTATTTGCGCATATTTGGAAAAAATGGAGTTAATCCACATCTCTCTTCCACAATAAATGAAAAGTTCATAAGGCAGAATAAGACATATTAAATGAATAATCCTTCAGAATTTCATCTCTTTCTTTCTACTTTTGAAAATTCCTGTTAATTCCTGCTTGCATCCACCTGTGCCTCTATCATCAAGTGGCAAAAATTTCCAACCGTACTTACAATCAGCTAACCTAACCACGAATAATGAACGATAACTGCTTAATTCATTGCTTTTACTTCTGAAAAATGATTCGTAAACAGTGATTTTATTTATAGGTTGAAGAGAAATACGAAGCGATTCGAAAGCGTTCGGGATTATTAACGATTTTGGGCGAAGTACACAAATGTGACTTAGAAGATATTGTTGAACTAAAAGAATTGGGTCGCGGTGCATTTGGTGTCGTTCGTAAGGCACAATTTAAGAAAACCAAAACATTAATGGCTGTTAAGGTGTCAGAAATTTCCCTGTCTTTTTATTGCTTCTTCAAAATCCCAATTAATTAAATAATCGCCTTCTAACAGAGTTCACTCTTTGCGATTATATCAGTTATTAGAGTGCGAATCTTTCTTTGGCGATTCTCTTCTGCAGTTGCAATTAACAGAGATCCTCAACAAACTCTCCAGGCAATAAGTAATATGGCTGATCATAGGAGGTGATGCTGCTACTTGGCGAAAAAATATAATTATCTTAAATATTTAGTTTAGATTATTCCAATAACGGGTAATGCAGAAAATAATAAGCGTACCGTAATGGATATGGACGTAATTATGCGCTCGCATAATTGTCCTCACATTGTTCGATGCTACGGCTGTTTCGTTTTCGATGTAAGTCTGTTTATCGTTCCAACAAATTTTTATTATCTTTTCTTTTCTTAAATATTTATCGTATTTTTAGAAACTTTATCCATAACGCCATTTGGGAATGCTTATTGCAGTGTATTTTATGGGAAGCGTGCTCTATGATCGAGTGGTGAAATGAATGGTGAATTGCGAGTGCAATCATAGTCCCCGGTAGGAGTAGGAGTAGAAGTATAACGGAGTGGCGATGGGGAGCCAGCTGTATTTTCATCCACTTCAGTGTTCATACAGAAAATGAAATAGTCACTTAGAACTCGAATGATTTAAAGTATTTGAAAGGAAATTGCTATTGTTTCATATGGGGTACTTCAAATATTGTTTATTGCGTTAGGAAGGAATTTCAGAGCCACGAATCAGCCAGAGAATTAACTACACTTAGTAATGCACTTTTAAAATATGGTTAGTTATCTCCACCATTACTGAAGATGGGATTGAAGTCTATAATTAGACACCAGCATCGCCCTCATTTCGATTCCAATAACAAGTTCGTTCCGCTCGAGGCACAACAAATATATGGCATTATTAAATGCAACCTACCACTCGATTAAGCTGCCTCCACTTATACTTCAGTAATAAATATAATATTAATTGAAACATAAATGGTAGGAAGTAGTGGAATTCTGGCTTATTGCTAAAGGCATTTTTATTACATAATAGATATTTTAGTCTGAAGTTCGTATTTGCATGGAATTAATGTCAATGTGTCTCGAAAAATTGCTAAAAATAGCTCATTCATTTCCCGAAACCATTGTTGCGAATATTACAAATTCCGTTCTTCTTGCTTTAGATTATCTCAAAGAAAACGAAGTTTGTTTAATTTTTTAAATTGTTTTTTCTACTCATGTCGTGCATTTGCTTGAAACCAATTTTCATCAAATTTCTTCTTTTTCCTCGTCGTTCGAAGAGTTTATCATGGCGATCTCATTTTTCCTATAGTGTTAATTTGTTTCCTTTTTTTGAGAAAATCATGCATCGTGACATCAAGCCATCAAATATATTAATCGACCACAGCGGTGTTATTAAATTATGTGATTTTGGTATTGCTGGTAGGTTAATTGATTCAAGGAAAGCAGAAACAAATACTAAGGGATGTACAGCATATTTAGCGGTAAATATTTATTTTCAATTTTTTTTTAAGCTTTCGCCATTGTGATTATTCCGTTGGCTTTTCGCACTAGACAAATCTTGCTAAAGAGTCACTTGGCTATGCGGGTGAGTCGCCAGCATCATGAATTTTTAAAGGACGGGTCTGCTCTTATCGGGCATAAAAACTCAACATTGGCGCTTCGAACAGAGTAACAACTCATAGGACCATTCTGCCTCATTCGCCGTTCGACGAAGTGTGGTGCACCGGATTAGAATCCCAGCCATTCTCGATTTTTGGTGGTAATCATCTTGCCATTAACCATCGATTCACCATTTATTTTCATTGTTCCCAAAAAAATTTTTTTCATTTTATGTACCTGAGTTTTTTTTAGTAAGAAAATTTCCTTTTTATTTTTATTTCTTTACTGAAAAATTCCTTTCAGCCGGAACGAGTTGGTACAAGTGAAAGCGAATATGGAGTAAGGGCAGATGTATGGAGTTTAGGAATTGCATTAATGGAATTAGCAACCGGTCGACATCCCTATGAAGGTTGTTCAACAGATTTTGAATTATTAACAAAAATCAAAGGAGAACAACCACCACGACTCGATCCGTCATCCGGCTTCTCTAATTATTTTTGCATTTTCATCGCGAGGTGTCTTATGAAATGTCCTGTTGATAGACCAAGCTATAAGGAATTGTTGGTAATTATTAAGGAATTTTCTATACATTTTTTTCTAACATGGCAAAAATTTCCCAATTTATGAATTATAACGAACTTATTCATAATAAACCAATGCGACCATTCTAGGATCGCTATTGATGAATAGCCAAAGTCATACATTCTCTTTCATGTCGATACTCATAGAATTACTCACAAATTGTAAAAGGTAAAAAGGTCATCAGTGCCTTATAATTTTTTTTTTTCAGGCGGACCCATTTATTACCTCTAATACTAGCACTACAAATGAAGTAGCACGGTGGTTCTCGTCTGTATTGCAAATGTAAACTGTTATTTTGGGATTTTAATGCTTTTTTTTCTAATATGGCAAAAAAGTTTTATCTTATCGCATGGTACTATAATTTTATTATTATTATTATTGGTAAATACTTATAGGATTTAATACTTATTTTTGGTAATATATTTTGCCTCATAATACGATAATCAACTATAGAATAATTTCTTATAGGTGACTGCTAAGATAACTAAAATTAAATTTTAAAAAATTTAGTTCTTGCAAATGGAGATTTAATTATTGGATATTCAAACTGTATAGTGTAAGTTATTTAATCTAACTTCTTCAGTAGAAAATTTAAGAGTATTGTAAAGTAAGATTACTTTCATTTTGGCTTGGAAAACAGAATGTTACCGTTAAACCCTTCGGCTTTCATGGTTGCTCTTATAATAATCCCATTTACTTTTATATTTTGGAAGAGAAAAAATATTTATTGGCGATCACTTGTGAAACACTCAATGTTTATTTCTCTGTCAAATATTGCGATGAAATGAAGAAACAAAAACCGACTTGTAAAGCAAATTTCTCTCCTGCGCGCAATTTCCTTATTAAAACATTGGCCTTCTAGCGGAATGAGGTGACTTTGTTTTTGCCTCATTTCTTTAGTTTTAACAGAAATTTATTGGCATTTATTGCTTATTTCGGGCATCTCTAAAGTCGAAGCCTCAATCCATGTAATTAATGCTGTTAATACTTTTATGTGTATTCTACGTTTTGTTTTCGGAAATATAATTGTAATTACTATTATTGATGTTGGTAGTAAAACCGAGTAGAAATACACCATTGCACCATTTCTACTTGGTTTTTATAAGTAAATAAAGGAAGTTTAGAATCCATATTATCTGATTTAAGAAGAAAGGTTTAAAAATTAGAACGAACCATTTAAATTAATCAAAAAAAGAACCTTTATAATGTGACTGATCTTGAATAAATTTGCTCAAAAAATCTCGTTTTATTGAGATCGTCAAAAAAAAGAAAAAAACGAATCTGATAATGCCACATCGAAATTCCATTATTGTTCCCATTATTGCCTTTTATATATTCCCACTGCGAAACTTTTATTTCTCTCCAGACTTCTCCAAATATCTCCAAACTTTTATTCTACCCAGCAACACTTGTCTTGCGACTTGGTGGAAGTCTGTGCATACTAATTTTGGCTTTTCTAATTTCCATTAAAAAAACTTATTTTATCGTAAATAAATATGGCATCCATTTGGAGAAATGATTACAGATTCCAGCGAGAGTTATTTTACTTTTATTGTTCATCTCAGCGAGAGACATGCATCGAACTTCATGAACTTCTCTCACTTCTGTCAAACAAAACATACCAGTGAACTATCCGATCTCTTATTAAAATAACCACCGATTTACATTAAAAATTTCTTATTATTGACAGATTTACATAAATGATAACGTAAATATTGATAAAATGAGACAAATAATAAAACAGAAATAAAATTAACTAATAAAATTCGAATAACGAACATATAATCGTAAATATTATCACTGTTATTAGCGTCATTGATAATTCTTGGCCATAATAACAAAATTGCTGTTATTATTACGGATATTAATATTATAGGAATTGTTGAAATGCTGAAATTTTATAAACAAACTTCGAAGAGAAATTTACCACGACCGAATTCAGGTTTAACGAATAGTAAGAAGTTAATTATAATTACTCTTAAGTATTTATTTTAGTATGAAAGTTGTTGAATAATATTAAAATTAATCCTAAAGATTAGAATTTTCGGAGAAAGAGAATAAAAAATTAAGTATAATAATAATAGGAAATTATAATACAGTGGACTCGAAATGGTTCAATTTTAAAATGACTTACATTCCCCGAATCTTTCCAGTAAATAGTGAAAGAGTGATAGTTGCTACCCATAATAATATTAGAATGATAATTCCCGCACCAAGACTGAATATACGACCAAACATCACAAACGTTGAACTAAAACTTTGACCTCAGAAGCGTAAAGGCCTTTTTTTTAGAGACCTCATCAATACTGGTTAAACTCGCTCCGCTGGCTTATCGCATTGGACAAATATGCGAGGGAGTCCCATGGCGATAGAAATGCAGGTGAGCCGGCAGCATCACCCGGATTTTTGGACAAATTCATTTCTGCGAGGAATCGAACCTCAGCATCGGCGCTTCGAATTTAGCAGCAACTCATAGTGACAAGACAGTAAAGCGAGTTTAACCAGTAATGGTGAGGATTCTTTAAAAAAACGCGTAAAGGTATTAAATGGACTTCCAACAGAATGATTCAAATAAACTACGTGGATAATGATGATCGCTAATAAACTAAACAATTTTCGCGATCTTAAAACTATATTAAAATTTTTTTATATCGTGAAACTCCCCAAATCCAAAAATTTTTGTAAATTTTGTTCGCTTTTAAGTAATCACCATTTTCTTACTTGTTAACTAAAGTTGCAAAACTAACAAATTAACAAATTAGAACAAGGATTTCAAAAGATGTTTTTAGATTATGAAAAAAGTGGATAAAATAAAACGCGATTGTGGAGAATGGTGGATGGTGGAAAATTGGTTGCCATAGGAACAAATAAAACCCTATAACCCTTTAATCCGAAAAGATTGATTCCTCTCACCAAAATAATGAAAATAAAAATACGTGAGAAATTCGGCGAAATTTTTTTAGTACCAAATTTCTGTTTTTATGGCCCCAAAGAGAAACCAAGTTTTATTAATAGTAGCAAAACTAAAATGATGACACATGAACTATGAACAAAAACATGCGTTGACCGAAGACAGACTTCTTTCTTCTTTACTCTTTACTCAGCAGAAATATGACTAATACGACGGTTTAAGAAGCAAAAATAAATTTACTATAGATTTTTAAACAATTCATCAATTACATTTATTTATACGAACAATGCAATCTTATCCACTCATTAAGCCTATCCGCATCATAAGAAAATATATATATATTTATATTCGGAAGTCATTTCTGACCATATGAATCGTATAAAAAGTAATATTAAATCATAAATAAATGCACAAATCAACTTTGAATATTTAGCATTGAAATCGATGGGTTCAATTCATATATACTTTTTGCAATCACAAATATAATTTCATTGAAAAACTAATTTACAAGTGATCAAGTTGAAAGTATAGAGCTGTTGCCTCTGAACATTTGCAGAAACGGAGACACTGATTCTAATCGCCACAGATTCGCTGACTTTATGCTGGCATGAGCGCAACATAAATATGGGATTTTTACTATATATTTGAGAAAATCATCGGTTTCTCGTGGTTGAAAACCACAGAGTTCACGAGTAAGAGTATCTAATGAGCCAGCATGTGCGACAACAAGAATCGTACCTAAAAATACATCTGCAATGAACTACACTTGTTGTTACTAGTTATATTTAACACGATATTAATAATTAAAACTTGCAAATAGATGAATATCTTGGCCTTATATCAAAACAAATGAAATTCATGCAGAAGAATCAAATAAACCTTGAGAATTCTGCAAAATTTTCTTAATAATATCATATGAGCGAGCATAAAATTCTTCGAGTGATTCTTTCATACTTAATGTCTTGACGTCGGAAAATGGAATATATGATGTGTCAACTGGGAACCCAACGTCAGCATATTCTTTTATGTTTAAGAAATTTGGCAAGACCCCGTTGCACCATCGTGTCCATTGATAGAGATGAGGATCGATACGAATAAAAAGTTCATCATTTTTTAGACCTAAAAATAATCTAGTTTTTTTATTTTTCATATTATGTCTCTATCAAATATTAATCTAATTTTTTAAAACGAAAAATTTCATTTCATAGTGCCAAATTTTTAATCACTATAGTTCAAATGAATATAATATAAATATTTTATGGTGGTTTTCAAAATACTTATAAGCTCTTATGGGTTCTTATTAATAAATTTACCTTTAATAATTGCATCAGCCGTTTGAATACAACGATATGAAGGTGAAGAATAAACAGCGTCTATATTTACACCATTAACTCGAAGGCTTTCACCTGTATTGTTTGATAAACTTCACTGATCTCATTTGCTTAACAAAAACAATGACCAAGTATTCCAAAAAATTTAAGAAAACCAAAAATACCTGCTTTTAGTGCTGAACAATAACCACGATTTGTAATTGGTGAATCATGAGCATAATACTTGATAACATCAGCTCTTTTCGGCAAAAACTCGGGAAGATTTGGATCAAACTGAGTGTAATTTCCAAACTTATCGAAAGCCTTTTCGTACCATTTGATTCCTATATTTGAGAATGACCGAGGAAACAAGAAACAAACGATTAAAGAAATAAGAGCAAACCTTGTTTCTTAAAACAGTTATCACAACGTTCACCATGTCGAACCACAAACAAATTTCTAACTTGGCTTTCGTCCATTTTTAACGAAGGATACTCCCTTCACTGAACATCAAACTCATAGGCCCGATCACCTAAAAAAAGCAAAATTGCCAAATTTCTTATTTGCCCCAGCGTACGGCAATAAACACATAAAAAAACTTTTTTTAAAAAATAAAATTTTACCAGGAAATGTACTAATTCGAGTTTCCTCGCACTTAAGGAAACCTTTTCACAAAAAATTTAAAATTTTCAAACCATTCAGCCAATAAGAATTTTTTCATTCGGTGTCAGGAATTTATCAAATGATAAAAACAAAAGGGAACAAACAAAAAAAATATTTATATAATACAAATTTTAAATTTATAGATAACACAGAATATCGAATGCCAGCATCGCCTAACGAAAGATTCAAAAAAGAAATAATCGTTTCATTAATAAAACATTTACAGGAAGAACTGCAGCTTTAATGAAAAAATTAATTCTAAAATTGTATGTGCATAAATTCGATAAAGGTAGGTGAAACATGATGAGGGACAAAAAAAATTGTTCTGAATCTATAAACTTCCAAAATATTGCCAAAAAATTGTTTTCATAAAGGCCATTTAAAATGATTTCAGAAGAGCTCCGACAAAAGAAAATACCCAAAATTATCCATCTAATTAACATGCAAAATGGAAAAGAAAGGCAAAACTTTTTTTTTTGAATATTCCAAATAACCGCTTGTATAAATCGGCAATCCGAAGGTAAAATGTTCTATAGACCATTCAGCGAAAAAAATCGTAAAATTATACAAATACAAATTTGAGAGAAGGAAATTGAAATAGCATTTGGTTGCTGCACAAAAATATACATAAATATGTTTGGCAGTAAAGAATATATCCGATAATTAACGGGAAATAAGAACCGACCTTTAACAAAAATGAAAATTCTTAGATTGATAAACCAAAAGAATTCATCCCATTTCCCTTAGTTTTTCTAATAATACCAGAAATAATTTCAAGAGTACACTCATGTTCCTGAATTGACATCACTTTATTAAAAAAATTTAGGCTTCCTTTCACAAGAGCAACATTCGGAATACGCCGACAGTTTCTGCAAACAACGATGGATATAATTTAGAAGTGCGAGAAATAAGTTATTTGTGCAACATAATTAAGAAATAAAAAAAAATAAAAACGAACAAAACAAAGAGGATTCAATGGTAATCAAACTCAAAATGATTTTTTCAATGAAAGACAGTGGCCATTAAAGTAAAAAATTGAACCTTAATTTAACCAGTAAATAATTCCTAAAAATGCACCAAATGAAATAATTAACAGTTTAAAAAATTACGATAAAATAAAAAATATGAAATTACGATAAAATGTATAAAATATATTCACGGAATACCTTCACATACATACAGTCGACCATAAATTTTTAAACACAAGATTTCAAAAAGATTTACAATATGTAAAATTTTATTACCTGAACAACAACCACAGCAAAACTTAATAGACCAAACAATCCATTTGAAAAAAAGAACAAAATTAAATTAAAAAATTGGTAAAAGAATGAAATGATGAACTGAAATGACAAAAATAAAAAATAAAAGAGGTTTTTGCATTAAAAGAAAGTAGAAAAATATAGCCAATTGACAAAAGTCTGAACCCGTTTTAATTTTGACCGTATAAACGGGAGAAAGCGGCAGCATGGTTAGCATATTAATAATAATTTTTCTGTAATTTCATTTCTGATCATCAAGGGATCATCAACGGTATGACTTTTCATTCTTATAATTCTCCACAATCGAAGTGAAATGCAATTTTCTGAAAAAAAAATTTATCTAAAAATATTACCTATTAAGAAAAAATAATAATATAATAAAATACCATGAAAGATTAATTTATACATGAAATATAAAGAATAACGGTACATGCTGAACCACATTGTCAACCGAGAGGAATAACTTAAATTTTCAAATTAAAATACCCTTCATAGAAAAGTGCAAAAAAAAAGTTGGCGCTCCAGAAATATTCAGTTTTCGTAAAACATTTTCAAAAATAATATAAGAAATTTAGGAAAAAAAATAAGAAATTCCGCATAATTTTGTATTTAGTAAAAAATTAAGCAACAAATGTTAATTTAAATATAGAATACTTATGTATACATATAAACAATGCAAAAGCTGTATGCTGGATAAATGTAGTTTTCCATACAAGAAATATTAATTTTATAGATCCTTTTATGCTTATATTAAGGGCGCCACTGCATTTTTCACTGGAATCGCCATATATCAGTAATATATCAATATTAAGGAAACATTGTTATAAGATTGTTAACATTGTTATAAAAGACCTACATTGTTCGATTAATACTCTTGGTTGCGTATGTGGTTGAGCCTGTGCCAAGGGTTGAACTCTTTTAGCGGTTCTAAAGATAATGCTTTAATTAAAAGAGTTCTATAGTTTGATGCTATGTAAACATAAGATATAAACGAAGATTTGAAATAAATAAAAAAATTATTATATTTTTTATCTTTATCTAAAATTTTATAAGAATAATTAACTTCTTTCTCCACATTCCCATTATTCGCTGCCATCTAAGAAAATAAAATTATGTAAAATAAAAAATATGATACGTCTGAAAATCTATTTTTATAAAATTTTAATGAATTCCTCGAAATTATAAATTAAGAAATAAATTATTTACAACTCACAAATAAAGGATAAAATTAAATCAACAAAAAATCATCTTCATAAAAGTAGAACAAAAAAACGAAACCTCAACAAATTCCAGTCGAATACATAATCATATGTATATCCCTGTCTATGAAAAAGATTGCGGAATAATTGACGCAAATATGAATAATCAGGTGCTTCTTCGAAACTCAGATTTTTACAATATTTCAGATAAGCAGCAAATGCCTCTAAAAACGATTTTAAAAATAATTTTGACAAGTATTAATTTCCAGAAAATTTTATCTATTATCCAATTGCTACGACGTAAGAATTGATTTGGCAGTTAGACGGCAAAATCGAACAGGAATAATAAAAAATCATGATTGCTTTCTAGAAAGTCTAACTAGTGGAAGTACCACTCTTTCTCCTGAGTATAATTCGATAGAAGTGATGCAAAGAGGACGCTGGAAGCGTGGAATAGCTTTGATTCGTAGATTCATATGAAAATTGGTAGAACGTAGATCTCTCGTCTCGCTACGAGCTGGTTTGAGACCCTTTCGATTGGAGTATTCTTTTGCAACAGAAAACTGTACTAGAAATGTAAATCGATTGTTCGTCTTGTGTTCTTAGAAAGGGTCAAACTTATGATGAACATAGCTCGAAATCTGTAATTTTGCTTTAAAGCCACAATGCAAATACCATAGAAGTTCAAAGGCTTTTAAATGAAGTAAACATCTGGCTTGAATGCTGAGCGAATAACGAAAAGGACTAAAGGAAGCGTTTCTATACAACCAGACATTAGTATATGCCTGAGTGCAAATCAAGCGCGATGAAAAAGCTCAAAAAGACCATCAGCTTGGGGATGATAATCAATAAATCGACAATGAAAAGATCCAAGTAATTAAGATAATCTTTTGAAAAGAATCGAATCGAACTGCTTTCCGTGGTCCGTTGTGGTCCTCGCTTTTGACGCCAACGGTTTAGGAAGTAACGAAATATGCGTCAACTCCTGTGGTAGACGACGGAGAACATGCCGTAACCAGCGAAGGCGAGACGCTCCGTGGTGACATTATAAATAGGATGCGATCATGTCTTATCCGCTCGACGAATCCGTAATTTATACCTTAGACAAGAGTGGTCAAAGGTAGACTTCTTGACTTCTCCTCCACTCTCATTGCCATGTCTCAGAGCCATATAGCAAGATCGAACGGATCATTGCTATATAGATGCGAACTTTCGTTTTTATGCAGCGATAAACATAAATATCTCGCTTCTCGTGGAGAATATCTCAGATGAAACATAAGTGGTTTATGAACAATTAGTACAAAGAATTGTCTGCCTTCCAAGAAGCATCTAAGATATATTTAAATGTCGAACTGCAAGCAGTTCATTGCTTCACTGTTTTTCTATTCTGCGACATCGAGCTTTTTGGAAAAAAAAATATCGGAATCTATTCATATTATTAGAGTCGCCGCAATACTGCTCCCACAGAGGCAGAAGCATTGAAACTAAAGCATTTTAAAATCATTAAATGCAAGTTTCTAATTTGCCAAATCGATTTTCAGATATCAAACGCGAGCGATAAGTATAAATCGCTTTTATATTTATATTTGGTGAAAATCTATATGGAAGCTTCCAAAAAGTGGATTTTCCCTTTGCCATCCAAGAAATCTGTTCGCGATTTCGCTGCATGTGGAATAAATAGACGGTATTAACTAAAGTTTGGTAATTAGTTGTGGAAAACTTTTGATGATTTAAATCTTGTGGTCTACTGGTTGTATTCTCGAGCCAAATATTGGATGTGCGAGAAAGCCTAGTTCTGGCTTCCGAATGGGGACTTTGAGATGTTTGACTTTGTGGTGATCTTGCGATCTCCTCTGTATTTTCTTTGTCAGACGCTGATATCCAAATTGATACCGCTATGAAAAGAAACGTGATATCTTTATCAGTCATGAAAAAAAGAAAATACAGAGGAAGATAAACTGTTTCCAGAATTATGCTTGAGTTGAGCGACTTATCTAACGCAAAAGTGCCACTGATTGAAGCCAGAGTGCTTGTACTAGCGAAGATACACTGACAGAAAAGTTGCAGCAATAGCGCTTTGGTGCCAATATATCGCCGGTTTATTTCCATGCTTCTAAGGAGCTATGAAGTCTCTTATCACTCAATTCAACGAGCAGTTTTTATATGTATTTCTCACATCACATTAACTGAACTACGTACCAAATTTAATAGATGAATTCAGTGATAATACGAGCTGAGAAGTATAATTTCGTGCGAGCAAACCATATGACATAATAAAAAACTTAATGAGTAAGGTAACTTAGGTTTTAGCTTCCGATTTAATTTCGTCATCAAAGATGGGAAAATAAAAAACTTGAAATTACAGTTAAACCTTCCGTTTTTTCACATGTTTGAGAAAATGCTCTTACAAGTCAATATTTCTAATAAATGGGAATAATAATAGTAATGAATCCTACATATATTTAAATTCGTATAATAAATAAATAAAAAAAAGAACCAGGATATCCTGCACACAACTCCTCAATTCTTGTACCCATTTTCTTCTCAGATATTTTATCATACTTTTGTCGTTTTGTAGCAGCTTTTAGGCCTTGCCATGGCAGAGCACCTCGATTAAAATACATCAAAACATAACCGAGCGATTCAACATCATCTCTCCTACTCTGCTCTTTAAAAAATTTTATGAACTTTGAAAAGGAATAAAATTAAAAAAATTATTTTATAAAAAATTATTATTTTTTATATAAATTTATAAAAGAATTATTCTTCTTTTCTTTTTCTAACTCTCACCATTACTGGTTGGGCTAGCTCCACTCGCTATAAAAGTGAGTCTTTGACGCCATCGCTGATAAAAGAAGCCATTCCTTTTTCCACCGTCTATGTCCATATAGTTGATCCACTTGTTCAAGAACTTTTTTGTCTATATCAGTCCAGATCCTAATTGGCCCTCTAAGCTTTTGACCCAATCCATCACAGGGCTTAGCAAGTAACGAAATATACAACTCCTATAGTGGGAAAAACGTGCCCTAAACCGGCGAAGGCAACGCTATATGATGGCTTATTAATGCAGATGGTAATTTAAAGGTGGATGTAATTTGAGATTTTATGCGCTTCTACGGGCATGTACGGGCATTTGAGTGGTCAAAGATGGATAATTTCTTAATATCTTCCATTCTCTGTGGTTATGTCTTGCAGCCATACAGCACAATCGAGAAAAGGACTTTCGTTTTCATAATGAATTTGGGAAAACTCCATAAAGATTTCAACAATTGAAAGAAGGCATTTCTGGGCATTACCGTCATCCGGATCGCGATTTATTTTATTTTGTCTTTCAGGATTAGATTGATCGTTTAGCATTCGACTTTATAGCTTTCGACAAATTGTTTAGCATTATTTGCATTTCCTTGTAATTATTAGTTAAAAGGACTACATCCAGCGTATTCATGATCTATGATGTTATATTCTAGATTAATTTATATATCTCTTTAATGCCGACAAGTAGTGACCATTATCTAATCGCATATTTGAAAATTGTAGGAGAAAATGCAGCTTTGACGGATACCAGTTCTTATTTCGAAGGAGTCTGTCAGTTCCTACACACAGACCTGCGCTCATGTGCGTTGAAAAAATGCCTTCATGAGGCAAATGATCGTCTCTGAAAAATCATCACATTCCATCGCCTTGCTCTATCAAATGAATCGAAGACATCTGAAAAATGATGAAAGAGATGGGTTGCTGATCCTGATATTTGAATCGACATTCCAAATACTTCTTAACGTAACTATCTGGTCAGCAAACTGCGTCCCTGCCTGAATTCAGCTTGATTATGGTGCATTCTGCTGTCATAGTCGACTGAGTAAAAGAGAAGCTCCCAAAAAATTTTCGATGAGACATCTAGTAGGCTGATTCCTTGACAATTATCACAGTATGTCCTATCATCTTTCTTGGAAATTGGGAGCAGAATTGTTTTGCTCCAGTCATCTGGTAATATTTCTTTTTTTCCATACCAGAGAGTGAAGGTGTGATATAAAGAATGATGGACAATATTTGAAAAATTCGGCTCAAAAACTATCTCTAGGAGTTTTATTGGCTTTCTGGATGGCGGAGATTTTCTGCTCTGCTGACGGTCCTCAGAAGCAAACATATGACTCGAAGAGCGATTTGGAATAGCGCGTCGTGGTTAAGTATGGCATCGAAGAATTTCTTCCATCAAAGTGATCCAGAGACACCAGTAATACTCTCTATTATTTCACTGTATAGTTATTGTGTGAAGGAATTAGTTTTTTTTTGAAGTTACAGTTTTCTCGTATCAACGAGCCGCCATCTGCATTTTCAATGCCATATCACTCCAGTAGTGATTTCTGTCCCGCCGAGCTGCTGCCATTATCCCTTGACATCCATGCTTTAATAGCATTTTCGGACAGTTCCTTCCTATATCCAATTAACACACTTCATATTAGTATATTCCAGCGTGGAAGTGATTGGCTTTCGAAGATATTCCTTTAGCTGGGACCATTTATTTGCCAGAAAGGCCAGATATTTATATCACTCGGGCGCTTCAATAATTGCGTTTGAAGTATGTTCCCGAATCTTTTAATCTGAGAAAGACTTCTTGGGAAGCCCTGTTTCTTACGAATAGTCAATTTTATGCGAATCTTGGCCCAAATTTTAACATTATCAGGTCCATGAAGGTTACCCGTTTCAGCACTACGGTAAAAACGACTATCTAACACGCAATGATGACTATTCAATCTGGTTAAATGTTGGTTACAATGTGAGAAAGATTCATAGAATCCCGTGACTTTTTTTTTATTTTCTTCGATATCAGAAATATGTATCAGTAATAAAAAGTTTGTTTACACTAAAAAGTTTGTTCGGTGTGTTGAAAGTTTGTTCTAAAAGCGAGAAAAATGTTTCCCATTGGCGCATCGGACATCGATGCCATGTTTGCCAATCACCGAGTTTATCGCGCACGCATTTTAGTATCTATCCTCTGATTATGACCATGTCACCTCTCCTAGCGATATTTTTAATAGTTGAGATTCCGCATAGAACCTATCGTTGTCTTGCGCATCAATGTTAGAGCATATACATCGATGACCGATATATTGCACACCCTTCCTTTGAAGCATCTTATATATAAAAAGTTAAAAAATAACGTTTTATTTACATTGATCCTGAGTCCTTGGTGCAGAAGAGAAAAAAAAATAAGAATTTTCTTGACTTTTATTCCTGAATTTTAAAGAATTGCTATCAAGAAAAAGAGAACTCTTAAATAGATTTAAGAGTAAATGATGGAATGAGTAGGGAAAAGAATCGATAAGAAAAATGAAGATAAAGTGAGCTAGCCAAAGAACTGGTCTTAAGGACTAGATTACAAAGGCCAAAACAGCAGTAGCAGAATTCAATCATGAATTATTATCTTGATAAAGTATAACAAAAATTCTCACCAATTCCTTGATGTGTATTAATAGAAGCGTAACGGGCAGTTCCAGTGAGATTTTTATTTTCTCGATAAGGTATGTGGGTGTGTGATCTACTACAACGATATTTCTTGGCCAAACCAAAATCAATTATCTGAAATCTTCGTTCAAAATGTGAAAATAAAGAAAAGAAATTTATGAAGAAAAGTGAAAAAACGATGAAAAGACGAAACGAGAAGACATATTCGCAGCAAACCATCTGCTTAACTTACATAAACAAGGTGTCCTTTTTTCCCTAAACCCATTAGAAAATTGTCCGGCTTTATATCACGGTGAATAAAATCCTTGGAATGAATATATTCAATACGACAAAGCTGAAAGTTGAAAATTAAAATGATAAAATTTTTTTTCCTTGTTTTAACTGACAAAATTAAATCATTAATTTCTCCTAAATAAAAGATGAAAAATTTGGCTTCTACCTCTAAAATTTCATTGTCCTTATATTCAAAAAAAGCCGAAATACATTAAATAAAAAAATAAAACTAAGGAAAACCATTTGATCGGCCAATAACAGAACAGTTTTAAGAGTGAATTTCCTAGAACAAAAATTAAATAAATCTTCGAGTGAAGGCCCCAGCAATTCCATAACCATCACATTATATTCACCTTCAGAACCACACCATTTAACCTGAAAAAAAAAAAAAAAATCATCGAAATAATCTTTATACAATTAAAATAATTTGAAATTTTCAACATGAAGACTATAGGTAAAAAAGTAGTGACTTTTTAGCGGAAATCTCTGATATATTTTACAAATGGACAACAATCAAAAATAAAATATGCTTGAAACACCATCTGAGGAACAGAAAATTAGCGACAAGCTACACTAATTTCATAGGATAAATGATAATGACAATGAGTAATGAACGAATAGATCTTCTATATTGTGCGGAATTAGTGAGCGGTCGGCTCTTCCAACTGATGTACAAAGATATATGAAATTATTATTATTACTGATTATTATTAATTATCGAATATTGCAAATATCGTTTGACATAAAGATAAGTTTTTTTCTTCCTTTTCTTTTTTCTTTTCTTAAATTCGATTTTTAATTTTTCCACTTTACCTTTGTCTTGTACAGGAGTAAACCTTGTCATATCAAAAATCCGAGTGGCTTCGGGGGGCTTATCTATCCCTCAAGTGATTCTCCCAGGTGGAAGGGTCAGATGCTCTTGATATCTTGATACGGCGTCCGCGTTCTCTGACGCGCATAATACTCCCAGTGGTATATGCGATAAGTATACAATCCGGGCGTTAAATGATCCCAAATTATATAAATAAAATGTGATCGCAAACCAGGGCAATTAACAGGGCTCGAAGCCTATCAAAGCGAACAGTTTTCTGCATGCGCAGCAAGGTGTTAGCCGTATCAACATCGAACATCAGAATTTTTATGGATAGGCCAAGCGATTACTGTCCACAATCTTTCCAAATATTGCGTGGATGTCGACCGCTTGTCGGATATCTGTTTTTCTCACTTCGGGTCTCGAGTAATTAATCCTGGCTTCGAGCAGAGGCTATGCCATTGTGCTGTTTTGGATAACTTGGGGCGAAATGGCCTAGCGACTGTCATGTCTGAAAAGGCCCACTCCGCTTGGATTGAATGGAAACGATTATATGATTATGCCCGCTTTACAATTCTGTGAAATTCTATATTTTAATTATTTGTTCCATTGACATGGTTATAATTGGGAAGAGGCGATCGACAAATTGGCAAATGTGGCATAGGAGTTCGGTGCGCCAATGGAGAACGCCTTCTTAGTTTTTTTGACGAGCATGAACTTCTTGTTATTAATACATGCTTCCAGCATCGTAAAAAACATCTTGTCACGTGGAACTCCTCGGAAACCAACACTTCAACCAGATTGATTATAAATTAGTCAGTTACCATTGGAAGAGTTCTCCATACTAGTTCCGTACTAGATAAGACTTCCTATAGTGGACAATGTTTATAGGTCCGATTATATTAAAATTCGAACCAAGATCTGCATAAAATTGATAACTCGCAAGAACCTCTTAAGATCTTTCAGCTATCTCAGATTAAAAGATTCAGGGACAGTGAGCACATTTTAAACCTAATTACTGAAATGCCTCAGCGATACAAATGTTAACCTTTCTGGAAAGGTGAATACTGGTACCGGCTAAAGAAATTCTTCGAAAGCCAGCCACTTAATGTAAATAAAGCGAAAGACTTTTCGTCTTATAAGAAACTGATAAAATGCCTTTTTTATCAATTTATTACTGGTTGAGCAAGTTTCCGATTTTAAATATCTTGAATCCACTTTAATCCCAAACGGCCAGGCGAAAGACGAAATTACAACACGGATAACGGGAGCTAAAAATTCGTTCTCCTGGTTAACGAAATCTTTATGGAGCCGTCGCAAAATCACCATAAAGACGAAAGATCGCGTCCATATAGCAATTCGCTCGATTTTGCTATATAGCTCTGAGATATGGCCAATGAGAGTGGATGATATTAAGAAGTTAATGCCTTTGACCACTCTTGTCTAAGGTACATTTTATAGATCCGTCGAGCGGATAAAATATCACATGATCGCATCCACCTTCTCTCAAATGTATTAACAATACCATTATGGAGCGTCGCCTTCGCTAGTTTAGGGCAAGTTTTTTGTCGCCCATCACGAGTTAATACATATTTCGTCACTTGCTAAATCCTATCATGGTTGGCGTCAAAGCGAGGTGTATTAATCAAAACCTGGACTGACAAGGTGAGGAAAGATTTTGAACATAAAGATGGACCAGAAATATATGGACTTAGACGATGGAAAAAGAATGATCTCTATTACTGTCGAAGATGGCCCCAGATCGCGTCGCTTGGAAATATCCCTTATCTCTAATATATCTCTCGTAGCTGGTGGAGCCAGTCTAACCAGTGATGATTATTAGAAGATGAATATAAATGAATTAAACAGAAAGCAGTGGCATCAAAGATGTTTTAAGATAGATATGTTAATGTTAATAGTGATAATTTCAGGATCCTTAAAGATCTGATAAGCGTCCAAAAGTTTCACTAGTTTAAAAATTTAGCTACTTTTTACTTACTTACTCATTTGCTAAAAAACGAGATATGGTAAGCAAACAACATTACATCATCATTAAACCATAAGGAATAAAACTGGGTTAGATACCACATCAACTTAAAAAGCGTTTGGATACCACATCAACTTATCGAATAGAACTACTTCAAAATTAAGGTTTAAGTACTTTTTTATAGATAGGAAAGGAAACCATATTTGGACAGAATTGGTGATGAAAAATGTATAATCAATGATAAACCTAAAGCCAATGATAAATAGGAGAGAAAAAACACCAAAAACAACTCTTAATTCCGACATTCATGGCAAAAAAGCTCTATATGTGGTTAACATAAGGAATAATTTGATATCTTCTCCTCAAATCAATGGTCAAATTTTCTCGAGATTACCAGCAAAAGCTAACAGAAAAACAGTCTACAAGGTAGTAGTACAGATGCAATACGCACAAAAAATCAAAGAGCACTTCTATTTCATCCATCTTACAGCACTATCCTTTTCAAATTATCATTTATTGAGATTTTTGAAATTATCAATTAGCTGAAAGAAAAATTTTTCTTTCTTAAAGTAAAAACTAACCATTAAGAATAATTCGAATCCAGGAAGCTTCAACAAAAAATCGAATCAAATTTTTTTTTAAATGGGAAAAAATATAATAATAGATCATGCAAAATTTTCAAAAGAAACACAACATTTTTGAGATAATCTATTAATTCATTTGTATTTATTTACCTTGCTTTTAACTTCACAAATGTTCAAAATACTTAGAATAACAAATAAAATATACTGCGAAGTACGAAGTTGTTATTTATAGTCAAAAACATAAATAATATAAATAGTTAATCAGCAATATCATTCAAATTAGCTTAATCAATCAATTTATGCAAAAACTGCCGAAAAATTCTAAGTATGATCTAGATTTTTAATGTCAAATTTGACAATAATCTGAGCAGCTTTAGTGGCTTAGTGGCACGATAAATACCACTGAGAATCAAGAGTGGCTCTGGTTCGAATCCAGCATAACTAACTACTCTTTGTCGCATAACAATGTCGCCGAACGGTGAAAACGGAGAGGCAAATAATGGTCTAGTAGCTCAATATAGAGCGCCGATACTGTTATTCTACAACCGCCGGGAACAAACCTACCTTTCAAAAGTCCGGACGATGTTGGCAACTCATTTTGGATAAGTGAATCCCTAGTGAAATTTATCTAATCCGAAAAGCCAAAAGAGCAAGCTTAACCAACAATGATCTTAGAAAAAGAAGAAAAAGAAGTAACCTGAGGAATGCCAGTTCCACCACTCATCATTTTATAAAGACGCGATTCAATGTGCAACTGAGGATGTTTTGTTTTTCCACATTCCAATTTTATTGCTACTTCTTCTTGAGTAAGAACATTTTGTCCTATAAATTAGAATGAAAAATATTATTTCATAGCAATTTTCAGCAAAACATTAAAGATTTTTTCAAAATGATGAAAGTCTTGGCAAATCTGATGCTAACTTATTAACTCCTAAATTTATAATCAACTCATTGTTTCCGCGATTAGCAATAATCAAAAATGAAAAAGCAATTTTAAATGAAGCAATTTTACCTAAATAAATATCACCGAAAGAACCGCTACCAATCTTTCGTCCCAATCGAAAACGGCCGCCAACCCTCAATTCCATGTTATCTAAATAAAATCAAAAAATAAAAAAATCAATAACGTCTCGAAAGGAAAATTTTTAAATACGAAAAAAATATAGATTTTTTATAAAAAGTATTTATAATGTTAAAAAAAGAGTAACAGAATGGCATCATTCGAAGGATAATGGTAAAATTAATTTTTAAATATACCTACGAAAAAAAATAATAGCAGAAAGATCAAAGTAATACCTTTTCGATGATGAATTTTCGGATAATCATCGACCGAAAATAAGTCAACTATTAGAGAATTCACCAACATTTAAAAAAGTTCGATAAATTTTAAAAATTGAAATATAAAATAATAATTAATATTGAATAGAAATATAAAACGAAGGCAAAAAGAAACAAATATATAGAGACAAAAATCAATCGTGACGGAAAGGGTGAGCCATAAATAAAAGGCTAGCAGAAAAACTAATCTCAAAGACTAATTTCTTCTCAAACAAATAATACAAAAGGAATTTGAAAATAATGCTACAACTTATCTCAAAATTATCACCTCTCATTCATGAAACCAACAAAAGAAACGTCACACTGGCTAATTTCATAAATATTATAAGAGAAAAAAAACTGGAATCGCTTGCGGCAGTACCAGTTTGCGAACAAAATGACGATTGTGTCAACAATTTAAACCGATAGACGCTGATGGTCAGTCAGTTTGTAAGATTGCACTCACTAACCAATGTATCGTCGTTGAATGCAGTTCTAATGCAGAATGCATAGAATTCACAATATTTTCATAACATAGAAAAACGATAATAATGATAAAACGACAATCAAACAGCTAAATGTTTGTATTAAAAAAATATCTATATATTATTAAGCCCACAACACATAAGGAAGAATTTAAATACAAAACAAGATGAATTGAGAGATTGTGATATGCATTTATGCATACTTAGAAAATTTTGGAAAATTTACAAGTTATTATTACAAGTAAAATAAGAAGTAAAGTTAAAAGCAGAATAAGAAACCAACTGTTACCATTACCTTCGTTATTTCCAAAGTACACAATCAATGAAAAAAAACAAAGGAAAATGTACATTTATGGGAAAAATTTCTTTTATATCTAAATCTACAGAAAATTATTATAAAAATCATCTACTGAAAAATGAACAAGGCGTAACAGAAGAATAAAAAAATTATTAATTTTTATGATTAATTTTAATTGTGATTAATTTTAATAATAATTCCAGAAAAAAGGCATTAGATGGAAGTATCTTAAGGTTTATATAAACATTTTCATTTATATGTCGATTTCTTTAAACAGGTGAAATTCACAGAAAATATGGCTTAGTAAAAGGTCATTTATGGACAAAAACAATAATATTGAAAATGAAAACTAGGCAAGAATCCTTGCTGTACTCTTTCACCATAATTAACAAGTTTCTTAAGTCGAATATTCATCATACGGCGTTTAAAAATATCAAACAGTGAAGGTAAAAATTTGATTTTGGAAATAATAATGGCTTTAAAACAAGTAAACATAAACTCAGATATGAAAATAAAAAAATTTTGTAAATAACATTTTGTCTGTTCGGTGCTGAATATCTGAACTCTGCTTATTCAATTTTATCATTCTTGATAAAGAGAGCTTTATAATAATAAACTGATCGTTTAATTAATTAAATAAGAAAAAAACTTACATAATTAAAAGTTATGTTAGAAATAGAAAATTGCGTAAAATACTCCACAATACGTCGAACTATTTACTTTCTTATTATTCATTCAGTGACTGAGCGAGTGATATAATGAATTTGTTAGTTTTAATAAATTAATAATTCAATAAAAACATGAAAATAATCTGCAAAACATCCAAATTAATGAAATGAATATTCGTAATTTCAGGAAATTACATTAATTTTCGCATTAATTTTTCTTCAAATAAATGTTTCCTATAAAATAATAAAAATTTACCTGAATCTAACCAAAAAACTTTATTTTAAATTAAATAATAGAATTTATTTAATTTATTTATTTTTTATTTATTTTCTAATAAGAAAATCAAAGTCCGTGATAAAAATAATCCTCTATTAGCTTAATGCTATTTTTAATACTATCTTATTTTAATACTATCTTAATCTCTTCACCCCTAATATCCTTTAAAATCTCAAATTCCATTCTGTTATATTCACCAAATTCGCTATTTTCCTTTGCATTCCTGTAGTGCAACCAGTTTCGGCTAAATTTCCTCATTCTCTCCTTTTTAATTCCTTTGTTCTATGGATTATAATGCGATAATACAAGCAAAATAGGGAAAATGAAAGGAAACGATGTCTAGAGAAAAAATATCGAAGAAAAAAAATATATAAAAGGAGTTTGGTGAAATTTTAATGAGTTTTGTGAAGATTAAATATATAGCGATAAGGAGTTACAACAAGCCTGAAGAAGTTAAGGGAAATACGATAGGGTTAAATAGGATTAAATAAGAGGCTGTGACGAGATGTAATGGAGTCCACTTACCTACCACTCCATTAAAATAGCTTTGAACCACGGTACGCTCGCTTAATACTCCATCAATCCTCGCTGCATTCTTTTATCATAACTAATTATTATAATTAGACATAAATAGATCACTAAAAATCGTATGAACAACGAGTTCTTCAGAATCTGTACTGTTCTATCTGTTCTGCTGTACCCCTTCCTACTGAAACCTCTTAAAAACTCTTCAACAATCCCACTGTATTCTTTTGTTAAATGTACTTTTCTTTATACTACTTCCATGAAGCCCTCTAACATTCTGCCATTCCTTCTATGGGCTCTTCCAGGAAACTTCCGCTTCCAAATTCTATAATGTTGGCTAAAACTGAAGTCTCTCAATTAAAGCCTCATTAACTCTCCAAAATCAGATCCTCATTTAAATCGTTGAAATCTGTCTTATTCATCTGATCCTTTAGTTGATTTTGAACTTCTCCCTAGTGCTTTAACCCACTTAAACTCACCTTTACTCCCATTTTGTTATCTTGAAGTTTGCAATGCCACAACCATAATCATTCACAGCTGCAATTAGTAAATTTAAAGGGGTCGGAAACCGAGAAATTATCGTGAATGGGTTTTGCGAGTGCCCAATAATGATGCATTCGGCTCTGCAGAGATGTCACGTTACCGGCACGAATTTGCGAATACAGTGAAATATTTGATGATAATTTCTGCCATGCGGCTTTTCTTAAAGCAACAACAAAACAGAGCAAAAAATAGAACCATTTTAAACGCATTTGAGCAGTTCCAAGATCCCTGCCGTCTGCCGTCCACGCAATTTTACACGTCGCGATAAGTGAAACGCTATTTTGAAGTATTTAGAAGTAGAAATCATCATCAATAAATTTAAAAATTTCTAAAATAAAAAATTTGAAAAAAAGTTTAATTTTTTCTGTAAGAAATAATAATAGTAATAACTTATTTTGCCACTTCGTTTAGACTGAAATTTCTCCGCACTTGAACCCTCCCCCTCAAACCACTCCGCGAATTACCCTCCAAACCCCGACTCGGCCAACTTCATTTGTTTACACTGATTGTAACGAATCACAAATGCATCGTAACAACAAATTCAAATTGTTCGAATATAATAGCACAAAACCAAATTAACAGCACAAAATTTTCTGTTTTGAATGAAGGCAGTCGGACAATTGCTCGTGGCATGTGACCGAAGCCATTTAATGCGTACTTCTTTTGTGTTGATAACCCATTAGAATCTACGAGTGCAGTTTTATCAACCATTAACTAAAAGATTGAAAAGATGGAAATGGACATAAATGTGGTAAGGATAGGTGGGAAAGAGAGTGAGGAAGACGGCCAATAAACGCTGCGTCAATTGATTGCGGCCCACATAAAGAAATTTGCTATTTAAATTTACTACTTAAATTCAAAAAAAGCGTTTACTCTCATTACTTTCATTCTAAATGGAAATGAAATGAAATGAAGTTTTGTGTTTTATCCGATTATCTTAATAATGATCTCAGAAAATTAAAAACTTTCTATTTCTGGCAACTCTTTTAGGTATCTCCGCCGATCGAGAGACCTCGCCAAAGAACCGCTTTAGGGAGAAAAAGCAGTTGAGCTTCGGGCACCACGAAGAAGACAAGTGGTGCATCCAATTTTCTTGCGACCTTACCTCAGCAGTATGCCTGAAGGGTTCTCCAGCAGCAAACACCATCTGAATCATTGCAATATTCAGAGTCCGATTTAAATTCGCTATCCCAGCATATATTCGAATTTCAGTTATAACCAATACTAGTAAATCTGAAAGAATTTCCGAATGTGAAAGAGAGAATATGTATTTCGGGTTTTTTCAAGGATATTTTTGGCGATTAACATGAATAATAATTTTATAAGAAAGTGAAATAAATCAAAATCTTCTCGAAGAGAAGATAAATAACCGGTTTCTTCGTTTAGTATGCAAATATATATACAATATTATAATAATTCAGAGAGAAATGTAATTATTCCAAAGGAAATTGGACTAAGCAGTTCATCCAGTTTGAAGGTTCTTTTCATAATTGTCCTCACCACTGTCCTCTCCTCCGCCATTGTACTCCAATTCTTTTAATTTTCAGCTTTTATCCGTTTATTTTATCTTTTAGGAAGTTTTAGGTATGAATAAGTTGATGCGATTCGTGTTAATCTCCTCCTCTTGTTCACTCATCTTCTCGCAGATTGTTGATAGGCAAAAGGTTTGCTGATTAATATTTGATGATAATAACGTTACTAGAATAGAATAGAATGATAATAATAACAATTAACAATAATAGTGATGGCAGTAGTGGTAAAAATGATAGCTCTATAGACGAATTTTTCTGTCATTTCAAAATCAAGAAGTTCCCAAAAAAGAAACTTTAAGATAGCGGAAAAATGTTATGCTACCTTTGGCAGTGATTCCGAACTTAAACAAAATATACTCGAAAGAATTTGGTTAGTCAAAAATTTAAAATTGTCTCCACGTTGCTTTGTTATCGTACTTTCTTTGGAAGAGAAGACGAATTTTATTCCAATTCATATTTTTCATAATTAATTTGAATTATTAATTTAGATTCGCAGTACTGTAATAAGTAAATATATACAAGCAATAATTTTTTGATCAATCTTTTTTTTATTGATTCTTCAACATTCAACTTAGTAAATAAGTAAAACTTTTTCAGGAAAAAACTTGAAGAAAATTTTCCACGAGACAACCATGACCGAAGTTTCTTTGATCTTTCAAAAATTATTTTTTTTACCTAAAATCTGTCATATTTCTCTCTAAGAAGCAATTTTTAAAATTTCTTCTACTAAAATTTTCTATTGTGAAAAAGTGATTTTTCGACAATTAAAAGAAAAACTGGGTGCATGTCCATTGCCTTTATTAATAGATTAATTAACTGAATAACGGATAAAACATGAAAAGAAAAAATTCTGGGAGGATTTTTTATAAAATTGTGTTTATGTTGTATAGCAATGCTAAAAGCTAAGTTTTTGCACAAATGACCAAATGATTTTCAGCGCAAAAGTTTCATCTAATATAGATAAATCAATTATTAGTTCTTCTATTTAGCTGACTCCACTGACTAGTAGTTATTATTTTGTCAGAAAATTACTTGGGAAAATAAAAGTACTTGTGGGCTCCCAACACCATCTTGGATTTTGTCTATCTCTCTCTGTCTTAATTAGTTGTTAAGCCGTGAATAATTTGAATTATTCCGGTGCAGTTTTGTGATTATTGTTGGCGAAGTGAATGTCCACATTTTTAACCACTTTATTGAAAGTATTAATGCAAATCAAGTAGCAGTAAAAATATAAAAATTTCAAAGGCGACAGATTTAAAAAAAAACTGTTTTTAAAGTATATTTTATAATTTCAGTGGCATTAAATCTTGGTAACTCGCCGACGACATCGCCGAAAATTTCAGTAATACCATATTATTGGCGTTCAGAAGATCTCAGCGAAAATGTAGACCTATCATTAACTATAATTAATATCGTAATTAGTGAATATAATGCGACCAAAAAGTAGTAAAAAAAATCGAAAATCGAAAGATTAATTTAGAAAATAAGATCCTCAAAGACCGGTTTTTATATGTACTAGTTGAAATTTTTAAAACAAAATTCTGGCTATTTTGAAGTAAGTTTCCCATTCAGATTTGCTGATTTCGCATGGATGCAAAGATTTGAGTGAATGGTTGGGAGGTTTTTCACAGCCAAGAAAAATAAGAATTTTTTTTTTTGAAGTTCGTAGCGAACAATATTGAAGCGATTTTTAGGGGCAATCCTTGAAGAAAATTAATTGTTCCTTTTCTCCTCATTTTTGTATAATTTGTATATTTATAACGAAACCTTTTCGATTTCGAAATCTCATCGTTTAGGCCAAATCGAGAAAAAACGATTTAGCTAAAGAATTAAAATGGCTGATCTTTCGAAGAACTGCACCAACCCAAATAAGTAGAATGGAGAAGAAACATGCAGCTGATTCGAATGACCAGGATTATATTTTGGAAGAAAGAGGAAGAGGAGGAGAAAGAGTGTCTTTTGGATTATCAACGAATATAGGAGGTGGCTATTATTTGTCTATTAACGGATCTTAAAGGCACTTTACTTATACTTATAGATGCAAATAGGTTTTCAGAGCTATTGATATGATGATTTTCTTTCTTCGTCTCCGCCAATTGATCTAATTGGTTTTATTGACTAGGAATTACATCTGAATGAAGTGCATAGAGGAACCACCAGCACCACTTGCAACTATGCCTTTTAATGGCAGATCCCTTGACTACCATTAAGGGATGAAGACCAATTCCATAATGCCTGACCACAGCTGAAGCAGCTCAACTTGCTTAATTTGACGAGTTTAATAGATGCTTTTAGAAATCGATAGCATAGTTAATAGCGGATGACATTTGTTTTTTAATCGTATTCTGTTGTTAAAACTCATTTAATTAAAATTTATTTGATTTTTATTTACGATTATGTGGATGATCGTATTGCAATCGAAGAAGCCAGCACAGAACCACCAATAAAGCTGCGACAGGAAGAAATTGATTTTCCGGTTGAAAATATCATTCCACAAATACAGACATTAGTAAGCCAACCCTGCGTAATATATCTTAATATAAATCCCAAGACTTAGAGTCCACAATTAAGAAAAATCCTAACTTGAAAACCTATAAATGAAAAGGCTCAAATAAAGACAACTCAAAATAATTCAATCTGCGATTTCTTTTTTTCATATTTGTATTTTAAAAATGTAAAAATATACCAAAATAGAGTCCTTTTAATTAATTTATAAAATCATTTTCATAATTTGCATTTTTTCAAAGATTGGTCGCTACTTTCTTTTTGATATTAGAATTTATGCAACTAAATTGAAATCGAATATTTTTAGCCTGAAAAGGACGCAGATTTGGCGGAATTTTTAAAAGGCACAGATGAAAGTGTTAAAAAAAAATTTATGAGCCTATACAATGATCCTGACGTGCCATCTGAAATCGCAAGGCGAGAAAAGGTACAACTCTTAAATAATTTTCTTTCATTGGTCAAACTTCCTAACCTTTAACGCTTAAGTGAGTCATTTCGTTTCCTTGAAAGTTTTTTATTGGATATTCTTAATTATTAACAATGGTCTTGGGAAAATTTCGCTCATTATTTTTCTACAGGATTTTTCACCGAAATTTTTAGAGTTTTACTTAGAGCAACCACTGATTTTTACGAGAAACTGCAGAATTCACTAGGATAAAAAAAGTTTATAATCGAATCGTATTAAGATTCATCTTCTCGCAGTATCATTGCTGACATCTGAACAATTAGATGCCTATAATAAATATGCAACATCAATGAAACGTCGAACGTCGGCTTATGCGGCTCGGCTTCGTCAACTATCACCCACTGCTAGAGAAGCACTTTATACGATAGCGTTGGCAGAACCCCATGAACAAAATACCGTAAGTTTCATGAAATATGGCTAATAGGCACTTTAATAATTTCAAATTTAAAAATTAATTGGAATAAAAAATGAAAAGATTTGACGAAGAAATTTTTTCCAAATTGGAGATTTCCTAATTTATTTACTTCTCCAAATTCATTTTTTTATTTCTTATTTTTGTCGTATTAATCAATTTTTTATTTTAATACATTAAGATTGCTCAAAATTTATCAAAAAATGTGCGAAATGAATTAAAGAGATTTGCTTTACGCAGAAAATCATTGGCGTAATACAATGAAGAACGATTTGTAAGGAGGGTAAAATATTATTTCTTCCCTTCATTCAAATGTTTTCCCTAAATTTAGAAATTATTCGCTCGTTTTTTTTAAGTCAATTTCGATTTTAATGTGGAAATTGTAGGATTTTTCAATAATTTATTTTGGAATCCAATTTTGAAAAATAATTCTTTTAAAGTTCCGTTCAATTTGTTTAATATGATTTACCTTCTTAAATATTAAAAATGACAAGAAAATGGTGATAATTAATATATAACTTCTTGGATTTACGAATTTACAAGATTTGACAGAAGAATTGACAGCTGGAAACTATACGTTAAGCAATTTGAAGAAATTCAGAACGAGAAATTATGCTAAAATTTTTATTCTTACTTTTTTGACTCATTGCTAAGGCAAAATTCTTTGGGTAGAGAGAAACTCTTTGGCCAGAGTCGTGCTTGGACACAGAATTTTATGAGCCAATCCCCAGTAGCTAAAATAAGATAAGAGTGAAAGGCTGAATCATAATGCTTGAACTAATGAATTTTTTAATTTTCTAAATCAAAACCCTTAATTTATTAACAAATTAATTTTTAGAACACTAGAATATTTTTTTTTAGAAACTTTTGGTTCGTATTCTTTAAGTCCTGTAGAAAACAATTTTTCCCAATGAAATAAAACTATCCTCATTGATAAGAGAATAAATCCAAGCCCATTATCGTACAATTTTCACCATTTTTGGACCCTCACGGTCTATTCGTCGTTAAATGAAAATGGGACCTTCTGAATGAAGGGATCATTAGACAAAAAAGTTGAAGAACCAGTGGCCTATGAAATATATCCAAATGAAACTCAGCTATGCTTCTCGTTCCATTCTATGATTAAATTCGGAAAACATTAAAATTTTTAATTTTGATGATTTGGAAAACACCATTATTAGAAATTCAAAATATCACTAAAATTATTTTTTAAAAAATGACTTTCCTCTTTTTAGGAGATTTTGAAATTTTAAAAAAGCTTATCACGTAATTCCAATATTCCAATAATTTTGAATTTCTCCTTTCTTTGGAATGCAATTAATACAATTGTTAAATCAAATCAAATCAAATTTTTGAAATCTTAAAATCTTCGTTTGATTTTTTTTTTCGATTTCAGTAATTTCTGTAATTCTAAGCAAATTGTGAAAAATTATAAAATGGAGGCATAAAATTTATTTCTTTTTTATAATTAATAAAAAACGTTGAACTTGCAGATATTTTACAATACAATCACTACAAGCAAAATTTCGAAACTCTATGAATCGAGAAAAGCAATTCTGTCAGTGCAGAACGATTGTAATCATCGCATTCAATGCTGCACTGACAGAATTACATCGACTAATAATAATTACACCCATACATAAAGGCATGAAAAACGCATTTTTCGTCTTATTTATTTCCGAAAGAAAAGGTTGCAAACCTAAAGCAAGAACTGGTAGAAAGAAGACTGCAAGGCAAAATGATATTTTACAGGCACTTTGTGAAATAATTTGACACTTATTGCACTAGAAGGATAAAGATGAGTTAATTAATGAAACCAAGAGAAAGCGTTTAAGCAAAGAACCAAGAAATTTTAGCTTGATGCTAAAGTTCGTTATCCTGGTAATCCTGGCTGGATCATCATTAAAATGGATATCGAACGTCAGCATTATTAGCACATGGAAAGAAATGAGCAATACAGTTTTTGACAAAAAAAATGCAACTGGTGATATTTATAAAGCCTGCACCGAACGTGTTTTCGAGATTTCATAAAGAAAAATTTTGATTAAGGAGAAATATAGACGGATATTCCATGTTAATCTGTTCAAGCTTCGCTAGCATCATCAGCTCCATCATCCAGTGGGCCTGAAAATTATTATCACTCGTTGTTTAAGTGGAATTTGAACTTAAAAACTGGTTCTAATCAGTGTATTCGGTTTTAAAGGCCTTAACACCATAAATTGTATTTTGGACTCTGCTAAAATTAGTATTAAACATAAGGAATAATGAACTGGCTTCACAGTTCACAGTGAAATTAATCAAGAAATGAATCTGATGAACGAATCTGATAATCCATTTTTTATTTCCATTAAATGGAAAAACAAAAAAGTGAAATCGCTTATATTATATAATAAAAGACATCAAACCTTCGATGTTCAGCGTAAGTTCAACGTTAGCTTCACCAGCTTCATTCTTGATGTTACACGTGTATGTGCCGCTATCTTTCGCTTTATAGTTCTAAAATTGTTTGCAATCGAGTTAAGGCCTCAAAAAATTCTTAAGGATTTTCGCTGTAATAAGAAAACCATTTAAACACAAAAAATTCTAGAAGAAATGTTATCAATTTTACACTTTGGTATAGATAATTTTTCATTTAAATGAACCCTATTTTTCGCTCACCATTTTTGCTTAGATTTAGAGAGCTAGTTTGGCAGGTCAGAAAGATTTTGCGGAGAAAGCACGGCTCTAGAATAGAATGTATCGTTTGGATTTTTGAAAGATAAGAATTCTAGCCTCTCCGCGAGTAGAAATGCATCATCAACACCCTGAGAGCGACAACCCACATAGTTATTTCGTCCCACATAAACTCATTCATTTCTTTATATAGCATTCACCATTTCTGGTTAGATACAACCCTAAAGGACTGTTAGGATAAAATCTTTTCGCTGGGCCAAGGTGAGTTTCTAGCATCTTCCAGAGAATATATGTCTATATATATATATATATAATATATATATGTATTATTGATATATATATTTATTATTGATATATATGTCTTCGACACCGACATGCAACTTATTTAGCAAAAGAAAATAGTTACTTTCAATTCAAGCATTGCAGTAAAAGTATTTGCACCGCCATCTGGAGTAAGACCGAATTTTATACGACTTGACTCCTTCATTTTTTTGCCTTTCGGATTAAGCCAAATCACCTATAAGATCTCTGTATTTCAGGCAAGAAATGAAAAAAGTGAATTTATTTTTTACCAAACAATCAGAATTCACTTCGGGATTTTGGTCAGCTTGGAATCCAATATCAAAAACAATAGCCGGGTCACCAGATTCCGATGTTTTCTGGAGAATTTGTGGCTTGCGAGTAAATGTCGGAGCTCCTTGTGGAACTACAATTGGTTTTATTATTTAATAAAATATTTTCCATACTAATAAAGAAAACAAAAAAATGCTTCACAACCTACAACTACTATCATTCGTAAAAAAATTAACCTAGTCTCTCTCTTTATTCCTCATATAAAGTATTCCTCGATAAATTTGACAAAATACTCGGGAAATTGATTTTAATTGATTAATCTATAAGAAAAGTGCCATACTGACCTTCAAATTTAACAGTAAATGTGGCAGTTAGTTTTCCGGATTCGTTTTTCGCTGTGCAAACGAATTGACCAGCATCCTTCTCTTTCGTTGGCTCCTTTAATAATATTTTTAATTAAATAGTTAAACACGAATTATTAACCTTTAATAATAAGATTGAAAAGGAACTTAATTCTTCATTAACGGTATTCTAAAATGATTACTAAAATGCTTCTTTCATAAATAATTGGCAAAAATAGCCATCCGTACAACTCATTTATTAAGAAAAAGAAAGATTTGAAAAATTTTATATGGAAGCTACATCTCTTTCTGAGATGTAATAAATGCCAGTTTTCTTTAATAATAAAGTAAATTAAAGTTGCAAACACAAAGTTCTAAATTTCTGATTTATTTTTTAATTCATCCTTATTGTAAACTGTTGTTCCTCGAATTTTGCATCGATTTTTATGGTTAAATTCATTTTACTAATTTTAAAAATTTCATGATGACCTTGATCTCGAGAGCCGCATAATAGACCTGGTTCGATTCTTCTTTCAGGACAATTTTGACTCTTTCTGACTCAGCGACAATTTCATCGCCCTAAAAGCATAGAGGATGAAGCAAATTACTAAATTTGCTCGTTGAATTCAAGTATAACTGAAATAATAAATGAATAAAACTAAGGCAAATGGAGAAAAAAGCATTCAAGAATATCAATAATGATTAACCTTTTGCCAAACAAACGTCGGTTTTAGAATTGATTTCGCCCTAAATTCCATTACCATTATTTGTCCATCGTCACGAGATGAAATTTGCGGCTTTTCTACGAACGTTGGAGCGCTGAATCCTTAAATTCAACTGATATTATTAATAAATTCGTCACATAATAATTACGACATTTTCATATGAAATATTTGCTTCATGTCTCTCCAACTGGAAACTTGAATTTTATTACCATAGTTTTAACGTATACAAGATAAGTAATTAAAACGTTCACCAATATTCATCAAATATGAAAAGAAATGAGTCGCAGCGATTCACTTACTTTTAACGGGCTTTTAAAGTTAAAAGGTAAAACTTTGATTAAAGTAAAGTAAGAACAATCAGTCTTATATAAAGAAAAATTTATTTATGAGGCAAATAGTGCATCCTTGCACCTAAAATTTCTTTATTGTGGAATGATTTCGTTATAAAACCAGCAAAGATTAGAGATTAGATTTTCAATTATTTCGCTATAAGGGTATAATTTCAAAAATCGACATCAGAATATCTGAGAATATTTGAAAAATGAAGGTTGCATCATTAATTCACTCTTTCAAAATTCAACTTACCTGTAAGTTTTAGGTTGAAGTTGGCATTGCCTTTACCGTGTGGATTAACAATGGCGCACCTATATGCACCCGCATCACTATCCGCAAGATCCTGGAAATTCTTTTAAAGTATAAAATTTGCAAAATTTCTTTTCGATTCAGATTTTTAATATTCTTAAATTTTCTATCAATTAATTTTCTATTAGGTTTATTAAATTTTCCATAATCCAACATTTTTTTTTCATTATTATTCATGATAAATAAATAAATTTTTATCTTTCTTACATAATTATAAGAAAAAAAGAAAAAAAACATTTTATTTTGAAAAATTAAAGCGGTGGTAAATTAAGAAGATTCTTATTCGATTCTAAGGTTCTATTTTCATTGAAATTTAATATATTTTTTCGCTATTTTCTTTCAAAATAACAAATTTTTAAAACAAAATTTTTAAAACAAAAAATGTAAAAATGAAGAAATAAATGAAAAAAATTTTTTAGGTTTAGAAATATCTATTATTCAAATTAAAAGGTAATACTCGTGTAAATTGAAAATTAAGTAAAACTCTTAATTTCAAATCAAAAGTTTTTTTTCTCAACTATTTATTAAAATTGCATTGTATTATCGCCCTTTGATATTCTAAGATATTCCGAGAACATAGCTTTGCTTATTTGTCGTTTCCAAATAAATGAATGATGATTCGCCATTTTTTATAGACTTTCAAGTTTATGCTAACTTGCCGAATACAAAATATAAAAAATAGATATTCGTAAAAATTTCAAACACTAGTAATTTACTAAGGAGATTTCGTGACTTAAAACAACGATAAATCACTTAATGTAAGTCAAGAAAGAATTAAAAAAATAGTGATTTTTCAAATGTTGATGAAGGGAGTATTTTACCTTAATTTGAAGAATGGCTGAATAAGCATCATTTCCTTTGTTATCAAGCCTAAAATTGAATCGATGATCTTGTTTCAGTTCCGTCTGAAATTTGCTTTGTAATGAAAAAACGAAAATCTGTTTTTTTTACCTTAAATATGTGCTTCATTATAGCTGATAAATTATGAATTAAGTGGTAATGTTTAATGGCTTAGATTTCCCTTTTTCTTCTTCAAACGATACTTTTAGCTGGCTCCACTGGCTACCCAGGTTTCACTAAGGAGCCGTTTGGAAATGCATTTCTACGATTACACTGCGAGTGTTAGAATAATTTTTAATATCGTTTTATATTGCCATTATTGAGATGGACAAGAATTCCCAGCAGCACTCGAATTTCACTTTTAATCACAGATTCAATCAAGGAATTGAAATCGAAAACGTGATGTATGACACCAAAAGTATATCGTGTCCCTCATTTAAACTGCCCTTTGAGCATACAGAAAAGTCTTATTCCAGTTATTAATTCTTTATATATCTTCGAACTATTTTGGTTCAACGGTTTAAATTTTTTTTTTAGTTAAACAACAAGATTAATAAATCCTTTTGAATAAAATAAAAGTGAAACGCTACTATTTCAAATTTTAATTCAAAGAGTTTGAAATTTGGATTTAAATAGTCAAAAATCTATCCAATAAGACCAAGAAGATTAGGAGTACCATGGATATCTTCACGGAAAAAAAAGAAAAATCATTTTGCGAATATATCTTGTATATCAATTTGTTAATGATTGTATTATGAGGTCAACACGATTAAATCTGCCATTAAAAAGTCCATGTGATAGCGGTTCACTTGTACTTCCAGGTGATTCCATAGCAGAAATTTCTAATCGTACTAGCAACCAGTGGAGTTAGCCTTCATTAAAGGTAAAATTAATAATGCAGAACAATGCTAAATAAATAAATAATGGTGAATACAACGATAACCAAAAATCCACCTACTCAACTTCGCTTGCTTTCTTAAAAAATTTTTGCAAAGAAAATTAGTATTAGCATTATAGACTAGTTTCAATTCGATATATTTTCTATTTACATTTCTAAAATTATTTTAAATTTGTAATTTTTAAAAATCTTTTAGTTCCCTTTAGATTTTTCAAGAAAGTTTTTTTATGAATTGAATATGAAACCATTAAACTGCAATTTTTTGCAAACAATTTTACTCAGAATTTTGTGGCATCTTTGCAGTTAAAAATATTGATTATGAATGAAAAATTAGTATTAATTAATTTTTTGGATGAATTCGAAGAAGTGATAAGTATTCACTGTACTTCTATCTTTCAGTGAGTGACTCTCGGTTGGGTTATCACATCCTACCGATAGCTATTGGAGTGAACTGAAGCAGGAATAATGAGTGAAACCATTAATTTGCTTATTTTAATATAAATATGACGTAAATACCCAAACCACATTTTTAGGAAATTAACGACCACAACTAAGATAAGTCTCGTTTTAATAGTGCTGCAAATGAATAACAAAAAAAAATTTTCCTTATTTACAGAATTTTTAAACTAAACTAACAGTATCGTAAAACCATTTAATATCAGGAACTGGTTGAGCTTCTAGAAAGCATTCCAATTCCAGCGAACCATCGTCGTTTTGCCGTGCAACAGGTTGTTGAGGAAAATGAGGAGCCTTACCTTCTGGCATAGTTCAAAATTTTCCTATTCGCCTGAAATGTAAGATAACTTATCGCCATATGTTGCATCGGAAAAAATTCAGATAAAATCACATGAATCAAATAAAATGGGGCGGAAATAAATAAATATTTAGCCGAAATTTATAGCTTAATAAAATATAAAATTTTTTGGTATATAAAACAAAAATACAATGCTTGTTTTTATCAATATTTTCAGTAAAATTTAGCCTCCACAAATGATTTTCCTCGAGAAATAAAAACAAATTAGGGCCGAATCAATTAAATTAATGAACAAATTCTGCGTTGGTGACACTGTTTACAATAATCGTGTCTTTAAAAAAACATAAATATTAATTATGAAAATGTGAAGATGAAAGCAAATTTCAAGACAGTTCAACAAAGAACCTTAAATGATGGTATTTTCTATAATGGAGGCAAGGATAGTCGATATATGGCTGTTTCGATCTGCGATCAACATGGTTTTCCTATATATACAGAAATAAATTTATCATTAAAAATACGAATAGTAAAACTCTACTTCTATAAATCTCTGGTAGAATTTCTAACCCTACCAACGGCCGGCGGAGCTGGCCGAACGAGAAACGAGAACGAGTGAGTGTCACTCTAACTTAACATATTTCTCTAAAGAAAGAAAATTACTTGTAATTCCAAATAAACTACATAAACTATAGAAAACTTGCGAACTAGTCCTATAGCTATAAAAAGTTGGTTCCATTCTCAATAAACAGCAAAATAATATTTCCTCACATTTCTTTCAAGAATTTCAATAAATCATTTCCTGTTGAAATTTCAAGGCATATAGATATGAATTCTTGAAATATATATAAATGAATTCTTGAAATAAATATAAATTTGTGGCACTCGATTTGTATTAAATCTATCCATTTTATGAATTTAAATCCATATATATTTACAAGTCATCAAAGAAAGGTCTTGAAGCCTGTATTTCTGAAAGAAAGGTACAATTCTGCTGGGATCAGATATATTTAGTGAACAGTAGCCTACTGAGGCCATTCCACACACATTTCAACAATTTAATTCTAAATATATGCAGGTAGTGATGTTGGCGACACATCTGTACTTATCGTAAGTTACTCCCTGGCAAAATTTGTCTCTTCCGTTAAGCCAAAAGAGCGAGCCTAAGTGCTCAATGGTGAGCGCTCTTAGAAAAAAAAATTTCGATACGAAATTTATTCTCCAATATTCTACCAATATTTTACCCTTTTCATTCTTTTCCCAAAATTACCTTAATTATATCATTAGAAAATTTGTGGTATACAATGGTTATAATTTAGTTTCACTTAAGTCTCGCGAGCCTACCTAGCATAGTTCTCCTCTAAATTTTCGCCCGCTTTAAACCATCATTTCAAAGACGAATAAATAAAGAATATTGGACAAAAGGAGAACGCATAAGGAGATTGAGATTGAGGAGAATGACCAAAAGAGGATAAAAATTTTCGTTAAAAAAATTATATATATATATATATTTGCAAAAAAGGTTCTATGAATATTAATTACTAAAATGGGTCAATGAGTGAAAAAATGCAAAAATGAAATTTAACGAGCGAAAAATTTGGGTAATGTACTTGATGAAAATAATTTGAAGTAAGGAAAGCTTAATAGTGAAAGGTGGATTTAGCGCTAACGACAACCGTTGTGCTCACGATATCTTTAAGAACAGTGAAGACGGGATTTATTTACAAAATCTTGTGCAGAGGCAGTAAGAGCAAGAAAAAAATATGAAGTTTGTAGAATTTAATATCACTTCTCGAACAAGTCTAGCATATTTCTCCTCCAAACTTTCGCCTACTTATTTTCATATGCATTCTCTTGTCAAATAAGCCGCCCACACCAGCCTCAGGCAAACAATTACAACAATGATACATAGAGAATAAAGCTGAGTGAGTTGGTGTAAAATAAGTTGAATGAGATGAAAGAAGGACGAAGGGCACAGTTGCGGATCTTCGCGTATGTGTATTTTGTTGCGATCCTCTAAAATCTTTCGGTCCTTTCTCTAAGGTTTTTCTGAGAATTTTAATCTTATCAAAATATATCGTAGATTAAAGCATTAAAATTGAGTTATTTTATTTGCTTTGCGAGACTAAAGATACACCACTAATTGAAAATAATTGGTTGAACAAATGGTATATTATATATATATATATATATATATAAATCTTCTCCTCATTTGTCTAAAAGCAGAAGAAATTTTTAAAGTTTTATCCACTTAAAAATAAAAGTGGAACTGAGGAAGGTACTAGAATATTCCTCGATAAGGCCATTATACTTATAGGCCTATTAATGAAAAATTTTCGAGTTAACTAAATTTGCATTCAACCAACCAGTCATTGGTTTTTTTTGTTCAATAAAAATGAAAAAACAATTGAATTTTAATGATTCAGTTCTATTTTTACATAATCGAAAATATCTCACTGCAAACATAAAAAAAGCAAAAATTCTTTTAAAACTGTCTAGATATCCGGACAGCGCTGGGAAATCATGAGCACTTCCATTCCCATGTGACTGCTGAAACGGTCTCATTGCCAAGTAGTGACTGAGTGAAGTCAATCAAACCAGAAATGGTGTTAGAATAAGAACAAGTAGTGCTAGATGCATATGTATTTGTATTAACATTATAACAAAGGCCGACCTTTTGTGAAAAAAGTCAACCTCCCTTTACAAAACATGGCGATGGCGGGTAAGAAATTTGAGAGCTTCCATTTGGTAAATGTAGCGAATTATGATAGATTAGAATATTTTTCATTTCTCTTTTTAGTCAAATTTTAATAGAATTCGAATTGGAATTTTGCACCATTAAAAATTTTAAAACTATTTCCAAATTTTTTTCCTATTATTCATAGTTTTTTACAAACTTTTCCTAAAAAATAAGAACAATAATAATATTAATAATTATAAAAATAAAAATTTCGGAGTTGCTTACCAAAGCTGGAATCGTTGAATTTTATTGAACTGAAGAGATACTTCTTCACTCATCGAAATATTTTACAAATATTACTTACGTTCATTTGTTATCGTTGTTATCAGTATGACTTTATAAGGAAGGTTTATGGCTATAATAAAGGACAAATTTTGTTTTTTTCTTAATTTCGGATCTTCGTGTTTTTTTCGTATTGCGCGAATAATAAGATGGATAATGACCTGAATTTTTAACGAACATTAATTCTAAGATTTTTCTTTAAAAACAAAAAAATGCAGCGATTTGGAACTGAAAAATTTTCTTTCTTTTTTGATTCTTTTTTCTTTTCCCTTTAAAGTATTCAAAAGTTTTAAAAATTAGTTAAAAATAAAATTTAATGAACGAGAAACGAGAAAATTGATTGTTCAAACAACTGGTTAAATCGATTGATTGGTGTTTGGTTATAACTGAATGTTACCGAATCATCGAAAAATATGTATAATAAACTACCGCAATATTTCATTGAAAGGAAAAGGCTTTAATCCGATAATTGGCAATTCGTATTATTCTACGAATTTTTGTGGTAAATGAATGAACAATGAACTGGATGAATGTAAAAATGAATGAACGAATGAATGAATCGCAAATATAAATGAGATTTGATCGGACCAGAAAAGAGTTAAGATAAATGGAAAGAAAATAAATTCAAAAAGAAGAGATTACCTCGAAGAAAATTCAAAGAAATTTAGTACCTAAAGTTGATTAAAGCGACCATGGAAAAAAATTAAATAAGCGGTTAGCGCTCACCATTTCTAATCAGAATTCGCTATCTTAATTCTAACTATTGGTAGAATGATAGAGTCAGTTGAAGACAAAAATGCGGATGCGCTTCCATCATTACCTCTTCAGTGGCAAGCTCATGCCACCAGACCACGAGACGAAGTACACTTAGTATAGTAGGCGATACTTCCGACTAAACTATATATATATTACAAATGCTGATTGCTTTGTCCAGAATTTTACCTTTTAAAGAAAAAAGAATCGTTCATAATACTCACCTATTTACCTAATTAATATCAAAAAAAGGAAAATTATAAAATATTCGTTTTAAAACTGTTAATTACACTAAAAATAAAACATTTTATTTTCCAAAATAGAATGAATGATGAAAATTCCTAAAATTTTTTCATCATTTAGGATGATAAAAAGGTAATTAGATAAATAATTAGATTCGCTTTCAGTGAACCATTAGTGATTAAGCTGAGTCTATTGCTTCCACAATTTCCAGATGATATTTATTTAATTATTTATTCAATTTTCAATTGGCAAATATTAAAAAGATTTAATATGTAATCAATTAATATAAATTGGAAAATTGATTATGTAAGTATATCATAAATAATCGAAACATTGGATTATCATCGAATCCATATAAATTATGGATTATCAGTCCGAACATAGTGAAAATAATAATTGCTGATAAGTTTGCGCAAGCGACAAATCAGTGGTGTTTTTTGCTTTAATAAACTGCAAATAAAAACATCGAAAATATCGAACTTTGACAAAATTATCGGCAATTAATTATTTATTTATTATCGGCATTATATCGGACATAAAAAATATGGAATGTCACTAAACATTTACAGCGCAAATCAATTATTTATTCAATTTTTAATTGATAAATGGATCTATTATTATTATTGTTATTATTATTATTATTATTATCATTTATTATTATAAGATCGTTTTTTTAGTGGAAATTATGTATATTTTAGAATTTGTTTAGTTGCTTACTAATGCAAAAAAATTTTAGTTACTTTTAACTTTTTGTTTGCTGCTAACTTTCTCGTATCGTTTATTTTATATTATTTATTCCATTAACAGTTTTTTTTTATAACTTTTGATAAATTTTTGTTTTCATTTGTTTTTATATTTTTTGCTTTAAATTTCCCATTTAATTTAACCAATTCTCATTAGTTTTATTAAATTTTATTTAATTTATCTTATAACTTATCTCTTTTCTAATATTTAAGTGGTTCACTTAACACTTCTTATAAGACCCATTCCGACTCG